ACCAAACCAATTCATCTCTCTCTCTCTCTGTCGCTGTCTCTCTCTAATTCTCTCTCTCTCTTTCTTTGCGTTGTTACTACATGTGGTAATTATGTTGCACATCCCATAGTAAGTCCGATCGGATGGCCTGTCAATCAATTGACTCTCTCACTATGGATGACCCATGGCATGACTCTATCCTTCACCTTCGCCTGGAATGTGGGCATGTATGCCATCCATGTGACGATCCATTCAAAGGCAGGCCATCATCTTATTTTCACCGTTCCCGCATGACATGGCAAAGATCAGTAGCTCAGAGTGGACGCTCACCAAAGTGACACGAGCAAAAGTATGAACGTCTTTTCAATTGAGTGCGCTGGTTCATCAGATCATGCGAAGCGCTTCCTCCATGCATGCTTGGATTGACTTGGGGCATTATCCAAATGGCGAGCGGCCGTTATTGCGATGCCACGCTATTTCGCTGTTAGAGTCTGATGCACTCACAACATCCAAATCGCCGTCTCCGTCCAGGTCTGCCGCGTACACTGACCAGGCACCACTCGCTACCCTTGCGATCATTTGAGGTGAGAAGCCATTTTTGCCTTCGTTGCGATACCACATGATTTTATCGTCATTAGAGCTTGCGCTAATAATGTCCAACTGTCCATCTCCGTCCATATCGGCGGCGCATGCAACGCGCGCGCCGTACGCAGTCGTGGAAATAATCCATGTTCCTGAAAAGTTCCCACTTCCGTCATTGCGATACCACGCAACCTTGTTGTCGTTTTGACTGGCGCTCAACACATCGAGATGACCATCCCCATTCAAATCTGCTGCGCTCACCCAGGTGGCGCCGTCTGTTCGTGTAGTAATAACGATCTGGCTCGAAAAGTCACCACCACCATTGTTGCGATACCATGCAATCTTATCATCATCGAAACTTGCACTCAAGACATCCAAGTCGCCGTCACCATCCAAGTCTGCCGCGTAGGCGCAGTGAACAAATTCAGTCTCGTCGGAGATCACCAGCCTTTGTGAGAACTGGCCGGATCCGTTGTTGCGGTACCACGAAACCTTGTTGTCATGGAGATCGGCACTCAGCACGTCCAGGTCACCATCATTGTCGAGGTCGGCCGCAAACACCGAGTGAGCCCCCTTGATGTTTGACGCAATGACACGTTTGCCCGAGAACCCACCTGTTCCGTTGTTCTGGTACCATGCCACCTCATCAGCATCATATCCGATGGCGCTGAGGACATCCATATCGCCATCTCCATCCAAATCAGCCGCAACCACCGAGCGTACGAGATTGTCCCCGTCAAAAATGACAATTTGAGATGAAAATGTGCCGCTTCCTTCATTGCGATACCATGCAACCTTGCCGTCGTCTTGACTCGCACTGATGATGTCCTTGACCCCATCGCCATCCAAGTCTGCCGCGTACACTGAACGAGGGCCGAATGTCGACTTGGAAACAACGGTGGAGCTAAAGAATACCGTGCTAGACTGTGACAGATACAAAAGCTGTTGCGTGGCTTGAGCCAGCGCGTTGACGACATCGATGCCATTGATCATAACCCGACCGGTGGTATTGATATGAAGCGTGCCATTCTCATCAGCCGCGATGCTTGGCTTGGTGACATTGTCAATCGAAGCGAGCACGCTCACCACGATGGCACAGAGCACCCAAGCAGCAATCGGCATTGCATGCCTTGTCCGATTGACCCTGCCGTGCATCTTTCATGGACCCTCGAGATGTGCAGTGATGGTGTTGAAGATTAACACTCGACAAGTCACCATCAACAACAGAAAAATTGAGTCCGAAAGCTCGACAAAAAAAAAATCATGAACCAGAGTCCATATCTGGTACTTACCCCCTCCACTGAGTGAAATCTTCCACCATGTCCAATTGTTGACATGTGAATTACTGGACTACGACACTACTACTACTGTCAGGCTCCAGCACGTCTAAACTTCACTAACGACCGCTGCTGCATAGGGTGCAGGTGCCCTTGCGGTGATTATAGTATTCTTGTGCGAATGATGATGAAGTAAGTAACGTCACACGCCTTTGTTGATGGGTATTCAATCCGATTCGAAACGTCTGCTCGAAATAGAAACCCGAAGGTGGTAAGTGAGTTTTCTCAGTCCTCTAGCAGACAACGCTTCATACACTGGTTGAGACCCCCGGTTGAGTTGAAGATTCGATGGTCAGCAACAACAACAACTCAGCAAGACGACCGATCGCATGCACTGTTGGTACTCTAGACTCCTGGGCACATCCTGTACCTGTACTGACGATCGAAAGTGTTACCAAAAAAATATACAAAAATTCAATCAAAATTCACAAAAATTCGACACTCATCAAAGAACAAGCAACAGCAGCAGCAACAGGAGAAGAAGAAGACGTTTTACTTAAAATCGAAGAAATAAACGGTATAAACACATAATACACCTTTAATGATTCTCATGTTCATGTAGCAAAAAGTCAAGAAGATGCAGCGAAATTTGCTGTCCAACAACCATGTGAAAGCGCCGCCGCCTTCTGCTTCATTTTAAGTTGGAGCTGCAACGGCAGCGTCTGGCCGGACGTGTGCTTCCGGTTGCTGTATTCACCGGGTTGTGCTGTTGGTTGATAACCTGTTTGGTGGCAGGTGGATGCGGTTGAGCATTTCAGCGTTTGGGGTTCATCGGGTGGACTATTGAAGGAATACGCGATACGTGTTGATCGGCAGGAGGATGGGCACGCCTCGTCTCCACGACGCGATGTGTTCCAAGTGGTGCCGGCGCTTGTCGCTGGCCTTGATGGCCACGATCATTGTCAACAACGCTGCTGCTGCCCCGGCTGATCCCGTCAAATGGACCAGCTGCCCAGATACGCCCTTCACCGTCCAGTATCAGGCCCCCACATCCCCAGACGCCATCCCCACCCTCACCGTCACCCCATCCATGTCCATCGATGTTCGCGAGGGCGAAACCATGCCCCAGGACCCCATCATGTTTGCTCTCATGGTAACGGGCAAGGACAAGGCGCACGAGTACCTGGCGCGCAAGTCCATGGCCTCGTTTGCGGCGCAGACGATGCGGCACAAGGTGATGGTGGTGATCAACGACTCGCCCGACTACAGCTTGGTGGGGCCGCCCTCTGACTGGCTGGCGGCGACGCTTCCAAACATGCCGGAGAGTGAGGTATCTGCGGCGTGTGTTGTGGAGATTCGCGTGGAGCCACGGAAGTTTACGCTGGGGGAGCTACGGAATATTGGGATCAACGCGGTACCGGTGCAGGGGACCTGGGTACAATGGGACGACGACGGTAAGCTCAGTGCTGACTTGCATCCAAGGAAGGGGATAGCTGTGATGGTTCAACTGTTCTTCATGTACTGACACAAAAATCTGATGTTGTTGGTAGATTGGCACGAGCGACAGTATATGCGTCTCAAATACGACTACATGGTTGACAAACATGCGGATGCCATCACCTTGCGTACGCAAGTTCGATTTATTCTGGAAAAGAACAGCAGTTTCGCCTTTGTCTGTACGTCAACTCGCGCTCCCCGTCCCCTCGAAATTTGTACCACTTGCATGCGCCTCGGTGCCTAGTACACGGTGGCTCGCACACCAACTCTCATGGTGATTTGGACCCGCCAGCGGTGTCACCCACCGGTATTGAAGGCACAATCATGGTACACAAGGCGCCGACCTTGGCGCCCATTCAATATCCGGCAGAGAGCCGAGAGGAAGACACGTTTTATCTCGACACCCTCAAGGCCAAAGGCTTTAAAATGGTCGTTTGGGAGGAAAATCCGGTGTGGATTTACTTCCGCCTCTACCACGGCATCAACACCTGGGATGCCAAGCACTACATGATTAATGAGCTGCCGGGCAACAACGCTTGGTGTGTCAATCACTCGACACGGCAGTTCGGATGTGTCGACCCCTTGAGCAACAAGCTGCACGAGGTCGTCCTCAGCGAGTATCATGATGTCGCACGCATCATCGACGTGAGCGGCGTAAAAGCCAAAAAGCATCACGGCATGCTGCCTATCGCCATCCTGCTCTTTGCTGGAGGGCTCGGGGTAGCCTATAGGATAGCGCGGCATACACCCAAGAATGCAGAGCAATGATGCGATCGATCGTCTCACCATAGAGTTTTTTGAAAAAAAAAAGGGAGATAGGGAGGTAAGGGAGATAGGGAGGTCAGGGAGAGAGGGACAAGACCACAAAAATGCATGAATGCAATTTAACGGTTCACAGTTTTTTTTTTGATTTTTTTTTGATGGTGGACCTCATCACACACACCAGAGACGCACACCACGACACACGAGCTGGTCGTTGCTGCGACGGAGGAGACTTGATGGACGGCGGTGGTGGCTTTGGTCTTCGGATGGTTCAGTCTTGTATCAGTCAACTGCGTTAGTTGCCGTTGCATTGGCAGCTGGTTTTCAATACTTGCAGAAGCCCCGGCCATGGAGAAGCGCTTCACGATGTCGCAGCCCCCAAGGCTGAGCCTTTTTTGTGCCGTGTTGGCTGGGGTTATCCTTGGCGCCTCGGCTCGAAACGGGAGGAGTAAAACAACAGGTCATTCTCGACCAGAAGTGACGAGTGACGGCCCTGTCAAATGGACCAGCTGCTCAGATACGCCCTTCACCGTCCAGTATCAGGCCCCCACATCCCCAGACGCCATCCCCACCCTCACCGTCACCCCATCCATGTCCATCGATATTCGCGAGGGCGAGACCATGCCTCAGGACCCCATCATGTTTGCTCTCATGGTAACGGGCAAGGACAAGGCACACGAGTATCTGGCGCGCAAGTCCATGGCCTCGTTTGCGGCGCAGACGATGCGGCACAAGGCGATGGTGGTGATCAACGACTCACCCGACTACAGCTTGGTGGGGCCGCCCTCTGACTGGCTGGCGGCGACGCTTCCAAACATGCCGGAGAGCGAGGTATCTGCGGCGTGTGTTGTGGAGATTCGAGTGGAGCCACGGAAGTTTACGCTGGGGGAGCTACGGAACATTGGGATCAACGCGGTACCGGTGCAGGGGACCTGGGTCCAATGGGACGACGATGGTAAGCGGCAGCATGTACCTGAGGTGATGGGCCTCTTTGCGGCATTGGCTCGGCACCGACGCCAACTTTTTATCGCAATCTCGCTGCCTGCCTACTTGTCTGTCTGCCTGGCTGCCTAGCTGCCTCTGTCACGCCTTCGCTCCAGCATGTAATTTTACTTGGGTGGTGATATTGGGTTTGTAGACTGGCACGAGCGACAGTATATGCGGATCAAGTACGACATGATGCGCCTACACGGGGCGGGTGCCATCACGTTGTCGCGCCAGTATCGGCTGTTCTTGAACATGAACAGCAGTCTGGTGTATACGGCACGTAAGTATGAGAAATTACTTGGTCTATGATCTATGGTCTCTGTCGTGTGTGTGGTGTGCGTGTTGTGCCATCACATGGGGCCTGTTTGTGAGGTGCTCTTTTAACCATATTTTTTGTCTATGTCTACGTTTTGGACCCTGATAGCCAAGGGCAGCAAGTACGGGATTGAAGGAACAATCATGGTGCACAAGACGGCGGCGGTGGCGCCGATCCAGTATCCAGCACTAAGCAAGGCGGAGGACACAAAGTACATTTTGGACTTGATGGCGATCCAGACTTCGCTGCATCCATGGAAGGAGAATCCGCCATGGCTCTACTTTCGCTTGTATCATGGCATCAACACTTGGGATGCGAAGCACTATCATATCGACAACCTTGTCGGAGCGAACAGATGGTGCAACTCGAAAAGTAGCTTCAACTGTCCACAGGAATTTGATAACGCTTTACATCACTCAGTGACGGCTCTGTACAAAGATATGTTTTCAGTCATTCAGGCTAGTGGTGTGTTACAGGAAGTTCCGTAGCTTCCTCCATCTCCACCTTGAATATGTGCCAGGTTCGACTGTTGCGTTAATTTGAATAAACACAAGCCAACAATTGAGTGCATGGGTAGGAGCCTGACGGCACATTTTCATAATCCCCTGCGAGAGTGCTTTGTAGTTTTAGAACAAGGAGAGTAAATACAACAAAGACAAAAATATATTTTCTGAGGCAGTCACCCCAAACATCAAGCTCATGCTAAGAACATTGCCACACCAGCCAGGATCCATTTATTGGCATTGGAGGCACAGGGCACGTAGAGACGTGCCAACAGCTTCGAGCGATCTGTTGCTGCGTACAGCGGCACCTCTAGATCATTCTCATGGTTGACGACTTCCTGCACATATGCCACCGAAAGGGTGGGCACCTTGACTAAGGTGGGGGTTTCCCGATCAGCCTCACTCAGACGCTGACCATCGAACACGCAGCCTTGTATTTGTAGGCCAGTAAGCTGAACAGAGAGTGTGGCGCCGGCCACACCGGCCTCCCCCCACGCACTTTTGAACACGAGGCTGTCCATGGCCACACCCGTTGCTTGTGCTGTTTTTTGGCGGAGAGCGTTGAAAAAGGTGTCAGGTCGGAAAAAGTTGCTGAGGCTCACTGGCGATCGCAGCAGGTTACCAGCCACAGCGGCGTCGACGTATGCCTTGAGCGCCATGGTGTTGGCAACAATTTTGCGGCACCATTGCGTGGCGTCTTCGGGGCCCTCCCAGCGCTTGAACCACGCCAGCGGCGTCTCGCGGCGGAGCAGGGCTCGCGCCAAGGCATCAATACGCGGTGTCAAGAGCGCCGTGCCACGCAAGACTGCCTGGAGCTGTTGGATATCACCGTTCACGAGCTGCACCAGTGACAACCCGTGCGAGCGTTCGAGGACAACAAAGTTGGTGACGGGGTCGTCGGAGGGTCGTTGCTTGCTCCCGCCTTCCTTGAGTTCCGTCGACTGTTGCACCAGTTTCTGCCAGGCGGCAATGAATGGCTCAAGCGTCGCTGCCCAGCGTTGACGATCAAACTGACTCTCAAGATCGTCTTCCCGCTGCAAGACATGGACCTTCTGAATCAAGTCGAGGGCTCGTTGCTCCTGGACTGCCTTCTCTACATTTGCCGGGAGGCCAAAGAGCTCGGGTCGATCCGTGTCGGCCAAAGCTTCGATGGCTGCTGTGTAATCGGCATGGCGTACGCTCGTGGGAATCGTAACTCCCGGTGCTAGCCGGCCAGCCCCACGATGTCCCTGACCGACCGCAATGGTGGTCTCACCAAAAAAGGCCTGCAGATAGGCCTGCAACACCTTCATGTCAAAGGCATTGTCGATTCGCCCACCGTGCAGGGCATTGATCAACAGGCCATGCATGCGCGTCCAGTCCGGAACTCCCGTGGCGGTAGCCTCGCGCGCCCATCGGCCCAGAACATCACTGGCTGCTCGCAAATCTGAAGCTGAAAATTCGTAAAACTTGGTCCAACCTTGAGGGATGTACGTGCGTCGCTCTTGCAAGACGGCATGCATCCACGCCAGCACAAAGAGACATTGGGCGTGCAGGGACCCTTGCTCCCCCACCATCTCTGGGGTCCAGGCTTCATAGGTACGCTCCATGTTGCGCTTGATGCCTGGTGGAGCTTCAAAAGTGAGCTTGAGCGAGCGCTGCAATAACGTCCGACTAAAGCGCGGATGCTCTTCTGTAGTGGCCCAAAGGCGAAAGTCCTCGTGAGGCGAGAGTCCGCTGAGCTCAGCTTCCAGCACGGGCAGCCAGGAGACGACAAGGTGCAGGTTCTTCAGCAGAAGCCAATCACCCTGCTGTGCGCTTTCTCGTAGCAGGCGCAGAGCTTCATCGGACTGGCCTTGGCCCATGGCTACCTGGCGGAAGCGATTGGCACCGACCACTTGATTGGCCACGTCCTCAAGCTCCTGAGAAGGGTCAGCGCCCGTCGATACGAGAAGCAAGATGGGTTCCGTAGAACTGCTCTCTTCCTGGTAAACACGCTTCAAACTGACAGGCTTCGAAGCCAGGGAGCGCATATCCAAGGCTCGGGCACAAAAGTGCGAGACCGCAGCAGGAATGCGATCGGGACGCACGGCTTGAATGAGCAGAACCATTTGAAATTGCGAGAGTCGTTGTGAGGCAGCCGGTGGAACTTCGGCTTCGCAGGCTGGCAGGCGCACCCAGCCGCGCCAAACATCTTCCTGCACACCCGTCAAGGCTTGGGACAGCTCTGGCAAGTTGGTCAAGAGCGCAGCGTAGCGGGGCGCGACCTCACTTGGAACCCAAGAGGGCACGCGGGAGCGCAGCTTTTCTTGGGATTCGCGCGTCCGCACGGTGGCGCCTCCTCCACCTTCCACAAATGCAGTCCATTCTTGAGCCTGGATCAGGTCCGGACGGACACCTCGCGCCAAATGGAGAGCAAACAAGCCGCGGTCGTCCTTGAAGAGTGAACGGGCCACATACTCGTAGACGATACGCAGGAGCTGGGCTGACAAGTGCTTGACCCGCAGTTCTGCACCGTCGCTGTTTGGCGATTTTGTTTGCAAGGCACGGCGAAAGAGGGCCAGAAAGGTGGGCAGGCTGAAGTAATACATCGGGCTCAGCTTGCTCAGGTCTTGCATCAAAAAGTAGAGGCGAGAGGCAAATTGCCCAAGCGGCTGATATACGTCGCGCTCCTGGTTGAGGGCTACCTGCAGGGCTTGTGATTCTTCCAGGGAAGTGCCGATATGGAGCGCTTGAGCCTTGGTCTCGTTCAAAGAGGCGAGCAAAGCCTCGTTCTCCAAAATATTGCCCTGCGCCGAAGCCAGCTCCTGCAGCAGCGAGTCTTCAAGTTCGTTGAGGGACAGCTTGAGGCGTTCCTCCTGGTGCAGCAATTCTGTCTTGCGTTCTTCTAGTTGTGGCTTCTCCTGCTGAAGCGTTGCGGCTAAGAGTTGACCGGCCAGGCCCTCTCGTGTGACTGTGAAATTGACTTCACACAAGCTGGCTCGTGCATCTGGAGGGAGCTGGCAGCGCGAGTCGGCTGTGACGAGGAAGAGACGGAAGTCTTCGTTGTAGTCGACCAGCTTGTCGCCAATGTGTACGCAATAGCGCGCACCTGGACCACAAGCTCGCGGCGCATCACCGGATAAAGGATGGGCTCAAGGTCGCGCACGTCGCGCACAAGAAGCGTTTTGCCAAAGCGCACAGCTAGCTCCAGAGCCGTTGTAAAATTAGCATCCTGCTGGCTCACCGATTCAAATCGATGCTCTCGCATGGCCTCGGCCAGCCAACGTGTTGCGTTTTGCGATGGGTCGATGGCAAACACGGGAAGTCGCGAGCGGGTCAAAACTGCCGCGTTTTCGAGGGAAAGTCGATCCGAGGCCAGGCCCTGGGCTTTCCAGCGCAGCTGCTCGCTTTCGGTGCTAAGAAATGTCAAAACATCGAGCAGCTCCACATTGAACAAACGAGTCCATTCGTGCATCACAGCTTGGCGCGTCTCCTCCTGAGCCTGTGGCAAGTAGACGCAAAACGCAGCAACCAAAAGAGCCTGTAGTGGAAGGCGGTCCACGTCGGCGTTCAGCGTGGCAACTTGATCGCCCCAGCGCTCGCGCTCCCCGGCCAGCTTTCCAATGAGTGACTCGGCCTGCTGAATTACGCTTTCCGCCTTCTCTAGCTCTAGCTTCAACTTGGCGCCCTCGGTGGTGTTACGCTCAAAGTTTTGACGTAGACCTGCGACCTTGTCGTCGATGACGCGCAGCTCCTGTTCAAGGTGGTGCAGCTTGTTTTGGGCATCGGCGAGTCCTGCTTGAAGAGCCGCGTTTTCGCTTTCCAGGGGAGCCACCTTTTCCAACACAGATGCATACTGCAGGTTGGCAGTCATCCACTTGACGAGCGGCGCTGCCGCTTTTGAAGCACGCTTGGCCGCGCTCAGCTCAAAGGAAGAGGGTTTGCGCGTCATGAGGGCCTCCACCTTCTCGCGAATGGCGGGTGTGATGCTGCGCTGGTCAAAGTTGATGATGTCGCTTGTCACGCCACGCTTGCCCAAAAAGGAGCGCATGCTGCTCCAGGTCGTATCCTCAATGCCCATCAGCAAGAGGACGCCCTCCAAGATGTCGCGAATGACCTCTGGTGGCGCCCGCAAGTTGCGAATCTCGGTGAGCGTGGCCGTAGTGATAGCCCCAACGGCCTTTTTGGCGGCCTCCAAGACTGGCTCGATACCGCTCAACTCAAGATCAATGGCTCGTTTGCGCTCCGACAATTTAGTCTCCTCTTGAGCCACGGTGACTTTGAGCTGTTCCGCCTCGGTTTTCTGATTGGAAGCATTGGCCATGGCCGTGGTAATATCATGCAGGGCCTGGTCAGCCTGCTGCTGCTTCTCCGCAAGGCGCACTTTCTGCGAGGAGGCATTTTGTTTCAGCTCGTCCACGAGTGCGGCAGCCTCGTCAAGTTTGGTCAGACCGGCCGTAAAGCGTGCGGCTTCAGCTTGCTTAGCGTCCCGTTTTGAACGGAATAGGTCAGCAAACTTGGACAGGAAGCGCGTGTAGTGGCGCGGAGAGGCACGGAGCTGAGTGATGGCCACCTCATGCAGAGAGGCCAGGCTTTTCAGGGTGTCAGGATGGCTGACCAGATCTGGTACAACATCTTCGAGCAGTAACGCAGGCAATGTCAGCATGCTGCGCGCACTCCAGCGATCCGTCCACTTGACGCGGCATTCCTTGAAAAAGGCCGGGTTACTTTCGCACACAACATTGAAGGAATCACGAGAGCAATCCAGGCTGAGAACAACGTGCAGATTCTGCAAAACGCGATGGCACACAAAGCCATACGGGGATCCACGCCAGCCAGAATCAGCGGCGGCATCCTTGACTGATGCCATGAGCGGCTCAAGTTCGGCAGGTTCGAAAAGACCAGGGACATCTCCCGTGCTGAGCAACGAGTTGAGGAGCTCCGTAAAAGCTGTCTCCAAAAGCTGATGGTCCTCCAGTAGGAGCACGAATGGCTCGCCTTGAACGCCCGCACGCTGCACAACGAGCTTGAGATCGTTGCGGAAGGCCTTGACATCGTACAAGCGGCCAATTCTTGGTGTAAATACCTCTGTACCAAGGGCATACGCAATCAAAGACAAGGCCTCGGTGCGACCGCTGCCGCTACGACCGGCCAGTAGTAGGGAACCGCGGGGCTGGGCCAGAACAGCATCCATGGAGGCAACACGGTCCAACATCTGACAAAACAGCAGAGAATGTGCGTGGGTGAGATGAGCAAGAAAGACAAAAAAACAAACAAACAAACAAACAAACAAAAAAAAAAAAAAAAAAAAAACCCCAGAAAGCAAAGCATCAGCCGGGCAGAGGGCCAAAACTGAGCAAGACAGTTGAATAGCGAGGAGGGGACGGCTGGCTCGGGGACGAACCTCGTCAAAGAGAAATAGGGAAACGTCGTGAAATTCACGCGAGTATTTCTTCTTTGTGTGACTCAAAAGCTCCGCGTAGTCCTCTCGGGATACGCGCACCAAAGGTTTGCCACAACCAAAGGTGTCACTGCCTGGGCCAGAGCTCAGGGGCATGAGCGCGGAGAAAAGCAGCTCCTCCAAGACTAGAGTGTAGGACCAGTCGGTGCGCAACACGTTGACCAGCAGCGCATCAAACTCTTCGGTGTGCGTGCCCACGAGCGTGTCTCGAAAGAGCTTACGGCCAGCATCGCCCCATGCATCCAACACCTCGCACTCTTGGAGGTTGTAGCGCAGAAGCTCGCGACACCACCGAGTGAGGTACACGGGAGAGAACAGGTAATGACGATAGGTATCACGCGTGTACTTGGCTTGTACTTGCTCGTACAAGCTCACCATTGAGCTGGCTAAGCGCGTGGCATGCTGTGGGGACGCCCATTTACCTCTGGTGGGGTCCGTTTTGGCGCGAAGAATTGGTAACAGCATGGACGCATAGATGTTTTGCATGTGAGCGCGTTCTGGGTATTGGAGTGCTAGAACACGAACCGAGCTCGTGAAGCGCGGCGTGAGCGCATGGCGCCCCATCGTGGAGCTTGGATTCATGGTCACGACGATTTGCACACCCTCCAGAGCGATCCAATCGAGAGCCTTGTCATAGAAACCCTGATGCGCGATCATTTGTTGCAGAAAGGCCACAATGGTCGAGGTTCCCCACTTGTCTGGTTTGGGCAAGTTGAGGTCCTTGATGAGTAAGACGAGACGCTCAGCATCGCGCGGGCGAAGCACGCGGCCTGATCCTGAGCTAACGGTGACGCACGCCTGCTGCAGTTTCTGAATTACGTCTTCCTCACTCGTTTGCGCATTGCAATGCAGTGTTGCAACCGCCGTGGAGCGGAGCGAGCGCAGGTGTTGTGCCAACATGTTGCTCTTGCCGCAGCCTTCGGGGCCAACGATCAAAAAGTGGTCACGTCCCTCAATCCAGGGGTGAATGGTGTCCATAGATCGCTGCACGTCCACGGTGGCAACCAACGCATTATCCAGTACGTCTGCGACCTCCAAGTCCAGAGTCATCTCGGACGTGTACAGGTAAAGCTGGCCATCTTGAGTCACGGCGTTGTCAAGGGGACGATTCAAGTCACCGGGCACACCGAGCCAGCCAAAGATGCTGCGTGCCAATTCAGCACGAAGGGTGGGGTCCAAAGGCCCGCCAATGCCGCGCACAAGAGCACAGGCAAAGGCCGGTTTGCTGTCGACGCTGATGAGCTGGCGCAGGGCATTGAGCGCTAGGCCCACCTTGCTCTGTTCCACCACGAGGTGGCTACGGCGCTGCTCAATCCAATCCATGGCTTGGTAGAGCGAGTCTGCGATCCAGTCCAAAAGCTGAGTTCGATGCTCCTCCACAATGTTCTGGCCTACCCAAGCCTCGACCAGCGCCGGCAGATCTGTGTCCTCCTCGGACAGGAAAATCATGCCCATGCGACTGACAGTGGCTGGCGACGCCGCCGCAAGGTCGTGCGTCTCGAACAAAAAGTTGACGTTGGGCCCAAACTGAATGCGCTCACCCGATGGCATGGTCAGGAGGCGATTGTCATCCAGCACCGAGTTGAGTGACTCAATCCACTCGGGGTCAATGTCACCATCGCATACGATCCACGAGTGACGATCGAGGGACTCACGAACCACTTGGCGCGAGGCCGCGGTCAGGACACCGTCGAACCACTCGCGCGTGTCTACGTCAATTCGTCCAAGTAATTGCTGGCGAGGCATGGCCTTGGGGTTGACAACGTACGACTTGACGGCGTGTGGTTGCACGCGCGCCAGGGCGCTGCGCAAAACGTTCCAAACTACACTCTTGCCGGAGCCAGCAGGACCCACGATGACAACACCCATACGCTGACGTAGCTGCTCGTACAACTCGAGCATTTTTTGAACCTGTGTTGGCATGTAAACGAGGTGGCGTTCAGCATACGCCTCTCGGATGGCATCGAGAAGTGCCGGGTACTCGATCGCAGGCGCTTCAACGCCAGTGAAGATGTCGGAAATCAATGAGTCGAAACGCCGGGCATCGGCAAAGCTCAGCTTGCTGAGCGTGTTCACGCGGCACGCTTGCACGAGCAGCTGAGCTTCAAGCTCACTGGTGATCTCCTCACCGGATTCGCGGCGCTGTTGCAGCAGCGTGCCACCTGCCCGCAGGATGGTCTTGAGGGCGCGCAGGCCCCAGTCATAGTGCTGCTGTGGGGTCAGCAGCTCACGTGCCATGGCATAGAGGCTCACCAACTTCGGCCCAAGCGTCTTTGCTTGCCGATAGCCCTCAGAAAAGAGAATCACTTCAGCAATCAACTCGAGGTCTGGCTTGGACATGGCGACGGGCCGGAAGAGCTGCTTGAGGTTGTCGGGCAGCTTCTGGCGACCACCATAGCCCTTGCCGGCGGGATTCAGGGTGATGAAAATTCCCGAATTGGGGTTAATGTCAACCCGACGGCCGAGAAGATCAGCTTCGGCCTGGCGTGCCTTGATGGCCGCTTGAATTACCTGAATTTGCGTGGACACTGCGGACAAAACGGCTTCCTCAAGGCGGTTGAATTCGTCAAAGCAGCCCCATGCACCGCACTTGACGAGGCCGATGAAGATGCGGCCCATGCTCTTCACATCAATGCCTTCGTCGCAGTTGAACACGAGGACCTGCCGGCCCATGGCATTGCCCAGGGCTTTGACGGACTCAGTCTTACCCGTGCCGGCAGGGCCGTACGGGTTGCCTCCAAAACCCATGTGCATGCCTTGGGTCAGAGTCAGGTAGCATTTGTCCGTAAGTGGTGTGTGCACCAGTTTGGGAGCGTTGCCCTGGTATTCGTATGTGTAGTCAAACTCTGCGTCGCACATGAGGATGGCAGCCGTCTTCTGCGGCGTCAGCACGTAGCGTAATTGCTTCTGCCAATACCAGTCTCGTGCATCAGTCACCTGGTTCTCAAGCAACAAATCAACCACCTCGATCATGTGAATAACGTCAAGAACCAAGGCCTTGAGTTTGAGTCGTAGAACGTTGGCATCAGCATCATTGCCCTCTATGGCACTGCTTGTCAGAGCGGCAAGATTTGTGGCCAAGCTCTCGCGCACCTTGCTCAGGGCCGGGCTGACAGCAGCACCCCCGACCAGAGCAGCTTCAACCTGGGCCGTAAAGTCAATCTGCTCAGCCACGCAGAGGACTTGCGATGGATAAGCGGTCGGCTCTCGGTTGGTCCCATCCCGCACAGCGTTACTCAGAAGGTCGACAAGTGCTTCCTTCATGGCATCGGCCAGCTGCACCAACCACTCCTCAACGTTGTGTGTGATCGTCACCTTGGTGCGCAATTCAACGCGCTCCCCGTCTTGGCTGCGCATGTCCAAAATGGACTGCTGGTTTGCATCAAACCCGACGCGATGAATACCGGCGAAGAGCTTTTTCAAATGGCTCTGAATGACTGCAGGTGTAGTCGCCTGGCCCAGAATCTCCAGCAAATCGTCGTCGCCAATGAAATAGAACCGCGGGAAGATTGTGCGCTTCTCCTCGAGAAAGGCGTTGAGCGATTTCTGACAGCGCACGAGCTGATCCAGCATGCCTTCGAGCTTGCTGACAAAGCCACCGCGGCCTGCCAGCTGGGTCACGCGCGGATCGCGCGCAATGCCCGCGGTAATGCTGCGAAAGTCACTGTCGACTGCTTTGAAGCGGGCCTGTTCCTTGGGCAAGGCACCACGACCAAAGATGGGCTCCAGATAGACCCAGCGCCGCTGGATATCTTTGAGCAGGTCCAAGACTTGGGACAGCTCTGCTAGTTTGCTTTCCCAGAGCTGTGCTCGGTCCGCAAAGGGAGGAAAAAAAGGTGAATCCTTCAGGCTTGTTAGCAGCGTCTGATTGTCACCAAGCTTGCTGAGAAGATCCTTCCAATCGCGCACCAGCGGGACCTGATTTCGCGAGCAGTCCGTGTACTCGGTCAACTCGAAGGTGCAGGCTGCACCCCAGAGATCAATCTCGTGCAGAGCCTCGCGAATTGTAATCTCGCCCTGGGCGCGGGAATGCAGATGCTTGATGGCTGCCTCATTCTTGGCAATGGTTTCTGCAACCTGCAAAAGCGCACCAAACTTAAGTTCGTCGATGCTGGTGCTAGCAGGCAGGCCGATGAGTTGGAAAAGCTCCACCCAGTGCTCGGCCGAATAGCTGTCACCGCGCACATAACGCAGCAGCGGCAGGGCTTGTTGGTAGTGATCGACGTCAGAGCGCACGCGCAAGCTGACGGTATTTTGAGGCATATCCTTGAGGCGGGCGACCCATCCATCCAGATAATCGGCAAAGAGGTGCGTCTTACTGCGAATCGACACCCAGTCCTCACTCGAAAAGTTTTCCAAGCCCCCCACAAATTCTTCAAAGACGGTCCACGTGGCTTCCATGCCAGCAATGCTCTCCTGGACGGCTTCAACCACTGGCGCGGCCGTTAAGGGCACCTGAAAGTGGTCACACTCTTCCCGCACAGTCGTCCACTGAGCCAAAAGCTCATCCAACTCTTTGCGCCGCTCCTTGAGATTGGCAATGGCCGCGAGAGCTGCTTCGCGACTCCCCAATTCCGTTTCGCGTGGGCGGAGGGCCTCCCAGCGTGAAGCAAACTTTTCAGCCGTTTGGGTAAAAGCAGCTGCTCGCTGTTCAACACCTGTGCGCATGGTTTCGACCTGCTCTTTGATCATCATGGCGTGTGACTCAAGCATGAGGTCAAACTTGTCCCATCGTTGCTGTACGGCTTGTAGGTCAACGTCCGAGCCAATGACGCTGCGCAGCAGCTTGTTCTTGGCCTCGGCCTTGGCAAATAGCGGTAGAATGCCCGGCTTGTCCCGGGACAGTTGCGCATGTTGCGCGTTGACTTCCCCGATCTCAGCCAAGGTTTGTGGCCGTGCACTCAGCGCCTCCATGCCCTTCTCCACAAAGTCATCAATGTCCGCCACATGCTTGGTAACGGCGCGCCGCAGCGAGTTGACGAGGGCATCGAACATGCGTTGCATGATGTCGTCGATGGCCGCCTTGACAGGCGTCGTGGAGACATTCATGCAATCCACTTTGACAGCGTTGGGCAGTTTCTCCGCTTCGCGTCCCTTGGCCTTGAGCATGCGGAAGTTGTACTCCCAGTCGGCTGGCTCGGTCAGATGGTCTGCAGCTAGAGCCTCGACGTCCACGCTGGCCAGAGCAACCCACTCCTTGAAAGGCGCTGAAGCTTTGGTCAGCTTGAGAAACAGGTGTTCTGCTTTGCGATAAACTGAAGCAAAAGCCCCCGAAGCACGCTGCAGGATGGCCCGGAAGAGTTTGGGGTCGGCCAGGCCGCCAAACTTTTCGGGAATTGCAACGAAACGCTTCAGCTCTCGGTAGTACTTGGCCTTGACTTCTTCCAGTGGAGGCCGAAACTGCAGTTGGTGCTGCTTGAGGACGAGGTCAATCTCAATCTCCGGCAGATTCTCGTGAAGCTTTTCCAAGCCAAGATGGTACTGAAACTCAAGTGCTTTGTAGAGCTGATAGTCCCAGTGCTGCTGCCAGGGCAACATGGCCTCCTTGCTATAGCCGCGCGATTGAAGCGCCACACATTCGTGGCGCATGTCTTCAAGCGCTTTCTTCCAGGTGGCTTGTTGTCGGAGAAGATCAGTGTTGAAGAGGCGGAGCACGATGTCGGTAAAGTTTTGATGCGCTCGCCGTAAGTGGCGGTTCTCACGGGTGAGATTCTCTGCAGCGGTCTGCACCTGGCCGATAAACTTGTCCAAGGCAGCTGTGTCGCTCCACTGTACATTGTCACCGTCCTTCAGCGGGCGCTTCACAATGGCTTCGAGAGCACGGGCATGACCTTCCAGAAGCAAATACTGTGGCTCTAAGATCTGGCTGTCGATGGTGTTGTAGAAGTGGGCCACCTGTTTGAGAATCACGGCTTGGCGATAATACTTCTGGGCGGTGTTGGCTGCTTGGACCACGTCTTTAGGAGGCACAAAGCCGAGTGCCGTCAGCTGGCGCACCTCTCGAATAAGGTTGAGCAGGCGGTCACTGTAGTGGACTTTGAGCTGGCCGTCACCGTGATCAAAGTGCATGAGTCGGCCTGTCGTCTCCAGCATGATATCCTCGTTGGCAAGGTCATCTTGCACGTCTTGGGTCCAGTCGTCAAACTGCTCCTTCTCAAAGTCACGCATCTCTCGCAGCAACTCGGCAGCTTCGCTCAGCAGGGGCTGGCTCGCATCCAGGTCCTGCAGGAGTTTTTCGCAGGTGGCAATGGCATCGGCGACGCGGCCCGAAAGTTGTCGGCAAGCAATCATTGCCTGCACGACGGCCGGGAGGTTGCGACCGGATACGGGGGCGCCCTCACGTGAGCCGCCTACGAGTTGTGAGAAGGCCTCGCGGGCCTGGTTCACATCCCCCTTGAGTTGGGAAAGCAGTAGCTCCCGTTCGGGCAATAGGACGGATGAGACGGATGGCAAGCGCACAAGATCGAGGTACTGCTGGAAATATGCCTGCAGCGACTGCGCACTCGAACTCAGGTCCCCAATCTGGTCACGAAGCTTGCCGGCAATGCACTGCAGAGCTGGCTCCATTCGGTGGCGCGAGGCCTTGAGGGCCGCGGACCAGAGAGGCTCGGTGAAGGGGGAGCAATGCAGGGCATCGAGGCTGGCAAAAGGGACAAAGACTTCATCCACACCAAACTCGGCGCGCTGATTGGGGTTGAGGAGGCGGGTCATTTGATCCTGCACCGAGCGAAGGTTGAGGATGGCCTGCAAGCGGTCCAAGAAAGCCTGTAGCTCTGCATGTCTGTAGCCTGGGCGCTCCCAGCGATGTGGGCCAAAAGCGGGCCAAAAGCGTGAGGTCAGCTGTTCGGCACGCTGCAGCCATCTTGTGGCGACCTGAGTACCCGCACGGAGCGCGTCTCGCACCTACGCGGCCACAAGGTGCATGATGGCAGTCGTGTGAGCAGGCGAGCTGACGGCACAATATTCCTTCCCCCCAGAGAAGCAGGCCTTTGGACGTACTTTGGCAAAATCGCCTTGCCAGAGATCGAGCATGGCCAGCTGCTCTTGAATACCATTTAACAGCGCATCACCGATGATAGCCATCAAGCGTTCCATACGCTCGCCGGGAAAGGGTGTCACGTCCGTGACACGCCACACATCATCCAAAACCTGGACGCGCAAAAGCGGTTCGAGATGTGAGGCGACGGCGGGGTGAGAGTGACAATCGAGCAGGTCTTCAAGTTTGAGCCCGGTGCATTGCTTTCATGGGCCGTTTGTTGGAGCGCAAGCCTGACTGACCTCTTCGCATCGATCAACGAGATCTTGCAAGTCGAGAAGGCTCATGCTTCGCATGCTGGAGGTGGCGTTACGGAGTTCACTGAGCATGTCCCCAAACATTTGCGCCCTCTCCCTGTCGTCCATCAAACCGAAAGGGTGCAGGTTGACGCGTGAGAGCAGGGGCAGGCAGCAAGTGCGCCCAAGGGGAGGAGAACTATGAAGCAAGTCAGCATTGCATGTGCGCGGACCGTTCTTCCAGATTAGCAGCACGGCTGGCCATCTCAGCCCAATAGCTGCACTCATCGCTGGGGGAGCGGATGGCTTCTGAGGTGCCTGCAATACAAGCGAAATGGTTCAGAAAAAGAAGCGGTTATGAAGATGACTTGTGCGGCGCACGACAAGCCCGTCGCTTGAAGCAGTAGGCAGGTTGCGGGTTGCATACACACCATCAGGCGCGGCGCGCATGGCTGTGCCTAAACCACTTTCCAGGTCACTCAGCAGGTGTTGGACTCGCTTGTCAACCTCGGCGCTCCATTGGTTGGATCGCAGCAACATGGGAGAGTATACGGTTTGTACGACATGGAACAACGCTTGGAGTGGCGAGTTGGACATGGAGATGCTACCGATGACGGCATGCACATTATCCTACCATGGTCCAACGGATGGCAGACAACAAAATATGAAAGCAGGCCGTGGGTTGGCGGTACGGGTTGCCATCTCCCTAAGCACTCGTCGAGGCGAGGCTACAGATAGGTGGGCCAATACTAATCCTGCCTATCTCGGACACACCAGAGTGATGGCCACGGGCTGCAGCTTGTAAAATACGAGGGCATGAAGGCTACCATCAGCCTTGGAGGGCAAATCAATGGAAACTGATATGACGTCCTGTTGAAGACGCTCAAATGAGGACGAAGGGCGAAAGGAGTGCACGAGCGTGGGCACGGCTTGGCGAGCCAAGGAGGAGAAGGCCACACACACCTGCAGCCCATCGCGCTGGGTTGTCAGCACCATAGTGCCGGGTTGATTGAGGAATTTGTCCACATCAGGACTGGTCAGAAAATCACTCAGAGCCTACGGATGGATGGCAGATCGTGAGAGTGGGCAGATTGTTACGAGGACGGGTCGGGGCTGCACGGCTGGAGCTGCCAGACCCAATACACACCGGGTCGCTGGCGCCGGAGAGGCCAAAGTGGGCGACCGCCGCCGCCACCAAGCACTCATAGCGCAGATCGTCCAGGCTCATATTGGATAGCAAGGGTCATCCAAAAGCCAGCACGGCAGGAGGATGGATAGAAAAAAAAAAAAAAACCGTCACTCGGGTGAAGGCGAACCGCACATCAGTAGCTGAGCAGCGCACCCACCCTTGGTGAGTGCGCGGTGGCAGTAAAACCAGCCGAGCACCGTTCCTCTGCCGCTGCGCAGCAAAGCCAAAGCTAGCGAGACAAAGGAAGAGAGAGGGAGAGAGGAAGAGAGAGAGAGAGAGGGAGAGAGGGAGAGAGGGTTGTCCAGTCCCCAGCGCCGTTTCCTCAACCCTCAAAAAAAAAAAAGTTTGAAAACACACACACACACACACAGAGACCAACCGTTTGGTTTTGGTTGATAAGGGCCAGTCTCTGCAGAGACTGGGTACTCAGAGGGATAAGGGGGAGGGCATTTTAAAACAGGAGACTGAAAGACTCAAGTCTGGGCTTGCTGGCTGAAGGGTGAAGGTCACTGGATGAACGACCGGACTGACAGTAACGATGGCACAGACGGCGACGACGGGAACGATGCAGCAGGCTGTGGCGGAAGAGATCACGGTTGTGCGCCATCCTGCGGCAGTGGGAAGTGCGGGCGCGGATTTGCCTTTGCCTAGCCTGGAAGGCTACACCATTGTGGTGCCAGCATTCTGCGTCGGTAATGTGAGCCAGCTCTGTGCGGACGTGCTGGTGGCCACGTTGTCCATGATGCCGGCCCTCGCTTTGGACCATCCGGCTCTGGTCCCGGCTATCGGCAACGCCCTGCCCCGTGAGCGCCAGGTCGAGGGCATGGTTCCAGGCATCATGACGGCTGCTGAAGGTGGGTTGCCTTGCTTTGCCTGGCCCGTGCACCTTGCTCACCGCTGTTACGAACAGCGGCTCACCGTTGGCGCGTGACGTGGCAGTCTACATTCAGCCAGCTGCGCAGCTAGCAGTCATGCAGCTTCGCAGTGGTGTCATCCCGGTACGGCTATACTTCTGAAGCACCAGTTGCCGTTTATTTGTAGGACCATCTGATTTACTTGTGTATGATGACCGCCCGAGTAGAGTCAACGCGACGCCTTTCGTGTAGCTCTCAGCCAGTGGCTCGAAGCGCAAAAGGTCGCGCAGGTGCTTGTCCTGGCTGGCAGCGATGCAGCACAACGCATCGACTCCCAGCTCGAAGGGTGCGTTGAGCCGTATTGACCTGATTTACTCGCACATCTGAGTTCTTATACTCTCTTCTCTTCTCATCTGCTCTGGGCTGGCGTAGCGTTCAACTTCGCCTCGTCTACTCGGTCAGCCACCCCGTGTCCAAGCAGCTGCAGGCCAAGGCTGCTGCGCTTGGCTTGCCCCCCCTTGAAAGGCGTAACACCGAAGGCGTGGACCCCGATGGTGTTTTTCTTCCTGGTAAATCTATTGTGGCCTTGCCGGCCGCTGCTGCCTATTACCTCACGTTTGCTGTGAGGAGGGGAAGGTCTTAATTCTCACAAACGCTGACCCAAACTCGACAACAACTTGGCGTAGGTGCCGGTATGACCCGACTCTTGGTGCAAGAGTTGGCCGTCCCTGCCTTGGCACTGGTGATGTTTGTCAACCCGGGGGACAATGCCCAGAACGGCTTGACCATGGGTGCGTAAGCAACTCGTCCAACTGCTGAATTGGTGGAGTACTGGCGTGCCTGCTTGCATGTCTCTCATGTCACCCTCTTGCCCACCCTCTGAACGTGCGTATTCTCGGGGCTCTTCTGCCGGGAAATAGCCTCGGCTGTGTTGCAGCTTTTGCAGCTCGAAGAAGGCATTGGTATGACGGCGTGTCGGCCTTGCTTGCCGCTGTATGCATGACTGTATTTTAGGCTCCCAGTTGTCCATTGCTGACTGTGGCTTGCACTTATTCTTCGTTCGATTGCCGGGGCTCTTAGACACGCTGCGCGCTCCTTCGTCCTGGGACTTCTTCTATGGATCGGACGTTCAGGAAATTTTGTTTTGATGTCTTTTTAGCGTGGAGTTTTTTGTTTTTGTTTTTTTTTCTCATATGCCGTGGCACCTTGTGCGCTGGGTGTATGGGGCGCTGAGCGTTCCATGTCCCAAAACTCCAAGCTCCGAAATCTGGCAGACTGCAGGCGGGTTGACGGCTGTGTCATCACCGATCGAGTTTTTTTCATGCAGTGGTCTCCACTCAATCGAGCGTGCAGGACTCAGTTTGAAAAAAAAAAGAAGTATAAATCACCACGATTTCGAGCCTGGTGTCACGTCTCATGTGAATTGTGTTCCAGTCAGAGCATCTTTGGTTGCGGGACAAATGATGAATGAAAGATGGCGCGCGGTTTTTCGTTCATGCTTGCTCTTAGTTGGTGCGACCCTCAGTCATGGCCGTGACCTGATCCTGGCGGCGCATGATGGCGTCTACAGCACGGTCAGGCAAGAGCCAAGTCATTCCCGTGGTGATCCAGGCAGGAATCTTGTGTGTGTTGGCCACAACATAGCGCGTGCGAGGCTGAGGAGAGCGGATGGCATCAACGATAGCGTTGGTGGTGCATTCGGGAGTGTCGGCGTGCTCGAAAGCGCGCTGGCGCTTTTCGTCGGCCACGCTAAAAAAGTGATCATAGACCTATAGGCACGGTTTCGGTAAGTAAGACGTCATCATTGTGCGGCACAACCCATCGCCGGGGCCAGCCAGCCATTGCGCCTCAGTCATTTTTCAACCGACCTCGAGCATTTCCTTGGAGGCCCAGTGTTCGGCAGATTGCGCACCCGAGCTCTTGTGCACAATCTCAGTCTTGACATAGGCGGGCTCGACCAGGGAGACGCTCACGCCCAGCGGGAAGAGCTCGCGGCGCAGGGAGTCGGAGATGCCCTCGAGGGCAAACTTGGTGCCAGAGTAGACTACACCAAATCATGCGAGTCAGCAAAGCCTCGGTCAGAAAATCCCTCACGAGCAGCGGCGGTAGCAGCGGGGTCCTTGCAAGGGCAAAGGCTAAAGACATGCATCACTGATGGCGAACGAGCTTGGACGCACCGGCTGAGCCCTCCATGCCGACAAGACCCGCCACCGACCCAATGTTGATGATGCGGCCTTTGTTGGCACGAAGCAAGGGCAAGAAGGCCTGAGTGGTCTCCACCAGACCGAAAATGTTGACCTATTGTTTTGAATGGTTGTGCAGAGTCATGGGGGATCAAAGGAATACGGGTGGGGCAGCCAGGTTGTATCGCGGTAGCGGGGCAAAATTGTTTTTTGTTTGGTGCTGACCTCGAAGGTGTTGCGCACACGGTTCATATCATAGGCCTCGAGCGGGGCGCGCGAGGAGATGCCAGCATTGTTGACCAGGGCAATGAGGGGCTGGTCCAGCTTGCTGATGGTTTCGACAGCGTTCTTGATCTGCTCAGAGTTGGTCACATCCATGATGATCGGATGAAGCGTCTTGATGCCCAGGCCGCGGATGTCGTTGGCATCGCGTTCCTTGCGCACCGTACCGTACACCTCATAACCCAGCTTGGCGAGCTCAATCGCTGCATGGCGACCTGCAAGGCATGCATCAGGGTGTTGCATGAGAGAGAGAGCGAGAGAGAGACAGAGAGGCCGTCTCTCGGTCCCGGAAACAAGGGCTTCGGTGACGTGGCCAACGAATGGTCCTTGCGATCGCGACATGCACGCTGTCACAGCTGCGACGCACGTGACAACACACCACTCGATCGTCTTACTTACCGATACCACTGGAAGCGCCAGTCACCAGCACCACGCCCTGCTCATGGACATGATAGGTAGGTCGGGGCAGCTCCCACACTGCATACAAGGCCGCAGCCAGCACCACCACCGTCACGCTCCAACACGACACCATCGCACCGGTTCTGCGATCAATCGTTCAGTGACACCCCTCAAAAATAGAGAGAGCTTGAGAGCGAGAGAGCTTGAGAGAGAGCTTGAGAGAGAGAGAGAGAGAGGAGAAGAATTGGATTGGAGAGAGAGAGAAAGCTTGAGAGACATAACTACAAAGGCACGATTTGCCACGCCGTACAGAATAGAGGGGTTCAGCAATTTTAGCAGGTTTTGGCTTTTTTGGAGAGAGAGTGGTTGGTTTGTCGGTCTGAGAAAGAGAGGAATAAAGAGAGAGAGAGAGGAGAGACGGTTACGCTTTTTACTTTTTGTCTGACACACATTCACACACACGAGCAGTGAGTGTTGGCAAGTCTCGATGCAGTGGTAACCGGGGCTGGTGCGCACCGTGGTGGCGTATGGTGGAGACGAGGGCTTGGAGCGTTTGTGAGTGGCTAGCTCGTTGATTGCACTCCCAGCCGACTTGGGCAGGTGTGTGGAGGGTGCTCTGAGCGGCATAGCAAAGCAGCAAAGCTATGCAGCAGCAGTGAAAATTGATGTCGCTCTCGTGGTCGGCACACGTCAATCCGATTTCGTGCGCTCATCTGCCCATCCATGCGTCCTCAGGCGAGGAGGAGGACGGGGTCGTGCCCGGTGCCAAAGCTGTGCTATCGGGCGCCTCAACGGCCACCATGGGGGACTTTGTTGATTTTATCCAAGACAACCTCTGGGTGAGCGGGGGCTGCGTCGCGCCTGCCAGGGCTCAGGTCGGGCCGGCTCATTGACCCTGATTGCTAGGTTCCCATCCTGGGTGGTGTGGCCTTGCTCGTCATCATTCTCGTCATCGTCTATCAATGTCGCTCCTTCGTGTACGTTTGTTTCCTTCCAGCATGCGACAGCCTCAGAACACGGGCTTCCACGCCTCGCTTTCCCTGCGTGCATTTCAGCGTTCAGCAAACACCGACGGCTCCATTGGTTTTCTTCTGCGTTCTGATTCCATGGGTATCTCAATCACAGGCGTCGCAAACAATACCAGCGTATCAATAATGCTGTTGGAGATCAAATCTTCATGGAGCAGTACAATAGGCAAACTGCCGCAGCTGGTTTGTGCCCCGGCGATCCTCTTTTCCGAGTAGAGCTTTTTTTTTTATGCTCGTTACACAGCTGCACGTGCGCTCACAGCTGGCCGAACTTTTGGCAGAGGCGGCGTCGATGAACTGCCAGTACTACCTGCGCGGGCACCCCAGCATGCGCTTGCATCAGCACTTGCCCCAAATTGGCAGCCGGGTACGCACAACGGCATGCAGCCCGCTACGTTATTCGCGCCTACGGCGGCTTCTCTCTTGCCTGTCTCAAATTCTTTTTTCGTCCTCTCATCGCTCTCTCTCTAGACAAAGAAGAGCTGGTTTGCCATTCAAAAAATGAACGGGCCTGACCAAGTTTTGGCTCTTGTGCCGCGGGCTTCTCGCTGCGTTTTCCCCTTGAACATCTCTGTTCGCAAGGTGTGCTGGCTCGTTTTCGCAGACAATCATGTCAAGAGAGTAGAATCCGCCCCACGTGCAGCAATATCTCTGTGCTTATTCCGCTGGACTGCAATCTTGCGTTTGTAGCACCTTCGTGCCATCTTAGCCTCGTTACAGCATCCCTACATCCAGCCCATGACGGAGCTTGATTTCCTCTCCGAACAGGTACGGGCAAGGCTTGAGTTCTCGCCGCCCAAGCCAGCCCCTCTTGGCCCTTGGCCTGCTCGTGCTGATTTCTGCATTCGTGCTGATTTCTGCACGAACTGCGCAGTCTATAATAGTTCTCCTGGAGCCTCTCTCGGCCCGTGGCTCGCTCCGAGACGAGATTTACAATGTGAGGATTGGACTCTTTTTCCCCCTCCCTGTCTTCTTCTTCTTCTCTGCTTGTTTGACCACCATGCTTTTTTGTTTGGTAGTGTTCGCCGCTCGCGCCATGGGAGAACAAGTACAAGCGCCGCGGCCGCCCCTTCCCCCCGGGTCGTATCGCGCGCACTACCTTCCAGATTATCGAGGGCATTGAATTCTTGACGAGCAAGGGCTTGCAATACCGTAACTTGCACAGCGGAAACATCATTCTTCAAGATGGCATTCCCCGGTAGGCATCCAATCTTTTCATGGACAGAGAAGCCTTGACTGACAATTTGGCGCCGGCGCCCTCTCACCGTGCACCACTTGTTTTCGTCTGCACTGCGACGTGACTTTTGATGCCTCAACCAAGGCTGACCGGCTACACCAACTGGCTGTTTGGCCTCCGCTCGCGCTGGTATACCAACCTGCGGTATGTTTCTGCTCCATGGCACAAGCAAGACATAGAATTTGCGCCAAAAGCTGCACCATCTGCGACAATGTATGCTCACCGAGAGGCCATCTGCACGTGACTTGGCGATAGGCCGCTGGTCAGGAAGGATCGCGATCGATTCGACACAGTGTGCCTGGGGCATGTCGTCTACGAGATGGCGATGGGCCAAGAGTCGGCTGATGCTCGGCCCAACATGAACGAGCTGATTGGCCAGTGTCCGCCTCAAGTGGTTGAGGTGCGTTCGCTACGTCTCTTGGACCCAACTTTTGGACTGGCACTTGGTGTTTCGAGGCAACATCACATTCGTGCTCTGCCTCACTGACCGATGATTCGGTGTCGTGGCCCCTGTCTGCGCAGCTGTTGGCCTTTATCTTTTACAATGCCGAGGGCCGCGTGCCAACCTTGCAAGAGGTCAAAGCGCATCCGTTTGTAGCGCAAATCAAGCCCAAGGATGTTCGGGAGCTGCACGAATACAACCCGCTGCAGGTGAGACAAGTGCCAAGTACAAAACACAAAGTACAAACACAAAGTACACAAACACAAAGTACACAAACGCAAAGTACACAAACACAGAGGACACAAACACAAACCACACTCATGAGAAATGGTACCTTGAACCGTCTTGGTGACGGCAACTTTTGTGGTTGGCTGATGCACTCGATCTGGTACAGATCTCCTACACGCCAGGCATGAAGCAGATTATCAAGGCGGTGGCCGAAGGGCGCCAGTTGCGGTCAGTGAATTATGCAAGGCGGCTTGTGCGAGTGACTATTGTGGCAGTGCGAGATCTTACGCAACAGCATACCTGAAATGGCGATTGGATTGGCTTGTAACAGGTCAGCTTCACGGTCAACGACAGAAACCAGCTTTAACAGTCCTTCGCGCAGCATGTCGCAACGACAGCCTAGCATCAACCAGTCGGTACCGAGCACACCTAGCCGGCCAGTCTCCATGCCAACCGGACCGGTCACGTCCACGCCGAAATCATCGGCGCCAGCGCCAGCGCCGGCCCCGCCTCCAATGACCCCCACCGCGGCATCGACGCCAGCGCCACCCCCGCCGGCGGCGGCTGCAGGTGCGACCGGACATGCCTCACACCAATTACTAAATTGAGCGAAGCAAAATCTTCTGCCATGCTCATGACGTGATTTTTGATAGGCGGGGATACAGAGCGCGGTGCTCTCCTCAGCTCAATTCGCGGGGTGAGTGTGGGCTGTCGTGCTGCCAGTCTGTGTCCTGATGACCATGTGCTGTGAATTACTCATCTCTACGGTGTGGGTAGGGCAAGACATTGCGCAAGGCTGTAACCAATGATCGGTCAGCCCCGCAAGTGTAGTGTACCTGAAGCTGGCACACTCGCTTGCCTGTTCAAATAGGTTGGAGGACCAACACCAGAGTCTGCAACAAGGCTCGGCCCAGAATTGCTCTTGCGGCTTGCAGTGTCTGAGGTCGCTCGAAAACCCCTCTGGCGGTGGTCGATAGAAAGATGTTGTTTTGTTTTACTTTTTAATCCGCTGGAGCGCACTTGTGCGCTTTCCGTCGGCGTTTGAATTGACTCGCCAATGTCTTCTTCCAAGCCCATGTGAGCGACAGACAGAAGGCACATCAAAGACAAACAGAGGTTCGAGAAACACGAACTAACCTAAACAGACAGAGGTGGGCAAAAAATGGCAGGAAAGAAAAAGAAGAAAAGAAAGAAAACAAGAAAAGAAAGCGAAATGGTGTGTGTGTGTGTGTGTGTGTGTGTGTGTGTGTGTGTGTGTGTGTGTGTGTGCTGGTGATGTGTTGTTGTTTCCAGCAATGACAAAGACGCGACAACACGACGCCGCGTATCACCTCCTCACTTGCAACGTTACCGTCCTTCCTTTTTTCTTCTTTGTCGTCGTTGCTGTTTCGCATCGCGCCGCTTTGGGTAGTGGTGCGATTGAATCAGTGTGCTGAATCAGATACGGCAGCGCTGTAGAGGGGAAGGGACGTTGAGACGGCCGTGGTACACTAGGAACGCGTCTTCGTATACGCTGTTCGCAAAGAAGTGGATTCGATCCTTTTGCCTACACAGGCCACTGTTACGTTGGACATCCAAGCTGGTTTGTTTGTGTGTCGGGCGCAGTCGGTGGCGTGGTGGGTGAGGTTCTTCTCCCCTTCTTCCTCTCGTGGCTCTCAGCCATACTGTGACTTGATCCGGTCGCCGCCGTTGTTCATTCCACTCCTACGCTCAGCGCCGGTAGCGCCCCGAACAACCCTTCTTGCCCCTGGTGTTTGGCTGGCTCGTACCATAATAACAATCCTCGAGCTGCTTGAACCCTCCAGTTTTTCTCTCAACATCTCACGCCCGATGCTGTGGCATTGACTGCACCTCGTCTTCCCGAGCATTTGTTTGCTTTGCTGAACAAGCCTGCCCACCTTTGTATCACGTCTGCGAGCTCGCGCGCGCGCGCTCTCTCTCTCGCTCTCTCTGTGTGTATGTGTGTGCGACTTACACAATGACGCAGCCCTGGGTGGATCAGGACAAGCTCGTGAGCATTGCTCAGGACTTGGCTGGCGTGCCGTCAGAGTCGCCCAGCATCACGGAACGATGGCGCACAACTTACCTCTTGCCCAACTCCGAGTTTGAGCCCCAAGAGCGAAGAGCAGCTAAGATGGCGCGCAAGCATGCCATGCCTGTCGCTCTGCGCGGGCAGCTCTGGCTCCGCCTCAGTGGCGGCCATCGTCTGCTACAAAGCGACAAGCTTCTCTACGTCCGCGCCCACACCGGTTGCTTTGGCGTAGGGCCTCATGAGGCCATCCCGGATATCGATGAGAAGCCCGTTCCCCGCTTTGGCTGTCTCTCCAACGTTCATCGCCTGTGCCTGACCGATGAAGGAATCGTCGAGCTGAAGAGGGTCCTCTTCTGCCTGCGATATGAGCACTCCGAGGCCTTGTACTGCCCATTCTTGCCTGTGGTCGTGGCTGCTTGCCTACACTGGATGAATGCCGAGTCCGCGTTTGCCACGGCCATGGCTCTCTTGCGCGAACCCTCCCCCTTTCCCGAGACCCGCCTGGACACTTGGCTCATGCTCAATGCCTTTTCTGAGCTGGCTCGCAAATACGAGGAAGACGCCTACGATGCGCTCTGCCAGCAACTCGAGTGTCCATTCCCTCCTCCTTTGGACACCCACCATCCACTCTCCGGTGCTGCGCTGCTCTGGGTATCCAACCACCTCCCCTTTTGGAGCCTGATGCGACTCATTGACAATTTCATCGTCGAGGGCGAAAAGGTCTTTTACCGCTTCAATCTCGCCATCCTTCACTGCTGGTACGCTTCTTCACCTTACGTCCGCAAGCAGTTGGAAATGAACCCACGAACAGGCCGCCGAGGTACCGAACCCGTACCCATGCGTAGCTTTTCAAAGGCCATGCTCGCGGCGCAAAACTCGGACACCACGCTCATGGCGCCAAACAACGGCGATAAGACTCTGTCTGCAGCCCGCGAGCGATCCGTCTCCTTTGTCATGGGCTCGATTGAATCCGATGATGAGGAAGAGGACGCAGCAGCGGACGCAGGGTACAGCAACAGCGCCAGCGACGACGCCCACGCCCCACCCCGCACTTGCATCACCCTCGGGGGTGCGGAAGATGGTGAGGGCGAGTCGGAGAGCGGTGTAGACACGCAGGACGATGGGCATCGCTCCGACGAGTCAAGCACGGACATTGATGCCGAAGCAGATGGCATGCCGGCTGAACTGTGGACGTCGGCTACCACCCGCTCTGATCAGCTGGCTCTCTTGGCCATGAGCACCACCTCCCTCGCCAAACTCGAGGCCGAAGCCAAGGCCGCCGAAATGCGCCAAGCCTCGCATGGACGCGAGCCCCTCACTCGCATCAGATCCTATTCTGGTAGTGATCTCAGCCTTGCCCCCTTTCGCGATTCGACCCACCAATTTGTGGAGAGCACCGTCTATCAGGGTCAAGGCGGCCTTTACCTCCCGGCCACTGCCGCCCGCCTTGTGGGTTGTCCTGATCGCCTCGTCCAGCTGGCCTACTCTTACAAGTACGCTTTCTACTGCTCCAGACCCGCAACCAGGCCCATGTTGATGAAGCAACCGAGAAGAACGGGCCTCTTTTACACGATGATTTGCGGGGTCTTCCTCACACTCCTTGCAATGAATGGCACCATAGATTTAGCCGTGATCACATTGCGCGCAGTGACCGGAAGGGCTATCGCCTTGCGCGCGAAGCCATGATGGAGCACGGCGTGGCCCTTGGCGTGGAGGAGCCGCGGCCTACGTCGCGCAAGCGCCGCGGAGACACTTATGGCGCAATCAAGTTTAGTCCCATGCCTACTCTGGTTGGCACCTCAGACATCGCCTCAAAGGATGACGTACGATCCTCGAAGGCCATGCCCCTGCTGTTGGCTCAATTGCATGTGTCCCTGGCGCTTGTGGCGAGTGTGTCTGACCTGCACTCTGGTGTCTTGCACGGAACGTTGTTTTTAGTGGATGGAACTGTGGCGGGATATCCCGATTCGTTATCACATGAAGCGCTTGTATAAGCTTTTTGACACGAGCACCCATGGTTATAGGTGTGTTTTTTTCGTGGCGGCAGATGATTTGACGCCGCGTTAGGGACTTCCTTGCTGTCGGGTGTGCGAGGCGCCTGTTTTTTTTTTTTTTTTTTTTTTTTTTTTTTTTTTTTTTTTTTTTTCTGTCTTGCTCATCTGCAACGTTTCGCTGCGCGTGTTTGATGGCAACAGTCTGGCAACGTTCTATAGCCGCTGTAGCAACGAAGCTCCAACTTTGCTGATGGTTCGAACAGACCAAGGACATTCCTTTGGCGCCTTTTTGACGTTTGCCTGGTTGGTGATTCGACTGCACATTCTCCCACTGTGACGTGCTCCTTCATCGCTTGTTTGTCGCGGTCTCACTGTTGCGATCGTTCTTGCCTTGCCTTAGGTCCAGTCGCACTCGTACTGAGGGTTACTTTGGCAACGGCGAAACATTTGTGTTTTCCTTAAAGCCGTGCAAATGCTATGTATGGGCCGGGCTGACCAAGGATTATGAGGGAGACGAACCGCCCAGCCAGTTTATGCACGGCAGCATGAATCAACTGAGCATTGGCGGGGGACCGCGGGGTTCAGCCATCACTCTGGACGCAGCTTTCTCCAAGGGGTTTTCATTTCCATCACCCACCTATAATAACCCTTCTCTAGTGCCCAAGGGTGAGCAGTCGTTTAATATCTCTCGGCTGGAAGTATGGGCATTTCAAGAGAGTCATTAGAGCCCTTCTTCGGCGCTTTGCCCGGCAGTAGTGTATATGCCATGTTGTTGGTGGTGGGTGGTGTGGTATGAGGAGGAATTTACCGACACGAGTGAAAAAAGCAAAAAAAAAAAACCAAACAAACTCACATCTGATCTCAATTTTTTTGCGCAGCCGCTCCCACGTCTTGTGAGGGATGACACGCTGAAGGATAATCGAATAGCAGGAACAAATGACATTGAGTTGAGGTGAAGGCAGTGCCCATGTTTTTTTCTGACATGTGAAATCACACTCTGTGTGTGTGGGGGAACGTGCTGACATTTCGCGCCGGAACTCTTCGACTGCGACTCGTTGACAACGACTTTTCGGGTGACTGCTGTGGCGGCGGGCAGCAGTGGTGGTGGCAGCAGTGGCAGCTTGATGGGCGGGATACTGGAGAATACCTGACCCAATGGTGAGGGCGAGTCCAGGGGGCCGGTGGGAACCAGCGACACAACCAAATTAACGCCACTGCGGCGATAGTATTATAATTTCAAAGGGCCGTCATGGCGCGAATTTTCACTTCGTCGCGCAATCTCGCCAAGCCGCTGCTGTACATCTTTGGTCTCTTCATGTTGGTGGCAATCATGCACAGCGCATACTTGCGGTACAATCCCCAGCGGCGCCGTGAGCTGCGCTTTCCACCCTCCCCACCGGAGGCGGTGCCTCTTCCGCCGGTGGCCTTTCTTGAAGATCTATTTGCTCTTGTGGACTTTCTGGCCACCTCGGCAGACGACGTGACGGAGGATGGTGTCAAGGTGGCTTGCGTGGCCGCGAGCTACGCAGCAGGGTGGAGTGTGGTGGGAGCATCCGACTTTCGACTTGCTCGACTGTCCGGCTATTCTCTGGCTCTGATGCTATACACTACTTGCGATGCCGTCAGCGATCGCGCTGGTGACGCTGTGAGCCTGGCGCTCGGTCAGATGGCCGCCACCTTTGGGTCAGTTGAGGGCGGCCATTGTTCCCACGCCTGCTTGCCTTTACCCTCGGCCAGAGAAACTTGAATGCAGCTTGAATGCAGCATCGGTTGTTCGCCTCACTGTGATGAAAAGTGCCTTGATGTCCTTCATGGCGCTGTTTTGATGTGTGTGTGTGTGTGTGTGTGTGTGTGACCCTTTCCGGTTCGAGTTTCTCACTGACCCTGGCTGTGGCTTGTGCGTCTCGTTAGGGTGGAGACCTTCCCGTCAGAGCCACGCTACCTGCAGCCTGTTCATTTTATCGCCCGCTTTGCGGATGATGCAGTAGAGGACAGCTTCAAAATTCTCTGCCTCTGGTCACACAGGTATTGTTCGGTTGCTGGCGAACCATTGGCGAACCATTGTCAAAAGCCAAGCATGGCGCCGAATAGCTCACGCTGCTCCCATCTCACAGCTTGGTTGGTGACCTGCTGCGCCGAAACTTGCTGTCGGCTCATGGGCGCGAGGTACGGTGATGCAAGTGTGCTTTTTCGCAAAACAAACAAAAAACGAACAAACAAAAAAAAAAAAATACCAAGACATGCCTCCAGCACATTTGGTAGATGGACCTCACCCTCGGTCTGTGTTGGAGCGTGCAGCTCTTGGGCTCCTTGGTCGCGCTGGGGGTACCCGCTGCCAAGTACAACATGTGCAACCTTTATGGCGACTTTTTGGGTGATTGGACTCAATATCACTTGCAGGCCCTGATCGAGGCCTTGGAGGACGACGACAGCAACCCACACAAGCTGACCGCAGCCAAACGATCTCGGCTGCGCCGCCTGCGCGACCAGCTACACAATGGGGGCATCTCGCTTCCGCCTACCCCTGAACCCGCTGCGCGGGTCTTAGATACCGATGGCGGCGAGCCTGGCGTGTGAACTGCTCGCTCGTTTCTGTGCGGGTGCTGCTCGTCCGGTCCATTTCGCCCCAAGGTCACCAAGAGGGTTTTCGAGCTTAGCCATAGGAATTAACACTTGAATTTTGTCTTCAGATTGAAAGTGCAGAAGGATGCTTGGGCACCACGTTGCACCTACTCGCTTTGAGTACCTCACAGAGGGAGCATTGCGGCACCTGGGCCACATTAGTCGCATTGCGGCACCTGGGCCACACTAGTTGGTGTGTCCGGAGCCTGAGGGCGTGAGCCGACCTGATGCGGCATTTGCCAGCTCATGGGGTCAAGACCCAGGGGATGGGGTGCCCGGTGGTGCGGCCAGGAGGTAGCGCACAAGGGGCGCCAACAAGGCACCCCAAAGGAGCATAATGCGCACGCAGAGCAATAGCCACAGGCGGGCAATACGAGCGCCCAGCGTCATGGGGTTGGGCTGCCGATGATTCAGTGCCTGCCGCACCGAGTGTGAGGTTCTCGACTTTTGGGACCTGGATTTTGGCGTCAGAGCGTGTGCGAATGGAGGATGAAACGTACCGGGGGAAAATGCATGGCTTCGCGATAGACACAGAGTGTGCGCTGCATGACGTCCCGCCAACTGTAGTACGCTCGCACTCGATCATGGAAGGATGCCAGCGCCGGAGGGTTCTACGATCAAAACCAATTCCACGTTAGGAAACCGAAAAACACATTGATTCGAAGAGAGGCTGGGGTGCGTTGCCAGCCACACCTGCGTGAGTTGATCCAGGCCTTGCAGCGTGGCTTCCACCAAAGCTATACAAAAGGTTTCAATCGTAATGAACGGTGCACAGCGGAGGCAACTCCATTCAAGCAGGCATATTGACGGGAGGGGGCAAGGGGATGGGCAACAGACCTGCAGTCGTAGGCTCGGCTAGGATGAGCATGTCGGACGGCAGAATTTCAGGAATGCCTCCAACGTTGGTGCTGACAGCCAAGAGCCCGCAGCTGACGGCTTCCACTACGGCCATGCAAAACGCTTCTGTCTGGGAGCAATTGAGAAAGAGGTGTCCGCGGCGCAGCAGTGCGGCCACCTCTTGATGAGGCACCGAACCGAGGAGACGGACGCGGTCTTCAAGCTGATGGCGTTCGCGCATCTCCTCCAACTGCACGCGCAGCGGGCCATCACCACCAATCAAAACGGTCACGTCCAAACGAGCAGCCAAGACTTTGGGCAGGACCTGCGGCAGCAAGAAGCGGTAGATGCTGACTAAGGCCCCGATGCGTCCGCACCAAAGTTCAGCCGGGTGGCGCATCAAGCGAGCTTACCGTGGCCAAGAGACCCACACCCTTGCGCGGGTAGAGGCGGCTCACGACCACAATGACGGGGCCATTTTTCAAGGATGGGGGTTGACTGGCAGGGCGAAAGTGATCGGCCTCCACGGCGTTGGGAATGACCCAGATCCGTCGCGGATCCATCAGCGTGCGCAGGGCTAGGTTTTCCTTGCTGTGCAGTCAAGGTGCATCGACTGGTGAGAAGCCACGCTTGTTATATTGTGTGGTGTATACGAAGGATAAGTGGGAACCGTTGTTTATCAGCTTCTGGGTTGGGCGACGGCAACAGACCTGGCGTTGGAGACGGAGATGGCTTGGGCGGCACCACGTATGGTAATGTGTAGAAGGCCATTCAGCAGAAAGCTGTGCCAAGCCTCCAGATCAACGAGGCTGTGGTCGGTGTACACGTTCTACAACACGGAGCGGTTGCACATTCCGGTCAAGGTCGGCCCTCAAAGCGCACCATGGGGGGTGGAACACGCACCGGTAGGCCAAGGACTTGGGCTGTCAGCATGGCTTCGTGGCAGAGAGTCGAGAAGGCCGAGTGGCCATGGACAAGTTGGATGCGTTCATGCTCAAATACATAGCGAAGAAAGGGTGTAGCTTGAAACACAAAAGGTACCGTGTTCTGATGGGCAATGCCATGAACAGCGGCACGGTGGTGAATCGCGGTCGAGGCGGCGGCAGGTAACGGCGGGATCAACAAAATGGCCGTTCCACGCTACCTGGCCGGCAATGGTCCAGAGCGGAAGATAATACAGGATCACGCCGTTGGGCCACTGCCATCGACCGCGAAAGCCGGCGTAGCTGTGGGTGATGATGACAACCTGCGCGCAAATCCAGCATACACCAGATGAGCACCAGCACTCAAGGCAGGGTTGGGCGGCATGATGCCCACCCACGCTCCACGCACATGGTGTCCAGCTGAGCACAGTTGCTCCGAAAGCCGAATCAAGTGGCTCTCAATCCCGCCCAGATTAGGATGGCAGAAATCGCAGACGAGGGCCACCCGCCAAGTCTGCGGGCCGACCGCCATCTCCGGCGAACCGCAATAATCTGACATTCTGACATTCTGACAATCGAAGTTTAGGGCACGATTCTTACCGCTGTATCTGTATGATGAAGCTGAAGCGGAAAAGAAGAAGGGGGAAACGAAGAAGAAGACGAAGAAGGGAATGCAGAAGCAAAGACCTTAAAGTGCAAAGAAGGTCAAGGAAGATGGAGAAGAAGTGGAAGAAGCTGTAGCAAAAAAGTCTTGAAGACCATGGGATGGAATTGTCAGCACGGACCGGTGTGATGGCGGTGGAGCCGTTTTGCGAGTGTGGATGGTGATTGTGGCAGTTATTCAACAATTTAAACTTGATGGTGCTTGATGGGATCGTGCGGACGCGCATATGGGCGTCTAAAGGGTCGTCATGGTGTGGGCTTGGGGGCATGGGTCGGATCGAGGGGAGGTCGTGCAACCGCTGGGTTGCGAGCGAACATGCTGTGGACTGGAGCCATGCCATGATCAGAATCGGTGATGGTGAGCCGAACGAGCCATCATCGTTGCCAGTGTGGAGGTCGCTGGCCTCTTTTGCTTGATCGACTCCTATCTTCACTTCTTCATCCAACCGACGGGTGCCCCCTTTGGTAGTCCTTTGGTAAGCCTTGGTCTTCAAACCAGGACATGAGGGCCAGGCGGACACACGATTAACGTTGGCCATGTATGATTGTGCGCTGATGGTGATGAGGGCAGAAGGGTACCTCCCGCCCGACTTGGTCCACTGCTGCGTTCATGGCCAATCAACTAACATCCACCACCACGCCTCTGCTGGCAACCAGGTCAAATCGGAGGAGCCTTCCGGTAGCCACCTGTCTATATATGGGCTAGCTGCAGCGGGAAGTGGCATTTTACCACATCTCGAACAAAGTTCAAGTAGCTCAACAAGAAACGTTTACCAGAACTAGACCAGACCCTTTTTTTGCTATTGGAAAATCCTTTAGACCAGCACTATGGCGCAAGTTTCAAACTCCTCGACCATTGGCAACACATCGCACAACATCCGCGAGGACAAGTCCAGCCCCGCCGAGAACCTTTCACACCCCCCTGCACGCAAGGTAGGTTTGGCTCATGCAGCTCGTTACCCAAGCGTCACCAGTCTGGTTTGAACGCAGCTCACATTGCTTTTGTAGGTGGCCGGCCAACGTCATCCTGTGATTCATCACCATTACCATCCCGAGCCAGTGGATCATGATGCGCACGGCCCCGAGGCCATGCACGACCCATCCACGGGTAATCCTTCACAGGACCTGGTAAGTGTACACGTCGCGCCAGGCTTTGGCGTGCGCGGCCATTGAGCCCGCTACCTTCCTCGTCACAACAGTCGTGAATCCCTCCCTCAACTCACCTGTGACGCGTCATCGACAGAACCTGCGACAAGAGGCTATTAAGAAACAGTCTGACAAGCTGGAAAAGCTCAACAAGGAGGCCCCTCGTGCCCAGCTGAACCGACTCCGCCACGATCCCACGAATGCCGAGCATTCTGGCCAGCCCCACGCCCTCAAGTCGGAGAAGCTGCAGCGTGCTCAGATTGGCGGCAAGGGCGCGCCCATCATGGATCATCACCGTATGAACCACATGCACAAGCAGCGCACTGGCAAGTAAAGAGGAGCAGCTGTATGTTGATTCATCCCCGTTCATGTCTAATGTGATTATCGTCTCTTCTTTTTTGCTCTGATTGAGCCTGAAGGCTCTTGGACTCGAAAAGAGTGTTCCAAGTGTGAGAAACCATAGTTGTCACCAGATAAATTGAGAGCGCTTGCGCTGTAACTGTAACTTCATCTGATCATGCAGCCACCAGCTCTGCTGCACCGCTGCCATTTTCTGATTTTCAAAGTATTCAGGCACATTACGCACAGGAGCATTTCGGATGAGATCCAATTCCCAAGCAAACAAAATTCAGGGCCGACGAAGGCCAGGCACAACAATCCAAAGTACAGCAGGACAACATCACTACAATTGGGAACAATCAGATTGCAAAACACGCAGTGTTGAGGAATAAAGGACACGCCATAGAACAACAAGCAAGCCTGCATCGATCATGGAACAACGACGACAACCCCGTAAGAAGAAAAGGAGGAAAGGACAGAAAGAGAGAGAAAGAGAAAGAACAAAGGGAGAAAAAGAAAGGGAGAGGCTGGGAGAGGCGGGGAGATGTGTGTGTGTGTGTGTGTGTGTGTGTGTGTGTGTGTGTGTGTGTGTGTGTGTGTGTAAAATCGAGGCAATGCGAGCGCGTTGTCTTGTTCAAGAGTTAAAGGTCGAATTGTCCACGGTGCGATTCCGCCTGCTGAATTGTCGTGCGGACCCGCCGTAGATTCACCATGAGCCATTGGGGGGCAGTATTTTCACACAATGGGGAATGTTTCAGCGACAGCACGCTGGCACACGGGCAAGGCAGACATACGAGCGGGGGGCCGGGGGTAGGCTGGCCTGGGCTGCCATGTGGCCCATGCGCATCAACTCATCGCGGTACTTGTCGGTGTTTTGTTGAATCTAATGCAAAGCAACGTGGTTGCAACGAGGGCTGGTGTGAGCCAAGGCGGAACGGCAGCAAGGGTCAATGAGAACGTACAGACTCGGCCAGCGCCCTGTCGGCGTCTTGGCGCTCCGCCTTGATGCGGTCACCCTCCTTCATTCGCGTCTCAAGTTCAGCGCGCGCATTGGCAATGGCTTGGCTCCTACAAGTGGATATGTTTAAGAATAAGACGACAAACGAAAAAAGAAAAGTCCGCACAAAAGACAAGCGAGGCCCCCACTGCGCCGCTTGCAGTTTGGCAGGCTGAGTGAGAAAGACAGTCATGTAACTTGCCATTGTTTCATAACGCTATGCATGCGTGTGACTTCGCCAGCTTTGACGTCCCGACTCACGGTGCTGCGCACATGAACCTGAGCGTGATAAAAGGCATTTGACAGAGACGCAGGGTTAGCATGACGCGCACGAGGCTTTGGTGGCGGTGAAAATCAAAGCTCACCTGACTCTGAGCTTGATCGAGCTTGGCCTCGAGGAGGCCAATTTCGATGGCTGCAATCAAGAGATCCTGTCGAACAAAACAATCAGGATCAAGCAGTGTCATGCTGCTGAGGTTGCTTGTACGCAAGCTTTGGCTTCTCGCGATGGAGCTCAAAACTTGGGTGCCAGCAAGTCACGGAAATTTTTTTTAAAAAAAAATAGTAGGTCAACAGGTGTACCTCAAGTTTCCGGACTTCGTGGACATCGGCGGCCTCCATGAGCACACCATAAGAAGGTGCCTATGATATGCGCATGTGAGCGGGTTGAGGAAGGCGTTGTAGGTGCACATGGATTCGAGCTCAATCTCACCTTCTGGGCGCTGCAGAGTGTGACGATCGAGAGCAGCTGGAGTTTGCGTCGCTGGGCCTCATTGATAGCTGGTAGCTTAGCCTGTGCCGCTGTGCAAATTGTCCAGGCAAGGGCAGCAGTCAGCACAGGGCATGGCGCAGGGGCAGGGGGAAAGCGGGCAGGGGGCACGGTGAGGCACGGGTGTGTGACCAAGCAGCACAGCAAACGAGTTTCAGAGTTGTGACAGACCGGTGTAGTCGGCGAGCGTGCCGTAGGCAAAAATTTCGAGCAGTTGTAGGTGGGATGCATGCTCACTCTCGCGCAAAGCTTGGAACTGGGGTAGATCCAGCACCTCTTGAAACACATAGACGTCTGGCGCACTCGTCACCTAAACCCAAACGCCAATGAATGCACGCAAGCCACCTCTTCTGCAAATGCAATAACCAGGGCAGAGCATGGACAAGCTTGAATGCAAATCCACCTGCTCAATAAAGCCCGGTCCAGCCGCCCCCCGCACATCCTTTGCCGCCAACAGATACCGCTCCAGTCCACTGGCCGCCGCCATTGTCCCTGGTTTCCTCTGTCCGTGTTCAAGCAACCGAGAGAGAGAGACTGAGAGAGATGAGAGAGAGAGAGAGAGAGAGAGAGAGGCAAAGTGAGAGAAACCTGTCTGGACAAGTTTGTTTTGTTTCTCCCGCCAAAAGCATTGAAGCATTTGTCGACAGAACACAAAAAGGAGAAGAAGAATAAAAAACGGTTTTTGTTTCCCATTGTGTCTTTGCTTCAAAAGGCCGCGGTTGACGGCAGCGGGCGCGCGAGTGCAGGCGGCGCACGGCACAAAATGAGCGGCAATAGCGGTAACAAATGCAGGCGCATGGTGGTCACGGTGGTGGGACTTGTGTGCTTATCGTGGCGTGGCTGATCATTCGCGCTGTCTTGTTCTGTGATCGATGATGTCAGGGCGTGGCGGCGCACGACGAGGCCGTGGCAGCGGCGGGCGGTCGCGCGGGCGTGGCCGTGGCGCTTTCCGCGGCGCCCGCTCCGAAGCATCAGCGCTGAGCTCGTTGCGCAGTCAGCTAAGCACGACTGGTACCTGCTTCAATGATATCGGTACGTGTGCGAAGACGACCCGACGCTTGGTGTCGAACCTTCTTGTTTCGCCTGTTGTGCTGAGCAGGGTCATCGTCAATCCATGGTAGACCGTCGCTTGCAGGAGGAAGAGTGCCCGGCCTGTCCGGGATGGAATTTGTACTTTGCTCCCGAGCGTGCGTACGCCTTCTCCATCCATCCACCTTGGTCCTTAGATCTGCGTGTACTGGCAACTCAGTTCCGATAAAAATCGCTGGGTATTTTTTTTGACTTGACAGCCTACGATGATGGCTTTCCCTATCGCACACTCATTCAGGAGTGTCGTCTGTTCTTTGAGCAATTTTCGGATCATTTCTACCAGGTCAGCAATAGAGCCAACGCTTTCCTGTTGGGTGTGACTGAAGTCTTTTCCTTCACCCTTTTCTCATCTTTTCCTCGCCCGCAGAAGTCCGTCGAGGAGCACCACGTTGTCATTGTCTGCTTTGACCGCCTGCAGACCTTTCTCCAGCGAGAGCAGGCCTCACAGGACCTGGACCCACTCTCTGAGGAGATGCGGGAGGATGCGCCTCTGATCATGCGCTGCATAGGCTTGGCCTTTTGGCAGGTGAGCAAAGCACTCTGGACCCCCGGTAGCTCCAGCGCATGTGTTGTCAGCCTTGTACATCATGTCGCCACCCTCTTACATGCCACCGATGACTTCCGACGTTAGGCGTATGCAACCGCTCGCAATGCGCAGCGTGAGCAAATCGACTTGGTCCCCCATTGGAATTGGCCTTGTATCGACGTGCGGTGGGTCTCCCCGAGCATCCAGCGCCGCGTGACCGCATGTCCGCCTCCTCACATGGTCCTCGACCTCTGCCGCCTGTCAGAGTGAGCCGTTTCGGTCCCATCACGCCGCTGCGCAAGCTCAAATCCAATGTCATTGGCAAGTTTGTGGGCATCAAAGGCACAGTTGTGCGCGTCGGCTCTGTCAAGCCCCTACCTGTCCGCCTCTGCTTCATCTGCAACCATTGCGGTGAAGAAACTGTCCTGGCGCTCGCTGAGGGTAGGTCAAAAGTGCCCAGTCTGGGTCATGCTAACATACGCCTCGCGATTCAAACTTGGCGCGTACGCCCAAGCTTCATCACAATCCGACGTGGGTTTTGTCGTAGGTAAATATGCAACGCCGTCAAAGTGCGCCACCGACGGCTGCCAGAGTCGCTCGTTTGTGCCGAGCCGCGGCAGTCCTCGCACTCAGGTTGCACCTTGTCTGTAACTGCCTAGCTGCAAGAGCTGGTACCGGAGATGCAGTCTCTGGAGATCGCACCGTCACCGGGGATCGCACCAGCTCTGCCCCGGCTCATTATGCCTGCTTTGGCTGACCTTTGTGACACTTGCAACCAAATAGAGCATCGATTTTCAGACAATCCGGCTGCAAGAGCTGGTGGAGGATGAGCAGCGCGAGGCAGGGCGCGTGCCGCGCACTGTCGAGGTCGAGCTCTTCGCCGATCAGGTCGACCGCTGCAAGCCTGGAGATGTGGTAATGGTCAGCGGGGAGGTGCGCGTCGCCAACACGGATCAAGGCAAGCGACCCAAGGACAGCCGTACCATGTTCCTGCTGTACATCAAAGCCAATTGCATATGGACCGGTTCTGCCGACGCCCAAAACGGCGGTGATATCTATGGCGACTACCGCTCAAGCACTCTCTTTGGTGTTACCTTGCTCCTGGTGCGGCCCTCGCGTTGTTTTCGATGATGGCTGTCTGCCACCACTTACCGGGCCTGCGTGGCTCGAGCTGTTTGAGCTGACTCCTTGGGCCTGCCTGCATGTGAATAGCAACAACTATCAGTGCCTCACTTTGACATGTTCAAGACTTTTGTTCACTCGCTGTGCCCTGCCATCTATGGTGCGTCCCGGCATCGAATACCTCTTCCTGAACGGTCTCCACACGGCCACGTGTTTGCTCTGGGTTGGTGCGGCCTTGCTGCTGCCATAATGCCCACTTGAAACCCGCCTGGATAGGACACGAACTGGTCAAGGCAGGGCTGGTGCTGGCACTTTTTGGCGGGCGCACCAAGTTTCTCCACGATCAGAACCGCATCCCCGTGCGCGGCGACCCCCACGTTCTCATTGTGGGTGATCCCGGCCTGGGCAAGAGTCAGGTCTGTCTCACCGTGAGGCCCAGGCCCGTGACCTCTACCTGCGCGTTGTTCTTGCCAAAAGCTTCTCACGGATCACGGCCTATCCTGTGCATCCGAGCAGATGCTGCGCGCGGTGACCAACATTGCACCTCGGGGTGTCTACGTATGCGGCAATACTACCTCGACGGCAGGCTTGACCGTGACCCTACACAAAGAGGCAGGCTCCAACGGCGAGTTTGCTCTCGAGGCCGGGGCCCTGGTTTTGGCCGATCAAGGGTGTTGCTGCATTGACGAATTTGATAAAATGGGGGTACGACCCGATTCGCCGCCTGTTGCGTGCCATTTGACTAATCATACTGATCAGGGACGTGTGCTTTTCACCTCTGCCACTCCTTTGTGTGCCGTGTCAATCAAATGATAGAACCAACACCAAGCGCTATTAGAGGCCATGGAGCAGCAATGCATCAGCATTGCCAAGGCTGGTGTGGTCTGCAGCCTCCCGGCGCGGGCTGCCGTTATTGCTGCAGGTATGTCGCCTTGCACTCCACCAATGCAACCAGAAGTGCAGGTTATCTCATTGGGTCTTGTAATCCCTCGTGGGGCACAGCCAACCCGATCGGAGGTCACTACGACAAGGGCCGAACTGTATCGGAGAACCTCAAGATGAACCCTGCCTTATTGTCTCGCTTTGATTTGGTCTTTATTCTTCTGGACGAGGTGGGTGGCAATACCGTTCCCGCGTCGTTTCGGGGGTCTGTGGTCAGCCTGCTGACGTTGTCATCCGTCTTCTTCGTACCGTACATGCACTGTGGCACCGATTTAAACAATAGGCGAACGAGGAGTTGGATCGCCTACTATCAGTTCATGTCATGGCTATGCACTCCTCGCGGGCAAGCCGAGCCACGCACACCCCGCTACCTGGCTCGCTCCAACAATTTGCCTCGGTACCGGACGGTGTGTTATCTGCCTTTGTGGCTGCCTTGGCTCGACTTTGATGCAAAAGTTTTCCCCAAAGAATGCTGCTGCCATCCTCTTCCTTCTGACACGGCATTTGGATGGGCTGCAAATGGCATGCAGTGGACTCGGGCGTGGAGCAATCACTCAAAGACCGCCTACGCAAGCGACCCGGAGGTTGGAACTCGCACGACCACATGTCGCGACCTACCAACCCACCGCTGCAGCTGGCTCATGTGCTTTTGTCGCTCGATTTCAATGCGTGCTGCCAATGTCTAGAGCCGGATGTGGATGTGATTCCTTACAATGTTCTCCGCGAATACATTGCGTATGCTCGACGCCATTGCCAACCAAAACTGTCCCCAGATGCCGCCAAGCTCATTCAAGAGGTGGGTCACTCCTGCAGCTCAACGCCTTGGTGCCGTTGCGGCACGCGTGGAGTGTCAACCCAACCGGCTCACCGGCGCACATTGTGACACGGCGACAATAGTTTTACATTGATTTGCGCCAAAGACACCATAGCGCTGATAGCACACCGATCACCACGCGACAGCTTGAATCAATGATCCGACTGTGCGAAGCGCGTGCCCGCTTGGAAATGCGCGAGCTCGTAACACCGGCGGTTTGTATTCGCTGTCGAGGCTTGCATACCGGCTCGAGAAGACGCGTGCGCTTTCACCGCGGGGACTGATTGGTTAGGACGCGCGTGACATCATTGAAATTATGCGTTTTACCATGTTTGACACCTATTGCGACGAGCTCGGACGACCAGACATCCAGGTCAGCTTTGCAAAAGGTCCTCGAAAGGCAGGGATGCAGGGTGCGCAAAAGCGCAAAAGCGCGGAAGCGCGAAAGCACGAACGCATTAAAGCATTCAAGCTTTTAACTTCGCTCCTGCCAACTGACCCCATATGTAACTTGTGAATTCTCGTAGCGTTCACAAAACGGAAGTGGGATGAGCAAAAAGGCAGCCGCGAAGCGCTTTGTGAGCCACTTGAATGACTTGGCAACTACATCATACAACTCGCTGTTTGGCAAAGATCAGTTGCGCCAAGTTGTGGAAGACCTGGGTCTGAATGTAGGTTTTGCTTTGCGCTGCCGCAGTTTATGGGCAGCAAAGGATGTGTCTTTGCTCTGGTGCTCAATCAGTTGTGATGCCTGCATTCACTTTTCATGTGTCAACAATCTTTTTGTTGACGGGTGCTCCATCAGGTGGGCAATTTCGAGGCCTTTATCGCCTCATTGAACAACCAAGGCTACTTGCTCAAAAAAGGGCCCCGCTCTTATCAGCTGCAAACACTGGACTTTTGAACGTGGTCACACCTCGCACAGAGGGTGGCAGTAGATAGACCTTGGCCATAAAAGAATGATGGAAGAATGCTAATTGACCACGACTTTGATGGTCCGGCACGCGGTCGATGACAAAGCACCTTGACTCCATGTCGGGGCAAATCAATTCGACACTGAACGGCGCAGCCGTGCGTGCGAGCGTGCTCATCTCTTCACATCTCTGCCATCAAGAGTCACGGCCTGTTAGGACGGCGGGGTCGGAAATTGAGGGCCACCTTGTTGGTAGTTGCCCGTGACATCGGCGTTGCTAAAATCAAAGCCGGGGTTCTACGAGACGAAGGAGGGTGGCACCATGAGCGTCGATAGCACGTTAGCAGTGCTACAGCATGAGCATGGCCAGAAAAAAAGCAAAAAAAAAAAAAAAAAGCAGGCGGACCTCGCGTTGAAAGCGCTCAAGGGTCATCTTTTTCTGAGTGGCATCCAGCAAGTCGGCCGGGGCCGAAAACTATAACCATAGCGTAAAATAAAGATGGCAGCAGAACGACGGTCGTGGGGGCGCTGTCACCGGCCAAGCGCAGGTGGCCATCGCGCAACCTTACCGATCCATCTTTTAAAAGCGCAGGCCAGGTGGCGCCGGCATCGCGCTGTGACTTTTCCAGGACAATTCGAAGAAGGGTCCCATCGTCTTCGATAGTCCAAACCAGCTCGTCGGCCACCACAAGGCCGTGCAAGTCACCCTGTACACCGCCGTGCGAACAGCATGCTACGTCAGGCAACGGTGCAGGAAAGGCTCAGCGGAGAAAACGAACCGGTCGACGGCGTCAACGCAAGTAAACATCACTCGAACGCACATGGACCAGGGTGACCTCTCCGACCCGCACCGTCAGCCGAGTGGCGAGCGCGGTGACCTAGCCACAACGACCTTCATGAATCAAACGTGGAGAGACACACAACCCCAACGCGCTGGCCATGCGACCCCCTACCTTAACCTCTCGAGCACGACGCGGCGGATCCAACTTGCAGAGAAGGACGACCTCGTCTATGGTCTGATACCAGGACCCCCAGGGCGTGTCGACCACCACTACCCCGCTCGTTTCATCAAAATCAGCCATCCTCACCGCGAGTCCGTAATGTCAGCATCAAAATGAGGATAATGCAGATGTTTTACAGATTTTTGCAGATTGGAACGTACACACTAAGTTAATTATATCATCTTATTCGCCACTTATTGCGGTTGTTGATGTTATTTGGCTGTACTCGAATGGCAGAAGGCGGGATGGCTCCAGTGAATGGCGGCGGAGTGTACGGCGCGTGGATGAGGCGGCGGGGCATCATGGGTTTGATGATGGGAATGGTGTTGGTACTTGTCAGTTTGAGTCTGCAAGTGGGTGGCTCTTCAATCGCCGCCGCGCCTGTGGCATCAGGGTCGGAACGACGACGGCGGCTGCCCAACATCGGGACGCTGACTTCGCTGGCGCCCCTCTGCCTCGATGTCGACGCGTGAGTTTGGCCTGATGCGGACCCAGAATTCCAGCCGTGATGTCATGTAGAATCCAGATGGGCAAGCAACTGGCTTGAAGCCTTGCAGTTGTGGCCTGTTGGTGCGGCGTGCTCATCGCTTGTGCCAACTCTTGCCAGCGCGCATGCCAACGATAGGGTGCACCAGTCCCCTTGTGATTTGAATCAAACGGCCGACGCACAACAGGGGTTTCGCCTGAAAAACAAGCAAATCATGGCCTCCTCGCAAGACTTGTGTTTTACAAGTAAGTCTTCCATCTCCCAGCCTCCACGACTCAATGGTACTGGCTGGCCACGAAATGCTTGACATTTGCTTGCTGGCAACACGATTGCAACACAGTCGCCCCTTCAAAGCCGGATCCAGAATCAGGCACCCCCGAGATTATCCTCAAACCGTGCAAGACTGGCAATATGAGCCAAGAATTTTTCTACAATACCAGCAGCATGCAGCTGCAACATCTGCACGAGCGTTTGTGTCTGGACCTGGACTCGGACGACTCGCGCGTCGAGCTGTACCCTTGCCAGGACCAACCCAGCACCAACGAACAATGGTTGCTCAATATAACCAACCGTATCGTTTCTGCTGAAGACGACCAGACCACCTGTTTGGCAGCCTGTCGGGGAATTGCTGGCGGCAACGTGGGCACGCTAGCCAACATCAGCCTCGCCGGCAAGCACGCCGCGCGCCTCGAGACCGACAAGGGCTATACTGTTCTCCTTGAGAGCCTGGCTCAGGATGTTATACGGGTGCAGTTTGAACCCTTCGGTAGCTTCACAGCCGCTACAGACTTGGGCATTGTGCTCAACGATCGATTTGATACCCCGCCAGTACGTACAAATGGGGCGACCTGGAGGGCCTGCTTTTATTTAATGCACTGGATCCCTCACGTGACCTCTGGCAACTAGGCGGTATTGGAGGTGCGCGATCACGTGATCAAGGCAGGCGCTGTCACTGTCACCGTGTCACATGCACTGATGGGCCTCGAGGTGACAGATGCGGCGGGCAACATCGTGCTCAGCGAGATTTACCCGCTCACATGGAACACCTCAAGTCTGTGGCAAACGATTGCACTCGCACAGGACGAGCAGATCTTTGGAGGGGGCATGCAGGTGCGTCGGCCAACAAGTGCCGTGTTGTGCTCAAGTCTTGGTGTCACACGCTCAGCTCTGCCAACTGAGCCTGTGTCTGATGGTTGCATCGATGTGCGATAGAATGGCTACTGGTCACATCGTGGTCGCGATGTGTTGATCGAGGAAGGTGGGGGTTGGTCCAACGGCGGTCGAGCTAATCCTGCACCTTTTTATGGTAAGGCAGGGCACCCACTGTAACCTTTCGCCAACATCGCCGGGCTTGCTTGGCGCCACTCACCAATTTGGGTTCTCTTTACCTTCCTCTCTCCTACGTTCCGCAGTCTCCACAGCCGGCTATGGTGTTTTGCGCAACACATACGCCCATGGCATGTATGCTTTTCATCGGGTCGATGAAGTGACGCTACGTCACGACGAGGCCCGCTTTGATGCGGTGTACTTTTTTGGACCCCCCAAGCGGGCCTTGGATCTCTACACGCAAGCCACTGGGCGGCCATTCATGCCCCCGCTATGGGGTTTGACGCTGGGGGACTCTGACTGCTACAATTCCCACAACCGCACCACCAAGGACGTGGTCAAGGTGGCCCAGGCATACGATCGACACCAAATGCCCGGGGGCTGGATGATCATGAACGATGGCTACGGGTGTGGATATGAGGATCTGGAGGCGGTGATTGCAAGCCTGCACCGCTTGGGCAAGTATACGGCGCTGTGGACCTCAACGGGCTTGGCCAATGCCACCTGGGAGATTGGAACGGCTGGTAGCCGAGGCATCAAGACCGATGTGGGCTGGGTCGGTGCTGGCTATCGATTTGAGCTTGATGCCGTCAAACTGGCCACCTCGCTCATTGAAAACAACTCAAATGCGCGCCGCTACATTTGGACCGTCTGTGGTTGGGCGGGCACACACCACTACGCCGTCATGTGGAACGGGGACAATACTGGGAGCTGGGAATACATTCGCTTCCAGATTCCCACTGTTTTGGGATCGGCCTTTTCAGCCCAAGCGTATACAAGCGGAGATGTTGATGGCATTTTTGGAGGTGCCCCAGAAACGTATGTCCGCGATCTGCAGTGGAAGGTTGGTCTGATCGTGTTGGACATGCCCGTAGTCTGCGTGCTTTATAGTCGAATGTGATACGGTGATCTGCATGCATGATCGTGTGCCGTGCTTGAATCCTTGTCACGGTGTCTCGTTCCGATGCAATCTGCGTTAGGTGTTTTTGCCAGTCCTGATGACCATGTCTGGGTGGGCTACCTACAACAAGCAGCCATTTGTATTTGGTGAACCCTACACGTCCTACAACCGAGATGCACTTGACCTCAAGATGCGCCTACTGCCATATCAGTACAGTTACTCGTACCAGGCATATTTGACGGGTTTAGCCATGGCCCGGCCGTTGTGCCTCGAGTTTCCGGCCGAGACGCAGTTGTTGAAATCCAACAACGTGACAGACTACCTATTCATGAGCGGAGAGTGGTTCTTGGTTGCCCCGATGTATGAGAACAGGTGCGATGTGCAGAGTGACCCTGGAGCGCTGTCTCTCGTTGCACCGGTGTCTCGATCCAACCAGCCATCGCCGGGCCAGAATTCCTCACCATGCTGGCTTTGTGGTGGATGGGCTCCGGAATCGGATAGCACGCACCGCAATGACATATACCTGCCAGGCGCCACGACGGGCGACTCGTGGTTTGACTATTGGAGCCGTGTGCATTACAAGGTAGCTCAGTGATAAAGGCATGGGAAGGAATACATGATGGGACCATTGTCATGCGCTGTTTGCATGTCCAGGGCAGACACGTGGCAACGAGGTTGCCAGGTGGGAGGAGTATCTTCTGCCACCCCCAGCGACGTCGAGCTCATGCTTGCTCCATGTCATGTTTTTTTGCGTCAAAGGGGGGCACAACCCTCAACAGGCATCCAGCCCCACTGTCGCATACACCGGTTTTTGTGCGGGCTGGGGCCATCATTCCCATGTGGCCAGCCATGTTGACTGTAGACAGTGCCCCGCGAAATCCATGGACGCTTGATTTGTGGCCAGCACCAACGGGCAACGGGTACGTGGCTCGTTCCGTCGAACTATCTTGCTGGGCTTGTTCAAAGACCTGAACCGGCGCGGCGTGTCTTTTTCCGGGCAATTTACTGGGGCGCGATCTAGTTCCTCTTCATTCTTGCTATATGAAGGTCGGTTGCAACTCCTGCGCTGGCTTCCCAGCGTTTTCCCTCAATTGTGTTTTCTTCCTTCTTCTTTCATTGCCAAATCTATCTGGTATAAAGCCAAGACAGTGCGGCGTGGCGCTGGGTGTAGACTCACATGGCATGCTTTGGCAGATGACGGAGTCACCCGTGCCTTTGCATCAGGTAGTCTGATGACGACCACGCTGAGCCTGCGAAGCAACTCGGCGGAAGTGGTGTTTGTGTACGGTGCTGCACAGGGCTTTTACGATGGCGTTGTGTATGAGCGAACCATCGATATCCACGTTCACCTTGCTGGCAGCCCGACCCGCGTGGAGTTGGCTGGCACGACTCTGCCCCATCTGAACGCAACAGAGGTGTGTTGAGCAACAGGCTTGCTGATGCTACCAGAGATTCCAGCTGCTAACGGGAGCAGATGACACTCGTGTGGGCTCACGCTGGTGGTGTGCGGCTTTGGATGCAAACCAACAACAGTATGCTGCGCACGCGCAGGGATGGATGTATCAAGCCGAAGAGCAGGAGTTGTTGGTCAAGTGTGGCACGCAAAATGTGGGTCAGGGATTTGAGCTCGTCGTGCGGCGTGCGGTTTGAGATGCCTGTCAGCCTGCGTCAGTACAAGTGTGTGTGTGTGTGTGGATGTGGGTGGGTGGGTGGTGCGATCTCATACATAAGCCAGTGGGATCAGATGCAGACCATGCCACATGACCGTATTTGACTGAGAGTTAATCTAGATTGACATGGGGCGCCCAGAGGTCGTATGAAGAACGAGCTAGGAACAAGCTGCTGCCTTGGCATCTGGAAACACTAGAAAGCCATAGGAGAGGGCGGGGATGGTGATGCTGCTGCCCACGGGTTGCTGGTGTCCTGAGAGATTGGGAAGGGTGGTCTCATCTAGCATGTGTAAGGTAACGCCATTGAGGTCGACGGTCAGGGATTGCAGATTTGGGCTGGTCAAGAAGTAAGCTGAGAAAGTATTGCCGAGGTTGTCGGGCAAACCGTCGAGGCGTTGGATGCGCAGGAGCAAGTCGACGGTCTCGTTGAAGGAATTGACGTAGGCTATGGTAATGGAACCGTTGTGGGTTCCGGCGGTGCAAGCGCCGTAAGAGCGAAAATCAGCCTGCAGGTCGGCGCTTTGAGGCTCTTGCTGCGGGACGTCAATGTACTGAGAGCCCATGAGGCGGTGGTAGAGGAGGCCGGTGTAGTAGTCGGGGTTGGGGGTAAAATTATTGGTCTGATTGACAAGAGCGTAATTCCCACCGACCAAAGCTTGGCGGCAGTGAGCCTTGTGCCCCGTCGAGGCAAGCATGCCCAGCTGGTTGAGGTACCAAAACCCGGAGATGAAGGCGTTGCAGGTGCCGGATTGACCAGAGTGCCATGCAGCGGCAGTTTCTCCAACCTAATGCGACAAAGTTGATGAGGCGGAAAGCGGATCCAGCTCAACGGCCAGCAAAAGGCGGAATGAGACCCAGGCGAGTGGGAAAGGCAACGGAGAGGGGTGCTGACCCAGAGCTCCGCAGTACTGGCGGTGGCCAGCTGAGACCGTTGAATGGGGCCGGCCACACGGCCGATAAAGCCAAAGGTGGAGGCGGCAGTGAGCTGCTGCAGCAGGTCCGGGCTTACACCGTAGCCTATAAAGGAAAGAAATTGGATGCAAAGGCCAGGCAGGGGATGGGTGATGAGATGCGGCTTCCTCTTTCTGAGGTCGGGCCGGGGGTGGAGGACTAAATGGGAGATCTAGTCGAGGGGCAAGGGCAGGACAGACCAATGTAGAGGTGGTAGGTCACGGCATCCAGGGTGCCAGGGCCCGCAGCAGTGAGAAAGGCGCGCAGCCAGTCAGCTCGTGGGTTGAGATCAGGGCCGACGAGTTTGGGCCGTGTGGTGGCGTTGGGCCAGAGCTGATTGATCCAAGCACGCGTTTGGATGAAAGCGTCAGCCGCCAGCTGCGGGGACAGGACCCCCTGCTTTTCGTTGCCCAGCTCAAAGCCAGCAACGGTAAGATTGTTTTGGGCTGTGTACTGGAGAAGTTCAAAGGTATTGGTGCCGTTCCACGGCGCGTTGGGGTCTTGACAGGGGAGGGCGCCCGTGTTGTTGCGGCCCGCACAAATGTTGAGGCCAAAGACGAGACGAAGACCCGTGTCCTGGCAAAACTCGATCAGTTGGCGCCAACGAGGCATGGTGAGGCAAAACTCGGGCATGGCAGCGCAGTCGCTGGGTGGCGCTTGGGTATTGACCAGGTAACTGGCCAGATCGCCTTCCGACCCGCCGATGCGCAGGTAGGCCGGGGCCATGGCACGAGCCAGGGCACGCAGGCGGGGATTTTCGAAATCAATGTTGAGAACGGAAGCGTTGACCCAGCTGGCACCCTCACTTGCCGTGTGCCAGTCAAAGTTGAAGGAGACGTAGCTGTCCGAGCTGGTGGCGGAGACGGCGTTGATGTACGGCGCGATCGCAACGGTGACAGTGGCCTGAGCTGGGGCCATACACGCCAGTAGGACCAGACATATTGCCCCAAGCCGACCCACGCCCATCGCAAGGCCCCTTCGGCGACCCGCCACCGTGTAACCCGACACCGCCATGGTCCACAATGACCCCTTTCAAGCCACCGCACAAACCCCTTGCCCCCGTCAAAGCTGGATCTCTCCCGAACCCCCCCCCCCAACGCCCGTTACATGAGAGAGAGAGAGAGAGAGAGAGAGTCAGAGAGAGAGAGTCAGAGAGAGAAAAACATCAACAACGTCAAACAAACTTCATCTCACTGCGTTCGTACACTACATTTTTTATCTATAATCCCCTTTAACTTTAACTTTCAACCCTACACACACACACACACACACACACACACACATACACAAAAAAAAGATACACAAAAAAAAGAGAGAGAGGGGAGAGCGGTTCGAAGCGTTTTGCTCGAACCAGTGAGTGCCAACTCAACTTTTTTTTTTTTTCAAGAGTGCAAGCTCCGCCCGTGCACTCTTGATAGGGTCTGATACACTTGGCCTCGGGGGCACGTTTGGAGACGGAATAGATAGGTCGGCATGCCAAGGAGGCAGGGTGGTACTGGCCCTTTGACTTGCGTGTTTGTTTCTGTTTGCCGATACACCTGTGAGCTGATTTCGCCTTCAAAGGCGTTGGGCTTGACAACGCGTATGGGCAAGGGGCGGATCGCCGACAGGGACTGTGCTCGGCCCGCTGACTGCGCCTGCTGATTCGTCTGGCTTGTCCTCTTCTGTTTTCCCACGCTTGCCACGGACCATCGCTGATTGGATGTGTTGGACGGTTCGCGACTGCCCTTTTATCTGTAGGACACCAGAGACTCGCTCACCACCAGTGCACTCGCCTCTCCAGCGTGCCTCGAGACGCGACCAGCCGACTGAAACAGGAGGACACCCGACCGAGAATCAGACAAGCAGACCGACAGACGCACACACAGACAGATAGACAGACACCGTGCAAGATGGCAACACGTGGCTTGGGATCCTTGATGAAGGGCGCAGGGCGCTCGCCGGCAGTGACAGAGCAGCAGTTGCTGACCAAGGCGGAGATTACCCCATCCGACGTCATCAACCTCAAGGCCCCGACCACCCGTACGTACCTTTTTTTTTAAAACGCTATGCACTATTTAGGCGGGGAAGGGGGGAGGGGCATGAGCGTGTTTGTGCCAGGCATTTGCCGTGCTTGAAGCGCGCAGCAGCACAGCTCATGCATCGGGATGGTGGACCTGCAGAGTACTTGTGCAAGACGACCGACAACAAGTTTGGCATTGAGTTTACCGCCTTTAAGCTCCGTGACCTCGATCGCGGCCTCATTTTGTTTGAAATTGCCAAGCCAGATGATGCGTGCGTTGCCAACCTGGCCCCTCCTCGACGGCGCTCCGTTTTATTTTCGTTTTCATCTTTCTCTCTCTCTCTCTCTCTCTCTCTTTTTTTTTTTCCCCCCCGGGACAACCGCGAGCGGCCCTGCCGGCCTTTTTGGGCTCACTGTATGCTTCTTTGGCGGCCCCATGTGCTTTAGGCCCTACGAACCCCCATCAGAGGATGACGATGACAGTGGCCGCTTTGTCGACTACCGTTTCACGCCCGACTTTTTGCGTTTGCGAACCGTGGGTGCGACCGTGACCTTTCGCGTGGGCGACGAACCCGTGCCCAACTTTCGCATGATCGAGCGTCATTTTTTCCGCAACAAGCTACTCAAGAGCTTTGACTTTGACTTTGGCTTTTGCATCCCCGCCTCAAACAACACTTGCGAGCACATTTATCAGTTTCCTACTCTGACAGAGGCCGAGAGTAAGTGGCCATTTGCTACGCTGGCTCGAGCGCACCCATCCTTGCACTGCTGTCTCTCACTCGATCCTGCTCGTGCGTGGGTGTGGGCGTGGGCGTGGGCGTACAGTCGAGGACATGATTGCGTCGCCCGGTGAAACCAAATCGGACAGCTTTTACTTTGTTGATGGCAAACTCGTCATGCACAACCGCGCCGTCTACTCTTACGACGCTTAACCACCCGTTCTGACCGATTGTTCCTCTTGTCTGCCGCCTGATGATGCTGCTCCTACCCTGTCCAATTCACATGTCAATGCTCAGCGCAACACCTACTCCCGTTTCATCGTCCACACCCATTCCTAACCACTGCCGCGGCTGTCCCTCTGCTGGGCCTCTCCATCCCAAGCACCTCTGCCCCTTTGCTGTTTTGCTCCACCTCCACCTCCTCTGTCTCTGCCCTCTTTCTCTCTGACCACCTCCCCTCTCCAACCCATGAACATCAGTCAAGCCGGACAGCGAAAAGGTTTTCGCATTTCAACACACGTCCGCGAAAACAGTGAAGCCACCGCCATGATAAGTCGTTGACAACAGTCATTGTCCACGATAACTAAATTTAGAATACTCACGGACGCCAACCTTGGTCTTGCTTACACACACACGTATACGTATGCAGCGTTGGCAGCATGGCCAAACTTGGCCTATGGTAGTTTGTGAAGATATTTATAGAGTTATAGTATATCTGATAATATTTATAGAGTAAGTTTTTGCTTCTAAAACGAGGGTTATTGAAGTAGACCAAAGACTCTCTTACGCGTATCCAAACGTCGATCGAACGACGCCCACACACACACACACTCTCTCTCTCGCTGATCGAGCTTGATCGTTGATCGTCGTCGTCATCAATCGGCTCGCACGTAGGAGGGCGCGCGACGCGCTGGACAGGCATTTTCTTCTCTTCAGCTCAGCCAGCAAGAACATCGCATCACGTCTACATCACATCTACAGCACATTACAGCACCTTCCGCCATCGTCACGGACTGATCATCGAATCGAACCGAACAACACTTTGCACCAACAGCATGGGTGGAGAAACCGTTCCCGTGTCAGCAGCCACTGCTGAAGCGCCAGCGCCGCTGCAGTTGGATGTGCGCCCGTTGTGGCAATACGCCGAGATCGGGGCGCGTGAGTCGAGCGCCTACATCAGCTGCCGCCTGACCGCCCCTGATTTTGAGCCGGTGGAGCGACCTGCCATCGATTTGGTGGCCGTCATTGATGTGTCCGGCTCGATGGCCGGGCAAAAGCTCAAGATGGTTCAGAGCACACTCGAGTTTCTCATGCGCAACCTCAAGGACACTGATCGTTTTGCACTCGTGACCTTTGACTCTGATGTGAAAACCGTCTTTGACCTGCGGCCCATGACCACGGCTCACAAGGAGGCTTGCCTGGCCGATGTCCAGAAGCTGCGGGCTGGCTCCTGCACCAACCTCAGTGGCGGCCTGTTCCGCGGCGTCGAGCTCATGCAGCAACGCGGGGCCACCAAGGGAGCCGTCAGCTCGATCCTGCTCATGACTGACGGTATTGCCAACGAGGGCGTCCGCGACAAGGACGACATGTGCCGGGCGTTGCGCGGCCTGATGGGCCCGGCCCCCGACTATACCATCTACACCTTTGGCTACGGCAAGGACCACAACGAGAACATGCTGCGCCAGCTCTCGGAAACCGGCAATGGCATGTACTACTTTATTGAGAGCAACGACATTATTCCGGAGAGCTTTGGCGACTGCCTGGGCGGCCTCCTCTCCGTCTTTGCCCAGAACATTGAGGTCAAGCTGTCGGCCGTGCACCCAGAGGCCACCATCAAGCGCGTCTGCATGCAGCGCGCCGCCACTCTGGCTGATGATCGCCGCACTGCCACTTTCACCATCGGCGACATTCAGTCGGAAGAGGTCAAGGAGGTGCTTTTCGAGGTCAATCTGCCCTTGGTGGAACTGCACGACGCCGTGGCCGAGGCTGGCACGGCCACGGCCTACTTTCGCGCCGATGTCTCCTACCTCAACCTCTCCTCCAGCTCCTTTGAGAAGCATGCAGCGACGTTCTCCACCGCTCGTCCCGCGGAGGTTCCTGCCGTCCGCGAAGCCAACGAGGCAGTGACAGACGCCATCGCCCGCTTTGTGGCTGTCGATGGCATGGAGGAAGCGCGCCGCTTGGCCGAGGCTGGCAAGTTTGATGCCGTGCGCGAGCGCTTGCAGGACGTGCGCGGCTTTGTGAGCGCCAACAAGTCGGCGCAGGCTTGCAATCTCGTGGCGGATCTCGATGACATGCTGGTGGCCACGGCCTCACGCGAACAGTACCAGCAGCAGGGCCGCTACGAGATGGTCAGCCAGGCTCAAGCCTACTCCAACATGCGCTCCAACCGTGTCTGGGCCAACGACGAAACGCGTGAGCGTTTTGCCACCAAGAAGAAGGGCATGCTGCGCCGTGCCGCCAAGGCATAAACCCACGTCCTTGCCGCCTGTTCCCTGCCATACATCTCTACCCCCGACACCCCGTCTATTGTGCGATGGGTTGCTGTATTACTTTTATCTCAAGTGTGTTCAAACTTTGAAGGAGTGCGCTGGGCGTCTCCTCCACCCAGCCGTCTTTTCGCAATAATTGAAATTTAGCGTGACATCCCTGGTCCCCGCCGCCTCTGTCATTATTTCCTCCAAGACATATTCGTTGAAACAAAAGTGAGAAAAATGAAGAGAAAGAGGGTTTAATACAGCTCCATCGTTTTTACAGTAAACTACGCACAAGCTCTGGCACTCAGCTATGTTTTACAACGACTGATGCCCAATTGTGGCTCTTCTGAAGGGCACTCTAAAAACATTTGACTTTTTGTTTGCCTCGCTTGCTGTTTAACGAGTTGGCAACGGCCACTTGCAGACGGACAAAGAAGGCTGACTTCTTCACTCACATGTCAATCTGTGTGGGCCTTGCAGAGCAGTGCCTTCTCGTTGAAGAGGGCAATCATGTTCTCGATGGAAGCTAGACCTGTGAAAACGCGCGTTTCACGCACGCCACTTGGGGTTGAAAAGACCAGCTCAAACAACACCCCTAGGCCCATGAACGAGGTTTTGCCCCGCTCAGCCACCATCAAGCGATTCAAGGGCATGACAAAACTAAGTCACAGCCCAAGCAAAGACGCCCAGCGAGCGTGAGCGGTGGGGTCTCATGCGTCTTGAAAGATGGCGCAAGAGGCAAGCGTACGAGAGGGGGGCGGAAGGGACGGCACTGTGCGCACCTGCCACTTTCTTCCGGGTTGGAACGCAAAAAGGCCGTGAACCCTTCGGCCAGAAAGAGGCGACCCTTGCGTGCCGTCTTGAAGTTGCCGTTCTCAAGCCACAAACAGCCCCAGGAATGAAGAACCTCGGCCCTGCCGTGGTCACAATAGAGAAGAAGAAGAAAGGGGACAAAAATAGAGAGCAGCGAATCGCGTGAGAGCCGGCCTCTTGTTTCAATGGACCCGCAGCAAGGGCTACCAAGAATAAGGGCTTCGTACGTGGCCGGTAGACCAAGGTCAATGAGTCGCTGCAGTTGATTGTCACTCGTTTTTGGCGCTACGGCGCGCTGCTTGCCAGGCGAGTTGGTGGCGTCGTTGGCGCTGCTTGTTGAACGCGTTCGCAGCCGTGGCTCAGGCAACGATCCTATCACGCCCCCGCAAGTCGTGACCGGACACACACAAGCCCACAGTCACGCACGCGCACCACATCAGGTACAAGACCATGGCCAAATACTCTCGGAGCGGTCATCATCGAGACGTACCGCTGCGTGTTTCACGAACAGAGGTTGCTGACATCGCTGCGCCGGCAGGAACGGCCCCGTCGACCCGCGACTGCGCCGCTTGCTTGATCATGGCGTTGGTCGGGGCATGATCAATGATGCTGCTTGCATATTTGCGCCGCACTTCTGGGAAGTTGATGTAGATGGCCTCGATGACAAAGAAGCGATAGCCCAAGTAGATCTAAAACGCCACATGTCCGCCTGGTCATCAATATCCCAAATGACGAGCAGACAAGCCCAGAAGAGCCGCCACCAGCAAGCAGAAGCTATCTTTGGATGTGGCATCACAAACCTCGGCGGCTTGGATGATGATCCAAGTGGGAAGCAACAGCCAGGCGCCCAGTAAAATGGCCACGCCCGTGGCAATCTTGGAGGTCTGCAGCGGCGCAGCCCAGGTAAAGAGATTGATGACCCTTTCCAGCGCATCGGCCACCTCGCCAGTGCCATTCTGTATCTTGCGCACCACCTACAGTGACACACAGGCCAGCAACATCGGACGGGCTCAAATGTCGCGCGCCATACCCGAGATCCCAAAGTAGGGAGCGAGAGGAAGCGAGGGGACAACAAGGGGAAAAGAGCCTGACCTTGACCTTTTCCCATATTTTAAAGCCGCCGCTAGCTGCTGCTGCCAGAGCATCGTCCTTCTCAGTCTTGGCAGGTGTGGCTTTTGGAAGATAGCCTTTGGGCCAGAGCAGGCAGATACGTCAGGGAGACTCCGGAAGCCAAACATCAAGTTCACACGTCCAATATGCGGGGAGTAGAAAAGCCATCGCATGGGAAGGAGGCGCAGCGGACACACCTTCGTGGCGGAGGTAGCCCCGGAGGAGCAGGACTAGGATCCAAGCCAGAGCCAAGGGTACGAGCAGCTGGTTGTAGCAGCCAAAGATGTAGAGGCAAAGGCAAAAGCCTGTTTCAACGGGACGATGCCAGCTCGCAAGAATGCGCAGTTGGGCTGCCATCTGGAAAAAGGGCTCTGTAGCCGTGCGCAGACGCTGCATGTTGCTCATCAGCAGCTTGGAGCTATAGTTTGGGGACGCCTTCTCCGGCACATCGGCCACTGGTGGCTCATCCTAGATTCACGACCCGGTAGCGTGAGCGACAACGTTTGCACTTGAGAAACAAGGAGAAACAAAAGGGCGGCGCGCCACACTTACTTGGCCGTGCTTGGCCCGCGCGGCCGTCAGCACGTCAATCCAGAAGAGCTGGGCATGGGCTGCTTCGTCTCTCAACATGGCCAGGTAGCCTTTTTGTGTCAGTGGGGCGGTCACCGGGACCTCGGGTGTCTGTGTAGTCAATGGAGCTGCCTCGACCTCGCTCTCATGACCATCGATGTCAGCCCCACCCTCGGAAGGCACGTCCACAAAGTCGTACTCGTGCAACAAATCGTCATCGCTGTCCTCGGTGGCAGTACCTTCGGCTGGTCTTGGCGTGAGGTAGTCGTGGTCCTCGCCATGCACGCCATCAAGTTCACCGACTGCACTACGGGGTGCCGCCACAGCCGATCCTTGGGAACGAGGCGGTGGCACGGGAAACAGCTCCTCTGAGACCTCCGCCTCGCGCTCAGGCTGGGACGCGGGGTGCTGCTGTGCTTGCGTTGGCGGCGGTGGCCGTGCCGGTGGCGGCCGGTGTTGACCTGGTGAACTCATCGCCCCGTCCTCCTCCCTTGTTGGAGAGCGTCTTGCCTCTGTTCAAGCCTGGCCCCGTCAGCGACCCTCTGTACCAAAGCCAACGTCAACGTCAACGTCGGAGAGGTAGAGAGAGGTAGAGAGAGGTAGAGAGAGGTAGAGAGAGGTAGAGAGAGGTAGAGAGAGGTAGAGAGAGGTAGAGAGAGGTAGAGAGAGGTAGAGAGAGGAGAGGTACGGAGAGGTACGGAGAGGTCGAGAGGTCGGAGAGGTCCGGAGAGGTAGAGAGGTCGGAGAGGTCGGAGAGGTCGGAGAGGTCGGAGAGGTCGGAGAGGTCGAGAGAGGTCGGAGGGGTCGAGGTACGGAGAGGTAGAGAGAGGTAGAGAGAGGTCGAGGAGGTCGAGGAGGTCGCGCTGTTGTTGTTGTTGTTGATGTGTCGTCGCCTGTGGGCACTGAGAAAGAAAAGCAGAGATAATGTCGAATCGTATCACTCACGACATCAAAATCAACGGAAATGCAAACACGAGTCAGAGAGTGAGAGGGACGGATACAAGAGACAGCCAACAACAAAAAGAGAACGCGCGCGCAAGACTTTGACTGAACACACCTCTCTAATTTAAACAGTTATAAAGCTACCTTTCACTGGCTTCGCGCGCCGCCAGCTCTGATTTTTTTTTTTTTTTTTAAATTTTTCATTTTTTTTCTGGTGGCACGATCCGCTCGTTGGTCGGCGCCTGACCCCTTGCTTGTCGCCTCTTGTTTTGTTTGGCTTCGGGTCTGTGTTCCGCTCCTTCCTCATTCGTCTTTGGCTTGCCTTATTAGCTGCAGAGCAGTGGTGCCACGGACGGCGGTGATCATGTTGGCTCGCACTGCCCTCTTGTCGCTGGCGCGCGCTGGGCGTGTGCCGGCACGTGACTTGCTCGGTGTGACGCCCGAGCTCTTGGTCCGGCGCGGCATCAAGTACGCACCCAGCGACCCGGAAGTGGTACCGCTACCCTTTGAGAATAGCGTGGTACATTGGTCGGAAGAAGGTGCCTTGCATGATCCAACGGCACCCGTGACCGTCCTGGTACATGGCTCGCCAGGCTCCTCCCGTGACTTTCGCTACCTGGCCCCGGCGCTGCAAGCGCACACCAATGATCAGCTTCGCATCCTCCGCCTCAACATGCCCGGTGAAGGCACCGCACCCATTGAAGCATGCCCCTCGCCCACGGCGCCAGCACTCGGCGCGTTTACAGCTCGTGCCATTGACCATTACATCGAGACGCGTCAGCTGCAGCCCAGCAGCCTGACCCTTGTAGGCCACAGCATGGGGGGACCCGTCTCCATGTACGCGCTCTCCCTTCGAGCCAGCACCTGGCTGCAGCAGTTCCCCGTGAACCTGGCCCTGCTGGCTCCCGTCAGCTTTAGCATTCACCGTGGCATGCGCACCACTCGGCCTGCTCTGCGCCGTGCCATCGCCATGGCCGAGGCTGCCCCCCGCTGGATTCGCGACCTCTTTTATCGCTATGCCCAGCATGTGATGCATGTCAAGCTTAAATTTCCTAAAGCTTCTCTCGGCAATCTGGAAGAGCTGCGCCGCTCTCTCCTACGGGCCAATGAGACGTGCTTTGACCAGCACACCCACGTGCTCCACCCCCAGCTTACCCAGACCTTGACCCACCGGCCCGCTGCCGCTGTTCACCCTTGCCGTGGCCGTTTGATTTACACAAGCGATGACCACTTGGTTGAGCCCGAGGTGTTTGATGGGGCCTTTACCCTCCTCTCTCAAGTAGGCTTTGACGACTTTGGCCGCGATGTCATCGAGTCTGGTGGTCACAACCTTCAGAAAACCCAAGCAGACCTCATTGGTCAGAGCCTGGCCCAGCATTTGCTGCAGTCAGCCAAGCAAGTCTAAAGTTAAAGTCTGTTCACGTGGGTGCTTGTGGCAAGGAGAGACATGGAAAGCACCTTGCTTCCTTCAAGCAGCACTGCGCTGAGCGCATAAAGCCGAGTCAAATAAATTGATCTGAATCTGTTTTATTTTTACCGTTGGCACGCGTGTGTGCATGTGTGTGTGTGCGGTGTCTAGCATCCCTCTGCCAAAGTGCGACTATTCTAAACACAGCCTGACCGAGTCCTTTGATATGGACACGCCCTTGTGGACGACAACGGGGAGCAGGAAAACCCCGGCAGGTTAAACGGATATCAGATGGTTGGTGGGGGGGGGGGGGGCGTTCCCAATCTAGGTGTCATGATTTGCTGATCCAATAAATCTGAAGCAAGCCTCAATTTGCTCCTCTCGCATGCAGACTGCATCGAGCGAAACGCTGGATTTGTCGGACACCTGGCATGCGCAGCAAGCCGAAGGGCCGCGGAAAAAGAATGGAAAATCGAATAGGGAAGACTAAGGGACGAGCCATAAAGAGCTAAATACGGACGCAACAACAAAGGGGCACTGCACGCTCAACCTCGTTGGGATTGGTGTAATGCCCCCAGACTCTCTAGAACAGGAAAACAGGCCGTTGAAGGCGGGGGAGGGAATGGCAAAGCGTGGGCCAACAAGCCATCGCCGCTCGACCGGGTCAAAAGAGAACAAAAACAAGGATTGTGGGCCTACGGGGGAGGAATTTGGATCTGAAAAGCAACTACTACTGGGTCCAGCCCAAGATTAAGCTGCTCACTATAGCCAAGCGCGGCGTTTGGTCACGTCACAACGAAGGCACGATCCAAGGGGCAGACGGCTGCGATTAATAGTAAGGTGCGTCTTGGTCGATCAGGCCGGACAGCTGTTGTACGAAGTGCGTGGATCGACGATTGATGCGGTAGCAGGAATTCGAGTGGAGGCCGTCGTCTGACTCCATGGGATCGCTGGCGCCTGCGCCGTCGTCGAGATTGTCATCCATGTCTTCCAAGTCACTGTAGCGACGGTGGCAGGGCTGGTAGTGGGTGGCGGGACTGGTGTGAGAAAAGCAGGATGCCTCATTTTGGTGCACGTGGTGGTTCAGCGGGTGTGGCGGGATTGCTGCGTCCTGGTCTGTGCCTTGACTGGCCGGAGGTGGGGTGGTGGACTCGGCACTGACGCAGTCGCCATTCTGGTTGGGATTGGAGAGGCGACGTTGAGGGGGGCCATAGTGGGGCTGAGGAGTGACGAGCGTGGGGGTTTGCAAGGCGGCAACGGCGGCCGCAGCCGCTTGCAGCACCTGAGCACCATAGGTAGAGAAGGAATCGGTGTTGCATTCACTCTGGAACCAAGGTCGGTTGGAGAGGACAAAGGCCAGGGCGTCGCTGAGGGTGGCGCGGAGGTTGGGGTTGGGGTGAAGCAGGCGGAGGAGGAGCACACGAAGGTCTGGAGAGAGGAGCTGCAGGCGGTCGCCAACGGGGAGTTTGCCGGTGGCGAGGTAGCGGACGTAGGCGGGATCGCGTTGGCTGGCGCGATCCCAGGGAAGATCGGCAAAGAGAGTGGCATACCAGGTGAGGCCTACGGCCCAAGCGTCCTGGGCGGAGCTGCAAGCACCACCCTGGAGCAGGTCTGGGGACATGTAAAGTTGGGTGCCGGCGATGCGGGAGGGGTATCGGTAGCCTGAGGGGACGGTGGTGCCAAAGTCGTGTAGGAAGAGGTTACCCTCGGCGTCGATGAGGCAGTTTTCAGGCTTGATGTCGCCGTGCACCAGGCCCTGGCAGGCGAGGGCGTCCGCGGCCAGGAGGAGCTGACGCATCCAGCGACGGGACGCTTCGATGGTGAGGGGACGGGCGGCGGTGGGGCGAATGTGGTCAAAAAGGGTACCGCCGGCCATGATGGGGAGAACGAGGGCGTGGCCGAGTTTGTCGAGGGGAAAGTGGTCGAGGAGGTGGGCAATGTGTGGGCTGCCCTGGCAGCGTTGAAGGGCTTCAGCCTCGTGGGCACCACCAAAGGGGTAGCCAACGGCGACCTTGAGGGCAAGGTGGCGATCCGTCTCCAGATCCAGGACGCAAAAAACGGTACCTGAGGCGCCAGCGCCCAGGCGATCAAGAAGGCGGTATCGGTTGTGGAGTATATTACCGAGCTGAAGCGCTGTGTCGGCGGCAGGGATAGCGGCCATGATGCTTGTTTGCGAACAAGCTGTTGAGGCAAACAAGGGGTGCTCAGAACCGCGTGGCTTGAGGCGCCCAAAAGCGGTGAGCCGAGGCAGTCACAAGATTTAAAAATGCTAGGCTTGATAGTATTCGAGATTGATCACTCAATGGGGAGGGCAGGTGGTCGTAGAGGAATGCGTGTGTGAATGCAACAACGGTCAAACTAGCGGACGCTCAGCTATGCAAGTGAGCCGAGGGTGGAAATTCAAAGAGAGGCGGGGCGGGGCGGGGGGGGAATGTAGGTGGTGTGTAGTGGCGGAGTGTGGTGAAGAAAGACACCAAGGCAAGCAATCAAGTACACACACACACAGAGACAGGAGCAACCGTGTGTGAACAACGAGTCTTTGGAAATGATGGTATACAGGCGAGTGCCGGAATCAAGAAAATGCCCAAACTGCCGCACCACCACCCACCACCTCAAACAGAGCAGATCCGATCGCGCTTAAAATAGCAGAAGTTGAAGAGAGAGAGAGAAACGAGAGAGAGAGAGAGACAAGAGAAAGAGAGAGAGAGAGAGAGAGAGAGAGAGAGAGAAGACGCAGACGCGCACACACACACACACATACACACATACGCACAGGCAGAGGAGGAATCCCAATGAGTAGGGTGAGTTCATCAACTTGTGAATGGGTTGGTGCAGGGAAAGTTTGGTGGCACTCGTTGTATGTTATGATGTTATGTTGGGTGTAGTGGTGGGCCGATCGTCCTCCTCCTCTCTCTCTCTCTCTCTCTTTCTTTCTTGTGTTTTTCATTTGGTATACCCATGAGGACCCATGACATGCTACGCATACTGGGAAGGAGCAATGGGCTTTGCCGGGTAGCCGTGGGACCCAACTTGAATGCATTTGCACAAGGGGGCAAGGGAGGGGGTCGTACTTGGCCAGGCTTGATACTTGTTGTCGGGACTAGTCCTTGGCTTGGTACTCGTTGGTCCCGACTGCTGGAGCTGGAGCTGGGTATAAGATTATACGTTTCTGTTTCGGCCTTGTGATTGGGCGGGCGGACGGACGGACGGGCGGGCCACGTCGGGGAGGCAAGCCACCAGGTCAGGGCATGATGCAAAAGAAGAAGAACGGAAAAGGATTGGGGCGCCTCACAGCCGGCGGGCTGGCTGCCAACCTTGCAGTCGAGTGCGTGGTGAGATGAAAACTCGATGAAATCGTGTCATCTTCATGACACGTGCATGAATATCAAAAGTTTCATCCTGGGCAGCCGACTGGCATGTGGCACAATGTCCAGGGTGGTAGGCGCCGACAAAAAAAAAGTGTCGTGGACCCTAAGCGTAGACTCTTCATGGCATCTTCCTCGCAGCAGGCCGGCCAGCCCTCCCGACATCGCTGGGTTGCCCAAGGCAGGCCACGGGTCAGACCTGCGCACCTAACCCCCAATGCAGCGAGCCATGGCACGCCCCTCATCACTGCTCCTTTACCGTATTGATTCTCTAGCCTTGACGGTCACGTCATCGGCTTTGGGCGGCACTTGCACTCATCTTATTTTCCTTGATTGCGTGGGCCGCCCCACTGCAGAGGCTGCCCACTGTTTCGTGCCAAGGCCCAAAGATTGGCTCCTGCCGTGTCCTACGACAACGACCATTCACTCATCTTCGACCGAGTGGTGCACGCAAGCCCACACAAAGCCATCAAATTCCTCTCGGCAAAACGACCAGCTGCTGCGCAGTTTAGGCGTTGTCACATCTGCTGCGCAGTTTGGGCGTTGTCGCATGCGTGCCATCTACCTGACGTCATCATCGCCAACCAAATTTCATGGATGAAACATCTTTTTCCTGTGAGTTTTGGCTTCTTTTTTGATGTTCTTCTTACTGTGATGTCTCTCTGTCTCTCTCCTCTCTATCTGCTCTATCTGCTCTATCTGCTCTATCTGCTCTATCTGCTCTATCTGCTCTATCTGCTCTATCTGCTCTATCTGCTCTATCTGCTCTATCTGCTCTCTCTTGCTCTATCTGCTCTATCTGCTCTATCTTGCTCTCTCTTGCTCTATCTGCTCTATCTGCTCTATCTGCTTTCTCTAGCTTTTTCCTTTGTGTCTTTGCTCTTTACTTCTCTCTTCTCAAACCAATTCTGCTTTCTCTTGCTCTCTCTTGCTCTTATTTTCTTTCTCTCGATCTGCTCTTACTTGTTCATGATGACTAAAACGCGACCCAGCATCGTCTCGCCCCTCGATTGGACAACGTATCATCCCTTCGGAAAAGCGAACGGGACCATCGCAAAATGAGGCGCAGTTGGTGTCCATCAAACAGAAGCAAGCTTCGACGCAGCTCCGCCCCAAGCATAATCATGTTATTATGCTATTCGGACAACCAGCAATCCAGCACCCCAAATACATCGGCAACCTCAACAACCTGCATGAACAATCAAGCGCGCCGATGGGAGAGGACACTCACAACAAGAATTCTTACTCACACAATACTTCTGTGCCGAGGAGGACACAGGACATGGGACACCAACTATAACACCAAGCGCTGGTTCGGGGCTTTGAAGAATACGGGCCAGGCACGGCATGACTTGCATCTGCACATCAACAGCAACACAACACACCCACGCACACATACCAATTCCCTCATGCCTTTGAAAGTGGACAAAGGAGCTTTGGAAGCCTAAACGACAAGGTTGTCAGCGAAATCTCCCTTCCCTTCACCAAATGGGATGACTGGGACGATTGCTTTTGACGTCACTGCTGTGACACACCAACATTCCAAGCAACCCAGCAGTCCTTCGCTTGCTATTATGACGGTCCAGTTGTAGGACAAAATGGGGTGCGAGGCGCCACTTGACCCTGTCTGGCACATCGATTGACTGTGCAGACGGGAGCGCGTCCTGTCCTCACCCACATGTACCCCCATCGCGCCGTCGTCCAATCAGACAAGTCGCGGACAGAGTTACTGCTGATTTGACTATCCTCAACCCCCTTGCTGCGAGGGTAAAACCTTGTCATCTCCAAACATTGTCACTCACTGCAGTCCCCGTCCCTCCCCCCCCCCCTCTAGCTCCCCTACCAAAGGCCGCACCACCGCACGCCTTGACCCTGACTCTTGAATCGTGGCCGAACCTTCGGACCCCAAACGACCAAAAACCAAGCGATCGGAGCCAGCTGTGTAACCCCCGAAACAAATCCAACCCGCGCAAACGGGGTGCCGACGCACCTTGTTTCTGCTCGCCGCCCTCTTGTGCCTGTCAGGGCCCATCAATGCCAATCAGGCTCTCGCTTACCCCCTTGCCAGATCCCTGGCGTGCAGACCAACACAAAACGCGCAAAGGTGCATCTCCAAAAATCATCACGTGGGAAGATCATCATCTCTTTTCACTGCCCTCCAAGCGCAGCATGCTTGTGAAATGCCATCTCCATGCACGTGACTATCTGCTTGTTGCGCTTGACGCACGCACGTGATGGGCGGCCACATCCCTGCCTGATGCAGTCATCCAGCCTATCATTCTACATACACGAGTCCCCGGTCGCTGATGAAAAACAAGCTCTCATGGTTGGGTGGTCCACCAGATCAGTTGGGTTAAGTGGCACAATGGTTGGGATTGTGTCGGGGACGTTGACGAGCTGCCTGAACAAGTACGAGACACCAAGTTGAGGTGGAGTCAGTCGTGGGTTTCGTGTTGATGCAAGATATACGCATGCCTCGTATCAAGTTGTCGAGTTGGCTATCATCTGTTGGCTCACAATAACATCTCGGTTCCAAGTTTCGACCAGCGGACGACCAAGCCCTGAGATGTCATGCCATCTTATAGCCAAGCTGACCCCTGATATAACTGCTCGCCAACGTTGCCAGAAGAACACAAGAACGAAAAGAAGAGATTGATTGGGAGGGGGGGACGTGCTGGTGCGAAAGAATTCTGAATGGATGGTTGATGCAAGCAAAACTGCTAGGTTGTCCGTGCGTACTCTACTTGGCCTTGGTTTGGTTCTTGACCTCCTCAATCTTGGCCTTGAGCGTTTCCTCATCAATGAGATAGCTAGAGGTACACACACACACACACACACACACACACACACACACACACACACACACACACACACATACCAAAGGCACAAGTCAGCTTACGCACGATGCAATCTACAGCATGACTATTCCCGATGCGTCGAATCGCACTATTGGCCTGGCTCGCTTAGCCTTTGTCACGTACCGGCCGCTCAGATGCTCAGCAGCACCCTCCTGCTTGATAGGCTTCATGTTCTCGTCAAACTCGTAGAAGAGGGGAACGCCCGTGGGCACATCAAGGGCCGGGATGACCTCCTCGGAAATATCGTCCAAATACCTACATGCACGCGCGCAGGCCCATGATGCCCGCCGCCTGTGAGGTCAACGCGGGCTCGCCTGGCTCGCATGGAACACCCAAAAGGAGAAGAAATACACACTTGAGGATGGCCCGGATGCTGTTGCCATGGGCTGCGATCAGAACCTTCTTGCCAGCCTTGATTTCGGGTACAATGACCTCGTCCCAGTAGGGGAGAACACGCTCCAGGGTCAGCTTGAGACTCTCGGTGGCCGGCAGCTTGTCCTCGGGGATGGAGGCGGCCCAGGGCGACTTGCTGGGGTGATAGGGATGATCCTTCTCGCAGGCGGGCGGAGGGATATCGTACGAGCGGCGCCAAATGTGCACCTGCTCGGCGCCGTGCTTCTCAACCGTTTCCTTCTTGTCCAAGCCGGCAAGAGCGCCATACATGCGCTCGTTCAGACGGTAGTCCTTGACCACGGGAATAAACTCCTGTCCTCAAACGGCAAACGCGACGGGCAGGCCAAGAAAGTAAGTAACACCGAGATTGTACCATGATGGATGATTCCGAGACCAACGTTGCCGGACCTGCCGCTCACCTGATCGCTCTCCTCGAGAATAATGTTGCACGTTTTGATGGCGCGCTGTGGGCGTCAAGGCCATGATGAAGAAAAAAAAAAAAGGCCACAACGAATTTGTCGAAAAAGGCCAACAACCTGGTTTTGAGTAGATAATTCTGCCAACACACCTTGAGCACGGAGGTAAAGGCCTCGTCAAACTTGAAGCCCTGCTCCTTGAGGACCTGAGGCCCACAAAAGCAGCAGACAGCAGACCCAACCACATCCAAAGCGAGTATAAGATCGGCACAAAGCGTGTTTGCCCTCAGCGACCGTGCCGCTCCGGCGGGTAACATGACGTGACACGAATGTGCGGGCAACCGCATGCAGACGTACCGCGCCGGCTTCCTTGGCCTCGATCACACCCTGTTCGGATAGGGGCACATCCACCCAACCGGTAAACTTGTTCTCCAGATTCCACTAAAGAGTCAGGAGCGCCGAACGTGCGGCGGCCGAAGATGGCAAACGAGCAAACTTTGTGAGGCGCCGGGTCCACTTCGACAGAGCCGGAAAGGTCTGGGATGGAGTATTGTCTTCAAGAGGGAGGCGGGGGGAAGGCGAGGACGTGATCGGTCACGTTGTACACACCTGGGACTGGCCGTGACGGACAAACACAACTTGATACTTGGCCATGGCGCTGATTGTCTGAAACGTGCGCTGGAGCCGTGCGAGAGCGTCAAGAGGTTAGATTTCGTCGACCAGACCAACAGCTCGATCAAACAGCAGATTTCAAGCACAGTGCCATCGATGGAAAAGAGAAACATGCAACGCTGTCTCCCAGACGGAGGGACGGCAGCAGCAGAAGAAGACTTTGATCACGAGCCGCGACCATGCCAGTGAGCGCTGCCGTCAGTCCCAGCAGACCAACAACGACAACAGATGACACCCCTGTCGACTCATCAAAAATCGTGCCGTCTTCTCCTGCTTCCATATAATGGGGAGAGGAAGCAGGCGCCATCTCCATAGGAGATGGAGAGGGATGGAGGGACGGAGGGAGGGAGAGACTGGCCTGGCTGCCATTTCGCCGTCCAACTCACACTTGTTCAAGCACTGTGTGTGTCTGTGTCTCTGTGTGTGTGTGTCTTCGGTCGCTGTGCAAGCGGGCTACCAACTGTCGTTGTTGTTGGGAAAGGATTACGCCACACAGACCTGTCGGAGCATTGCTTGACCACATAAAATGCGATCTGTAGACCTTCCAAAGTGTGTTAGACGGCCATACTTTATTTCATGTAATGTATCGTTTGACACACTTTGTGCCGTGTCACTGGTTGGGAGGTCAGGTTGTTTATGGCTGTAAACACAGGCGTAATGTCAGATCATCTTTGACTTTACATAGGAGGGGCATTTCTACTTTCGTCATTTCCTTTCCCAGAAGAGGTTAGCGGGACGAAGAAGACCATCTCAGAGAGCACATCACAGAAGCGCACAGAACCACGTCATTCCAAGCCAAACACCAGCCAAACTCAGAGAGATAAACTTGCAGAGAGACGATCAAAGTATGCAGCAAAGGATTCGGGTCCTTCGAATCGCACCCGTAACGTTGTAACCCTTAGCAGTTTTCCCCCTTTGCCCTTTGCCCGCCACACAACGACGCATTCTCACACACACACACACACATCGGATATCAAGAGTGTGTGTGCGCGCGGGCGCGGGAGCTCTTGACTTGTCAAGACAAGTCGAGCGATCTGAGTCATGGCTCTGGAAGAGGTTGGTACAATCGCTATCCTTATTGACTGTGCAACACCTCGCCCCCCCCCCCCCCCCCCCCGCGTCTCGTCGCTCCCTGTTTCCCCCTGACCAGCAGCGTCCAAGCGTTGTTGGTGTTGTCGGGCTTGCCCTGCGCGTCATCAGCTTGCGCCTCTGCGTGCCACCGACTCGATGCGCCTCGACTCAGACTCGGCTTTGGAATTCTTCTTGGGTTGGCCCCGTAGATTCTGGATGGTGGCGACCTGTTCTCTGGTCTCGACCTGCCAGACATTGACTCCATCATCAATAATGCCGCAAGCTCTTCGTCCGAAGTGCCCGATGATGCGCTTTGGTCCAATCTCAAGGTCAGCTGCTTTTATTCACTCTCGGTCAAGGATCCATCAAACACAAAGACTTGAAGCGCTCGGCCTTTGGGGGGTTCAGAGTCGTGGTTTGCATAGTTCACCTCGAGCCTCATCCATGGCCGCGTTGGGCTTGTCCTGTGTAGAACAATGGAAAGACCATTGATGCCGCCTCCTCCTCATCTTCGTAAGGCGTGCCGTCCCCGCCGACCAACCCGTGTGCCCATATTCACTCCTTTTGATTCTCCCATTATTTATTTCTTGGCTCATCATGTTTGCTTCTCCTCTTCCTCCTTTGATGCCCGAGTAGCTCGAAGAAGGGACAGGTCATGAAGCGCAAGTCACGTGCATCCTCTGTTGACCCTCCCATTGACGAACGCCGTCTCAAGCACCTCGAGCGGTCAGTCCCAGCTGTACCCGCCGATGACCACGCCACCTTGCTCTGCTTTTTTTTTTCTGTGTTCCTCGAAACGAAACTTGCGCTTTCAATTCACGCAGCAACACTGTCTGGTAGAAACCGCGCCGCCGCCACCCGCTGCCGTGAACGCAAGAAACAATGGCTGCAACAGCTGCAACAAAAGGCTGCAACCCTTACCACCTCAAACCGACAGATGCATGTTCGTTGCCATCTCCTTACCTGGACCGGTGTGCCATGCTTTTTCTCATACATTCGTCTTGTCCCTTTGGCTTTTGCAGGAGGAGCTGAAGCGACTTCGTGATGAGGTCCTGAATCTCAAGGGCAACTTGGTCCAGCAGCAGGTTGGTCTGGGGGCACGAGTTTTTTTTTTTTGTTTTTTTTTGTTTTTTTTGTTTTGTTTTTTTTTTGGTTTCTTTTTTTTTTGTTTGTTTGTTTTTTTTTTTTTTTTTTTTGTTTTTGTTTTTTGTCTAGATTGCTCTCTCCTCCCCCCTCGCTCTCGCTCTCTTTTCCTTCAGTTCAACTGCTTGGCGTATTCAAGACCATGCCTTCCTTATGATCGATCCTGTCACGTGCTTGACTCTACAGGGGCCCAATGCTTTGGAGCGTGCCGGCATCCAGCTCTCCAAGTACTCAGATCCCAACTTTGATTTCGAAGCCTACACTGCCCAAGCGCTCGCGTACGTCATTGTTTCCTATATGGCGCTGCTGTCGTCCAAAGATTAACTTTTGCGCTTGGCATTGATCCGGTTATTTAGGGAACAAGAACGTCAAGCCGCCGAGCAAGCAGCCAACTCAAAAAGGGCCAAAAGCAAGAAAAACTGAGCTCTCGCAACATCAACTCGAGTTGTCTCGAGTTCACCCTCTAAATGTGTATCATGAATTTTCTGTATTCGCCTCTATGCGCGCCCAAAGTTGCTGAGCACCATCCGGGCGCGTTTCAAAAATTGTATCTCGCGCTTGTCTACCTTGTTCTTCGCGCGCGCACACCACACACACCATAGAACCCACCCCTCAAAATGAATCTCCGCTCTCTTCAATTCTCCATCTTTTTCACATTTCTCTCTCTCTCTCTCTCTCCTCTCTCTCTCTCTACTTGTGTGACATTTCACGACGCTTGCATCGACAGACGGCACAAGACGCAAGATTCACACACACACACACACACACACTGGTCATCATGTTCGTTCGTTCGTTCGCTCGCTCGCTCGTGGTCGTGTTACGGCAGGGGGTGCTTCGGGGGGGGTGACGATGGGACTCAGGAGATGGGGAGGGGGAGGGATAAAGGCGACGGTCATGGCGGGGCAAAGCGTGAAGCGTCGTTGCTTTGGGGCTCTGGGACACGTGTGCCTCGTTCTTGATTCCCCGCTCGCTCTGGGTCTCACTCGTCGCATGTCTTCTCTTGCTGCTGCTCGACGTAGGTCTCAGCCACAGCCCCGTCGCACCGGCACACCCTCGCAACTCGTGGCCCCTTGGCGCCGACGCAACACGCTGGTCGGCCTGGGTATCTTCTCTTTTGTCGCTGGCGTTTACGCCTACACCATGATGAGCGTCACCCAGGCATGTTCAAGCGCGCTCCCCTCAATCCTGGGTCGTCGTGCCTCCCCGCACTCTGCTCCGCGCTCTTCCCTCGCTGCTTTGCTCAACCCAAGCACTTTACCGCACATCCTTTTGCACCCAACTTGTAGGAAGACTTCAGTGACATCCAGCCCCAGCTCCCCACCATTCGCGGCGTGCAGCCCCGTGAAAAGCCCGAAACCAAGTCCAACTAGACTTTTGGGCCCAGGAGCACCAAAAGCCATCATCTCCACAAGATCAACTCGATCACTATTGCCAATACAGCCCTGTTCGCACTCAGCTGCGCTCACATTCCGTCGCTCTTTTGTTGCAACACTGTTGCCACCAGATTAACATCCTGCCTCTGCATGACTGCTTTGCCCATTTCTCGGATATCTCGTCGCGTTCATGCCACTCTGGCTGGCCTTCATGGCGTCTGTGATGCCGTCCCCAAGAGATTCCAACGCCTCAACTGAATGTTTTCCTCTTTGACCAAGAAGGAATCAAATTGAAACTCCATACCAAACCCGTTGCTCCGCCCAGATCCTGGCTCCCAGTGTCATGCGGATTATCGCACCGTCGTGCTCACGATCTTGATGGTATCAAAGGGCTTGTCATTCTTGTCCACCTTGCACTTGCCAATGTCCTGCACCACCTCCATGCCACGAACAACACGCCCAAAGACCGTGTGCTTGTTGTCCAGCCAAGGCTGCGCTCGCACAGTATAGACACAACCAGCACACAGCAGGCAGAGCAAAGGATCAGAGGACGCAAGCGATGCATCAAACCTCATGTCAACGCAAGTAGAAAGCGAGCTGCGCAAGTCTCACCGTCGGAAGCAAAGTGATGAAGAACTGAGACCCGTTGGTGTTTGGTCCAGCATTCGCCATCGACACCGTGTAGGCACGATCGTGCTTCAGACGCGGATGAAACTCATCCTAACCAACCAGAAAGGAGTACCCTGTAAGCACGGCCCAAGGTCCCCCGGCAAGTTACCGCACACAGCGAGCACTCGTGCCACACCCACCTCAAACTCATGATCCCAGATTGACTGGCCACCTGTGCCATCACCAAACGGGTCACCCGTCTGCACCATAAAGTCCTTGATGACGCGATGGAAGGTCAGGTTGTTGTAGTAGCCGTTGCGACAGTGTGTCACAAAGTTCTCCACGGTTTTGGGGCACTATATGAAGAGCGAAGCATATCCGTCAACACCACATCCGCATCAAGCACCACACACGCACACACACACACACACACACACACAGAGATGCAAAATCCACGCCCACCTCGATGGGATACAGCTCCAGGTGAATGTCACCGTATGATGTGTGCAGCGTGACGGCATCAGCCAAGCGCTCCGTGGCCGTGGTTCTAATCATCGAAACGAGCCACGAGGGCACCACCATGAATATAAATGACTGATTTCCCATCGGACGCGAGGCCAGCGCTCAACTCACGTGATGGCTGCCATCTGCTGTTCGCGCGTTGGCTTTTCATTGAAAACATCGCGACTAATGTCGCCTGCTGCCTCCTGCGGTTCACTGATGACATGCGCCACGAGAGAAAAAAATGAGCAAATCAAAACAAATAACGTGACATGTTAGAATTGCTGACCAACACCACGTCTCCACCAACAACTCCTGTCGAGACTACGCACCGTTTGGAAAATACGTAGAAACGTGATTTCTTCACCGCCGAGCAAATCAGCAGGGGATCCAGTTCGCGGTTCTTCAGCCTATCCCCAAGCACGCGCACACACACAAGCAGGGGTGGTTGTGAGCGGTCCTACTCAAAGTACTGGGCCAGGAATTTGTCGCAGCAGCAGGCTCCAACGTACGCTGGGTTGTCAGATGCCTCCATTTCCAGGGTGTGCGTGGCTTGGCCCATCTTGGTGGGCTTGCCTGTGGCATGATAAGCAGGAGCAGGGCGACCCATTCTCAATCAAGTGTGCACGAATCTAACCATTCGGCCTTGATTGTGGCGACGTTGCGAGCCTGTGGGCCGGCTCACCTTGGTATAGGGCAATGTTGAGGAAGCGAATGCCCTCATCCTTGCCAATGATACGCACACAGCGGTTGGTGATCAAGTTGATGACCTTGACGCCCACGAGAGTTGCGTACAGGACGAAATTGCCCGAGGCATCAAAGCACCCGTTGCCGTGGCGCACGGCCGTGGCCTTGGTCAGCTCACGCTCGGCGGCTGCGCGACGACCAAACTCCATCGAGGAGAGAAACGCTTTGCGCTGTCAAAACAAACCCTGGTGTGAGTGTCGCAAGGGCAACAGGCTGACCGTCTGGCAAGCAAAACAAGGGACTCACGTTTTGGCGTTCCGTATACGAGACAAGGGCCTCGTCATACACGCGGAAGAGCTTGCCCGAAGCAAAGTCAAAGATGCGCACCTGGCGGTGGAAGTGGGGCGGCACCGGCGTTATAAGGTGCTCGCGATGCAACGGCACCAGTTATTGGGGTCGCACACACTCACCTTTTGATCGCTGCCCGTGGCAACAAAACGTTTACCATCAGGCGAGAAGTCGATGCGATGCGCATAGGCCTTGTGCTAAAGATGAAAGAGATCACAGAAGTAGAGCATTACATCAAGGTTCTTGCACCAACATGATAGGGAGTGCAGACACGTTTATTCAAAGCAGGCGCAGCACAGTGAGAACGGGTGTGGGGTGCCCTGCGACTCAAACCTTGAGAAAATCATAAAGGTCTGTGTCCGTCTTGAATTCGAAAGCCAGGTTCTCGGGCATACCAAACCTAGGTAGCACGGCGTGAGTGCCACCCACGAGAACGGGCCGTGCGTGCCGCCAAGGCATGCTCTCTAGGCGCGAAGCTTGCAAAAGACCTACTTTCCATCAGCGCCCGCCCAGTACTCAATCATGCCCCCTTCATCGGCAGAGACGATAATGTCCACCGTCGGGTTGTACTAAAAACAAAAAGACAAAGAAGCATGGAGCCACAGCGGTTAACCTGAGCAGTGCACAACGTGGGGGAGAGAAGCAAATGGGTGCCGTGCAAGTTCAGACTTGAATGGCGGTGACGGGCTTGCGGTGGATGGAGAGGGTTTGAATGGGCGCTTCCGTGGTCAGTGCACTGTAAATGTGGATCTTGGCAGTTTCCGCTTCCGCTCTACAGGTGGTGCCCAATCAAAGGTGTCGCGTGGCGCAACAAAGGAGTGCTGTGGTTAAAAATGGTGACCGTAACCCCTCTCATCGACCCGTTCCGGCGTGCTGATATACATCGTATGACACGAGGGAACGTGGCATCTTACACGGCCACAAGGGGAACTGCAGAACCCGGAACGTGAATCCAGCACACGACGGTCGGCTCATACTCGAGCTCAACCATGTTGATCATGTCTAGCGATGGCCGCCAAGAATGATCAGAACGGGAACCAGGGTCAGAAGGTAGAAAAAAAGCAAATGACAAAGCACCAGATAATGAGCCGGCCGGTATATCCGCGGACAATACGCACCAAAGTTGATAATGTCATAGATCTTGAGTGTTTTGTCGGCCGAGGCACTGGCAAGATATGCGCCATCACTGCTGGCCGCCATGTCGTTTAGCGCGCCTGTGCACAGAGCACACCAAGCATGTTGAGTGTAACCAAAAGCCGGGGCTTTAACAAAGCCCCTCGCGGAACGGGCTTCTGACTAAGGCCAAGGGGCGCGAGAACCCACCAAGATGAGCACCAAAGTGCTTGACAAACTCAATGCCCTCTCCTTGTTTCTTTTTCCAAAACTTGATATGGCCGTCCACCGAGCCCGTGATCACAAAGTGGGATCTGTCGCGACCAGGCCAGACAAACACCATGAACGGAACGGTCGCCAAGGGCTCGATTTGAGCCAGAGAAGCCACGACCGTGGGCCAACGTCAGCACTCACTTGGTGGCAATGACATGCGTGATCGTGTCGCGGTGCATGAGACTGGTCTCGTACATGGTGGCGCTGGGAAGCGCGTCCAAAAACTTGGCCTCGTGTTTCAGGACTACAAAGGAACTGCATGTGAGAGCGAGCATCGAAAGAGCACTTCACCGACAGCGCAACGGCTGGCAACCAGGCCCAGGCCAGTAGAATACAGCCAGCCTAGTCTTAGGCACAGGGCATTGGCCCCATGTCAAGGAACCTACCGCGCTTCTTGCGCTTGACCTGTGGCTCGTCGCCAGTATCGGCCACCGGCATGGGCCCGATGTCTACGTTGAAGCATCACGCCCGGTGCATTGAGGCGCACGTATCGCAAGGCCCAGAGACCAGAGCATTTGTTAATTCCATGACTTTGAACGAATCAACCCTGGCACAGGGGCCAGTCCAACGACGCACCATCATCATCACTGTCATCCGAAGCCACGACCGGGTCAGCCTCGGCGGGAGCACGCTTGCCGTCCATGTTGCTGCGTGTTTGTAAATCCACGCAAAGCCGAAACGAAAAAAAGAGGACCGTGCCTACGCCACGACAAGAGCCAACCATAAGATCATCGTTCCACATCACCCCGCCCCCGCCCCCGTGGTCATGGCAGAAGCGCGCTTCCATTCAAGTAGTCCCCACTGCCGTTTCACGTGAGCAGCCGCGCCCACGTCGTTCAACGAACCGATTCACACAAAAATGAAATTTCACTGCGTTCGCTCGCAATAAAAATAGTCTGACAACGCTGAGTTTCAAGGCAATTTTCTGTGATTTTTTGGCGATTTTGACAATCCAGGGACAACTGCGTTCTTTGCAACCCTAAACATCATCAGAGCTGGTTCACTTCAATCCGTGGGTCTCGGCGGTATTCTGCACCGTCGACGAAATTGTTGAAGCTGATGTCAAGAGTGTGTGTCATCAATTGAATTGGTTACCAACGTTTTGCTTTAGAATTAATGAATTACTGCGTGCGAAATGATTGGGAGCTTGCGCAGCCCCCACAGCGGGCACAGGCTGGTTGAAACTCTAGTCCGTGGCCACGTGAATACCACTCTTCTCCAGTTCACGAAGGTAGTGCTCGACGCGACGCTTGTTAAATCCGTGATCCTTGAATGGCAACCAACAAAAGGCCTATCTCACCCGTACATCCAATCCGTCAGGACCAGCGCGAGCACAGTAAGAGAAAGGTTGGGGAGGTGCGGGACCAGAATAGGTCGCATTTGACGCACCGAATTAAGAAGCGGCGCCAGGGGCACGCTCACAGGCACCACGCCTGAAGAAAAGCCCTCCACCTATCGAGGAGACACGGTGAGGAGTGCGAGATGATCAATGGAGAAGAGACACACAAAGCAGAAACAAACAAACAAGTGCCGCAAGCGACTCGACCCAACAGTGCTTAACGTGAGTGTTGGGCAGCCTTGTCTTGTCCTGCACCACTTCTCAAGAAAACAAAACAAAGCCAAAAGCCAACAAAAAAAAAAAAAAAAAACCAAACACAAAACACACCTCAATGCGCAATGTGGTGTCTCCGGTTTTTCGGAGGCGAAACTCGAGCACGTCGAGCCATTCCACCTTGGTGTAGGCGTAAACACGATAGAATGTCGTGCCTTGCTTCTATATTTACCAACCCAACCCATTGACGTTTTCCGACCCATGCTGGATGAGCTGCTGCAAGTCACAAGACAAGCCGCGAAACTCAGATCGCACCTTATGCGGCACAAACCTGAGACGGACGGAGCTGAAACTTGTCTGTGAGAGAACGCGTCGCTGCCTCGAGTGCTGCCATGACCTCATGTGCCTCGTGGCCCGAAATAACTCCACTACCACGTCGAACCGTACAAGCATCATCAGTCAGTAAACGCCCGAGTCTGAAGCGGTTGTACTCGTCCAAGCGAATGCGCCGCACCTGATCTTGTGGCAATGAATGTCACGCAGTTTGGGAATCCACATGGACGGTCTGCCGCAAGCATTGCCAATAACACAAAGTCCCGCTCAGTTTCAGGAGCTCTGTTCAAACAGCTGTTCTGTCGACCGCACGGGCGGGAGCGGGCGCGACTCACCGAAGGTTGACCTGCAGGTCGGACTGCCACTGAGCAAAGATCGTAGGTTCGTAGGCCGCCATGTTGTTGGTTCGTAAAAGCAAGGGATCTGGTCACAGTCAGTAAAGGTGGGTCCTTCTTGTGAGTGTTCTTTGGTGCTCAAACACTGACATCACGAGGCAGGCTGCCAAGTCATCGCAGCACGTACCAGAAGTCGAGGTCCACAGCGCCACCAGGAGAAAAACACCCCCACTCAACCTAGTCCAACAGCAAGACCCAATGTGAGCAGCCCAGTATATGCAAGATACTGGCGCCTGGGTGCGAAAGTACTGGCGGGGTGGGCCACATACAAGAGTAAAAGCCGTTGGTCCAGGGCCACCGAGTGCTGGTATCTTGGCATAATACTCCGCACGCGCCAGAGAGAGGGAATTGGAAAGAAAGACACAGAAGAAGCACAAAATGCTGACAATTCACATCCGTGTTGTTCATGGATGCAAAAATTGGCTGATGCCTGGTCTGCTTAGGCCTCGTCTTTAGGAGACGCTGGCGATTGTGCAAGCGTGCAAAAGGAGCAAGAGGAGCGAGATTGAAGAATGGGGAAGAGGCCCTTTCTATCTAGTTTGCCGTCAATTTTAGTCAAAGGGTTGAAGGGGAAAAAAAATACAAGGAACAGGGGAGGAATCTAGAGCAGCCGAGTCGTAGCAGCGAGTTGGAAAAAAAAAAAAAAATAATAAGAGGTGCCAGCGTTTGGGCCAACAATCCTGCATGGTTGGGCTAAATCGGGTGGATATTAGCGTTGAGTCGTCATGGAATTTGTCTTGTCAGTTTATGCTTGATGACAATCAGACAGGTAGCGAGAGAGGTCATCAAGCCGATCTCACTCATGAGGTGGCAGCGACGTTGGGCATGAGACGAGCAATCATCTCGTCCTGCTCATCGGTCGCGTCACCCTGTTCAGGTGCAAGCGGGGACATCTGCGCGTCACTGCGTCGCGGCTTGCGTACAACGGGAGAAAAGTCCATGTCAAGAAAGGCCTGTGTCGCGCCAGGCTGGGCGTGCGTGGTCGCAGTTGTAGTTGTGGTGACGTTTGGTCCTGGACTGCCAGTCGACCTGTGGTTGCCTGTTTCAGCTTGAGCAGGGGTGTTGGACTCTGCTGCAGGCGGGGCGGGGAGCGCAAACTCTGGAGCGTCAGAAGGAATGGGTGAAACTCGGCCCACATCTTCGGCCGTGAGGCTCAGGTTGCTGCCTCGAAAGCTCGTGCGCTTGAGTAGAGGGGGAGGCGGTGGGGCCTCCTCCTCCTCCTCCTCCTCCTCCTCCTCCTCCTCCTCTTCTTTTGGTATTTGAGCGTCAGGGTCTGCTTGCCCCGCTCGTTGTTCTGTTGCTGCTGTTGCATCTTCTTGCGAGGCCACGGTGGTCACATCGCTAGTCACGGCTTCAATGGACCTGCTCGGGCCCACGGAATTAGTATTCAGGTTTTCTTGCCTGGGCGGGCGTGGTGCTGGGCTCGTCGACAGCATAGCATTGGGTTGTTCCTCAACCTTGGTTGCAACATCGGATGCTTTGCTGGGTTTCGAATCGCTTGCCTGAGTTTGTGTGGTCGAGGTGTCTCCGGATGTTGCTGCCGTGGTCACAATGGTGCTTGAAGACGGTTGCTCAGGTTGAGCAGCTACAGCCTTGTCCTTGAGAGAGTCACGCAGAGCCGAGTATGACGCGGAGCGAGGAGGGCGCGGCGGTTGCGTGGCCGAATCATGATCTGGTGCACCGGGGTCTTGTTCAGGTGGTGATGGCTTGGGTGCCTGGGTTTGGGGTTGCGATGAGGTCGGTGCCGATGCCAGAGTCGAGGGCAGGTCAGCAGTTTGAGGGTGGGCATCGGTCTTCGCTAACATGGCATCCAGCTCCGTCCAGCTAGCGGCGGCCTGGGTCTCGCTGAGAATGTCAAAGACACGGGCAGGCCCTGATGTCGCGGGAGAGCTTGATTCCGTGTGCGGTTGGTCCTCGCTCTTTGCCTCGTCAACCTCTGTGGCCGCGTCAAGATCGGCGGCCAAAATGATCGCCTGCACACCCGAGAGCGTCACGGGTGGCGACTGTGCAAGCGATTTGGCTTCCATCAAGTCCTCTTCCTTGTGCTCCAGGCTCATGTCGGTTGCCTTGGCGGGCCGTTCAGGTTGGCGGTTGGAGGTGGCTGCGGGGGTAGAGGACTTTGAAGGTGCGGTCGTTTTGGAGCCAGCCCCTGGGGGGTGAGGCGACTTGTTGGAATCAGAAGCCTTGTTCACGGGGCGGCTGGAAGCTTCCTTTTTGGTAGCCAACGTTGTTCGGTGACTGTTGGTATTTGAGGGGCTGGGCGAACGGGCCTCTGGTTCGTCGGTCCGCATTTCTGGGAGCTGGCTGCGGGACTTGACACGCAACGAGGCAGCGCGGAAGCTCATTTGCCGCCGTGGAGGTTTGGCCGGGGGGAGCCGGCTGTTGGCGACGGCCAGGGATACCAGTTCAGTCAACTCGGTCTCCAGGCGTTGCACGCGCGTGTTTAATGTTTCCAGGCGCTTTTGAAGCTATTGAACAAAGCCATTGTGTCAATTAGCTTGCCAATGACAACTAGAACAGGAGGTTCAGGGGCAAAGCTGGCAAAGCGGCAAGCCATCCACACCTGGTGCTGATGGCCCACTTGGAGATCATGTTTTAGATCGGCCAGTTTCTGTGCAGAGAAATGGAGTGTCAACAGACGAAGCGCATGCGCACACGTGAGGACACAAGGGTGTGCATGCATCGCGGCTCGTGCTGCCATCCACTCGATGATAGGCCACACTTGGCGTAGAACCCCAGGCCCCTCCTCAAAGACATTTGTTGGACAAGTCAAACACAACCACAGGCAAGAGAGGCGCTGGCGGGAAGGCCCAGAACTGACCTTTAGGGACGGCTGCAGCTGAGCGCGCAGCGGGCCGCGCCGACTCATCGTGGCGTCGACGCTCCAACGCCTCTCCACACGTCAATAATAACCGGATCGTCGCGTAAGAAGAGAGATCAAATGTAGCAAAGCACTGCCTTCTATATGTTCCACATCTCTCAATGCCCTCCGTATCCTGCTGGCACTGCCACTTGCCGCAGGCCTCGTCGCCGTTTTTTTTTTCCTTGAAAATCGAAAGTGCTTCCAATTTTTTTTCTCTCTCTCTCTCTCTCGTTTTTTTTTTTTTTCATCAAATCCCGCCCAGTTTTTGGTCTCTCAGTCTCCAAAGCAGACTGGTGTTGGGGTCAAGTGTATTGTCAGATTTTCGATGGTCATCTAAATTTAGATCGGGGATACGCCCAACTTGGCGCCCGATGCTTGTGCTTGTGTGCGTCGAGCAGCGTTGACTGCTCGTAAACCATTCTGCTGGTGTTGCTCGTGTGGGTCAAAGCAGAAGGACGAGATGGTTGAGAAGAGGTTTGAGGTGCAGGCGCTTCATGGGCATTTCCGACGGTGCATCGGCCAGCATCGGCAGGAATCGCCCTCTGCATTCAACGGCTTGACAATTATTGCTTGTTGGCGATTGTTGACGGCGTGGGGGCTGATTTGGCTGTCAGTGCACGATGCAGCGTGTCTGGTTTCGTGGGCGGCGCACCGCCATCTCCCGGAATAACGCGCGTACCTATCAGATGGGCATGGGTCGTACCGAGTATCATCATTGTCATTGTCCTAGGTGTAGCCTAAGCCCCTACAACAAGGCAGCCGTCAAGACCAAGGGCTACTATAGCCAGCGCCGCGATGGTCAGCGTGATACCATCCGCCAGGGTCTGGCCGACTACGAGGACGAGCGTAGTGAATGAATGTCGTGCATGCCGAGGGTGTTGTATTTGTACCTGTTCCTTTTGTTTTCTTGCTGCTGAGCAGACTTGTGTGTTTCTGAGTTTCAATTGTCGCTGCTCATCACATTGCCAAACACCAAATTGAGGACCAAATCGAGACCAGATCCAGGACCAAATCAAGGGAGCAAATCAAGAGCCAAATTCGGGAACCAAATTTGAAAATTCGAGAGCTGCCTTTCCTTCTCACGCCGGCTGACATTGATCTGCGCAGGCTTGCCAACGCATCGAACGCAGCACCTGACAGACGGCAGGTCGACAAGACAAACAAACAAACATAGAGGGATCGAAAGAGGTGTTGAGAGGTCAAGCGAGAGAGGACGGGAGAGAGAGAGGTCAACAGAGATGTTAGGAGGTCAAGAGAGTTCAAGAGAGAGAGAGAGAGAGAGAGAGAGGTCAAGAGAGATCAAGAGGGATCAAGAGGTCGACGAGAGGCCGAGAGAGGTGTCGAGAGATCAAGAGGTCGACGAGAGGCCGAGAGAGGTGTCGAGAGATCAAGAGGGATCAAGAGGTCGACGAGAGGCCGAGAGAGGTGTCGAGAGATCAAGAGGTCGACGAGAGGCCGAGAGGTCGACGAGAACTTCCCCATACGAGCAGCCCGCGTCTCTTGGTCTCGCAGTCTCCAAGCAGACTAGCGATCATCTAAATTTAGATCCAAATCGATTGAGCCAAATTTGGCGCTGGTTAGCAGGGATATGGTCGAGGCGTCGGCGCGTGATGGGCAGTTTCTTACGGCGCAGCGAGCTTTCGGCATCGGCAGGAGATCTCTCCCTCTCCGCCTCTTTCCCTCTCCGCCTCTTTCCCTCTCCGCCTCCCTCTCCAAGTTCACCTCGTTCTCTATTCGCGATCGGACAGCCGATTGCTGGTGATTGTCGGCGGCGAGCGAGTCGGATTTTTCGGTCACAATGCACCGCGTCTTGTTTCGCGGGCAGCGCACCGCCAGCTCCCATGTGCGTGTGCGAACCGTCAAGACTCAACGCATCGAGTACCATCATTGCCAGTGCCCCTGGTGCGCCCTGACTCCCTTCAACAAGGCGGCCGCCAAGACCAAGGGCCGCTACCGCAAGCGCCGCGAGGGCCAGCGCGACGCCATTTGCCAGGGACTTGTCGATTACGAGGACGAACACAACGGATAAACGGCATGCCCGCATTGGGCTCTTTCCCGTCGTTCCTTCTTATCTTTGCTGCTGAGCAGTCTTGTGTGTGCGTGCGTGTTCTGACTTTCGATTCTCTTGTTCATACTAAACACGCCTGTTATACATCAAATTGAGGACCAGATTCGAATTGCTCCGCCGCTCCGCTGTGCCTTCTTGTCATGCGTCGAGGATGATGGGACGACAAAAGAAATGGCCTCCTTCTCCCCGATCTCGCAGTCTATACCTTCCCCGCTGCCATCACCCGCTGCCACCACAGCCAGCCAATTAACATAGCAGGTGTCATGCTGCTCCTCTGCTCCTAAGCCCGAACAAATAATCTGACAATTGATGCTCTCTTCATTTCAAATCCACGTGACACACACACACACACAACGAAATAAAAAAAAAAAAAAACCATTTCTGCGGCACCTGCACACTCGATACACCTGACGGCGTCGTGATCGTGTGGTCGTGCTGGCGGCCGTGTGCCTGTGAACCTGTCTGTGTGGCCGTGGGTTTGTTTTTGTGGTCCTGTTTGATAACGCATCAGCTGGGGCTGCGAGGGGACATTCCCGCGCGTGCGCGCTCAATCGCGGCTCATTCATGCCAGCTTGGGCAGGTCATTTCGAGACCACCCTGTGTGTGTGTGTGTGGGCGGCGTCATGACATCACGCAAGCAAAGCAGTGGCCCAGCTCGCGCAGAACACGTCCCTCAGTCAAAAAGGGGCCCGGCAGCACGCTCCAAGCGTTCCGCCCGCCGCCGCTGGCGCAAGACAGTCGACCGCGTCGCCCAACAAGCCCGCGGTGACGTTGGTAGTCAAGCTTCCTTGCGTGCACTTGCTGACCAATGCACCATGGGCAATCGAGCCCCTAGCCTCTTTCGCCCCTCCGAAACCTGGCTGGCCGCGCGCGGAGTTCTTCAAGACTTGACAAAGACCAAGTCACCTCCCAACAACAGAGTGCCCAAGTCCCACATTAGTCCGGATTCACGTCAAAGCGCTTCTCTGCTTCAGCACAGCTCTTCAAACTCAACTGCCGTCTCAGAAGCGGCATCCCATGCCCCCCCACGCGTACCGGAGCGCAGCCCCGAGGCCGAGCAAATGTTGCATCAGCTCTTGGCACAGCTGGGCTCCTTCCAAGCCCTGCAAGCCTTTGAACAGCAAATTGACCGCCCCCTCTATGCCCTTGATTGCGAGATGGTGACGGTGCGTGGCAAAGGCGGTGCCATGAAGTCGGCCCTGGGACGCATTTCCATCATCAACGCGACCGGACAAGTTGTCATTGATGAGTTTGTGCGGCCCCAGCAACCAATTGTCAGTTACAACACCCGGTGGAGTGGCATTCGCAAACGTGATCTTGTCGACGCCACGCCCTTTCCCAAAGTGCGCGACCGCCTCCGAACGATCCTGAAAAATGCTCGCGTGGTTGGCCACGCCGTCAGCAACGACTTTCGAGCCATGAACCTCACTTCCAAAGAACTAAACGCGCTCGTCTACGACACGTCCGCCTCGTCCACCCTCAAAATCGCCGCCCTTGGCGAGAATGACGGCAACGCCGTCTCTCTGAAACGCCTCTCAAAGTACCTCCTGCACCGTACCATTCAGGAGAAGCAGCACTGCAGTCTCATTGACGCACGCGTATGTTGTCGCAGAGCGCTGCCCATGCTTTTTTTTTTTTTTGGTGCAAATCACACAGAGTCATACTCGCCCGGACCCTTGTCTGACCTCACATGCATGCCCTCATGCTCAACTTTGCCACCCTTAGGTCACCCTGGAACTGTATCAATACGACGTCAACCTGTGGCGCTCACATCAGCGACTGCGTAGCTAGCTCAAGCGGACTGAATTGAGGGTCTACATGAGCACGTGTTGCAGCCAGATAGTTAGACGATCCGATCCGATCCGATGCGCCGCGAAAGCGTGTGCCTTCTTAATCGACAAAGTGAACCTTAACTCCTTGCGCGCTGTCCTCGCTGCCAGCGCCATGCAACCACCTACCCGGCCTTTGACCAGCACCTCCTCTTGATGTGATCATTGGAGTGCAAGGAAGCTTCGCCACCTGCAGATCAATTGTCTGGATTGGGGCATTCCCTGTTCATCCCATCAAAACAACATTCCTCAAGACGCATCACGAGACGCGCCCTTTTGGGAAGGCACAAAAGGCACAAAAGGCACATTACTGGGGAGGGTGCTTAACGCCTGTTCGAATTCATCGGGCAAACCAGCTTATGACTGGCCCAGTCACCCGTCTGTCACACCAGTACACCACATCACAATGAGCGCTTGGCTGTCAAAGTGGCAACCATCACAGGCCCTGCAGGAAGTTCGATACAAACCTGGCATGCTCGGCTGCAATAATACGCAAGACCACATGGACACTTGGACAGGACAACCCCGCCATTGTTATCGCCGTGGCGCAGGCCGCAACGCGAGCAGCAATGCGAGTACCTGAGACACACACACACACACATGGACAACACGGAATTAGCAAGGATGTGGTCATGTGCACAACTAATGGGTACCTCGACGGCTACCCCAGGAGCTCATAACGGGGTGTGATATCGCACATTTCCAATCGCTTGCCGATAACGGCATTGGCCGAAGCCTCAGGGAGGTCGATGGGCTGGCAGCCATCGGCATCCCGCATATCCGTACGAGCACCCTGCATTCCGACACGGCACAAATGGCAGTCACGGTCAAGGGTTTGCCCCTGCGTCATTTTTGTGGTGAGCGACAAAGCATGAGCCTGACCTTATCCAACAGCAGTTTAACCAAATGCACAATCTGGTGCTTAACAGCCCAGTGTAGAGGGCAGTTGCCTCGCACGTCTTGTGTGTTGGGTGAGGCACCTTGCAGCAGCAGCTCCTTGGCTGCTTCCACATGCCGTTGGCGTAGGGCGATTCCCAAAGCAGTCTCCCGCTGCTGATTCGTCTTCTCCAGCAAGGCGCTAGTGCTCATGATAAGCAAATCCTACCAGCATCCATTTTGAGATCAACGTCATCACGATTGAACAAACACACACATACAACACTGCTGAAGGAAGGAGGAAAATAGATCAAAGGATCAAGAGATCAAGAGATCAAGAGAAACAGCCAGAGCCACGCAAAAAAAGAGCATCATACCTTATAGCAAGGGATCGGCGGAATCGCTTCTAAAGCCAGCATCAAGGGCGTGTTGCCGTCGGCGTCGCCCAGCACAAGTGTATTGGGAGAAATCTACAGCACCAACAGACCAAGCCGGGTTATCACAGCAGTAAGAACTACAAAGGGATAGATCACGCCTGTCCGACACGCGGCTCCTTGACGCACCGTGTTCAACGCCGTCAACACAGAGGCTTGCTCATGCTTGACGGCCACATGTGCACAGGTGAAGCCTTTGTTATTGCGCACAGCCAGCCAATTGTCTCGCATGCTGTCTCGCGTGCTGCCAGAAAAGGAAAGGAAGGGGCGAAAAGCACATTCCAGACGGCAAGGGGGTCAGGTTGGAGAAGGAGACCTCGATTTTGTTCTTTGTGTGAGCTCAAAAACACTCTCTGATGAGTCGACTGACCTGGAACGATCGACTTCCTCAAAAGCCGCAACAAAACCATATTGAGCGGCTACGTGTAGGCACGTATTCCCGTCGTGGTCCTTGGCTGCTACCTCCGCCCCAGAGTGGACCAAGATGCGCAACGCATCAACCAGTTTGCGCTATCCCAACACAAAGTGGGCACACATGTTTGTAGCATGAGCATCTCTCTTCACAAAGGCACTGGCAGGCAGCGCACTTGGTGGTAGAAGCGAGCAATAGACAAACCTTGCAAGCCAAGTGTGCCAGCGTCTGGCCCTTGTGGTTGCTTTGTGTCAGATCACAAGCCTTGTCTACTGCATTCTGAAGAGCAGTAGGGTCATTCAAAATATCCTCAAGCTCTTCAAAGGTGTAATTATCATCATCCAGTCCAGCCATGAGCGGCGGTCCATCCAAAGCCGGCGGCGCGGAATCAAACTCGGACAAGTCCCACACGCCTTTAGCCATATCTTTCGGGCTCGCATCAGATTGGCCCCAAGCAGAGGCAGCCATTGAATCTGGGCCGAGGCCATGAAGCTGTTGATTGCCAGTATTCAGCGGGGGTAGGGCGGCCAGACTGTCCAAAGGCCCGGGAACATCATCATCCAACATGCTGCGCATGGTTTGTTCTACATTCCACTCCAAGGGGTCGTCGTCGAAATCAAAAGACACTGGCACATCATGACTGATTGCGGGCCAAACTACTCGATCACGAGGGTGCCATGTTGGTTCTGCAAGGCTCGGGTCGGTTGATCGTGGTGCGCGCGACTGGCTTTCTGTCGACGCAGCTGCCCCCGAGTGTCGAGCTCGCGCCGCTTGTACGAAATCTGTCCCAAGCAGAGTCTCCACTTCGCGGATAAACTTGACGTCCGTGGTTTGGTCAGCATAGTGCAGAATTGTACGACCAGCCGAATCTCGCAAGGTCAAAGTTCCACGTGTAAGGTCTCGCACAAACTTGAGGACATCCAAGTCGCCGCTGATGGCAGCACGGTGAACCAGAGCCACGCCTTGCCCATCAGTGGCATTCACATCAGCTCCTGAGGAGGCAAGCTGTAGTCATCAGAGCCCGAGGGCAGCATGATGAGAAACTCGTAACGACGCGCAATCAAGAGCGTGTAGGCAGCGCAGTCATGAGCAGCCCCGAGGGGCACGACTCACCAGGGCGACGGTAGACCAGTGGCAGTGCAGTGCAGCCAGGTGCAGCGGCGTCCACTTGTCAAGATCGCGCGCGTCAATATTGGCGTTCTCCTTGATGAGTCGCAACACAATCTCGTCCTTTTGAGACAGTGCCGCCACGTGCAGCGCGGTCTGGCCGCCCTTGTCCTGCGCGTTGACGTATGCTCCAGCCTTGAGCGCCGGCTATTTCCCGCAAACAGTCATTAGCAATCACACTGGTGCACGAAAGAAACGAACACCACATGGTACGGTACCGGCAACGCGCGTCTGACCTCCAACTGCTTCACCGGGGCGCCGCGCTCAATCAAGAAGACCAAGACGGGTGCTGGCAAGGCCAGATCATTGACACTGACATTTGCCAGCTGCAAACGTGAAGCATCATCCTGGGTGAAGCGACCGGTTGCTTGTACTTGCTGTCATCATCGGCATACAGTCAAGGCCGGAAACATGATGGGTCAGTCACGTCGAGGTCACGGGACGCACGAGCGGCTATCTCCAGCAACGTCGACGAGGGCAACGGACCTGCGTGATCTGGCTCAACACTTGAGTTCGGGACGCGGAATCAACGACGGGCGGGCTCTGTGTTTGCAGGCTTGGCTTGGGTTCAATTACGGTCGCATTCGACACTGCAGAAACCTTCTCACCAGTGGTGCGCTACAGCCGACAGAAGGAGCCAGTGTATGAGATGCAAATGCGCAAATACCCGTTCGATGGTAACAGTCAGGCGGAGTCAGATGCAGAGGTTTATTCACGAACATTGACAGCGAGATTGATCCCAACGTGCTTGTGCTCATGATCCAACTTGACCTCGAAAATAAGAGCATTTTTCTGCAAGCCCAGCTGATTACCAGAGTGTTGCAGCTAGGACAAACGCCGTGCAGTGCCAGTGAGAGCCAGGCGTTAAGAGCGGGAGAAGGGTCCTCGGGATTTGAGCCCACGGTGCTAAAGCCGTGGGCACTTGAATATCAACCAACCTCGACGATGAGGCAGCGTTGTAAGGCAGCATACTCCCTATGAACGCCAATATTGATATAGGGTCGATATTCCTGCTCTGAATTAGGGCGAAATTCAAGCTGATGACAATCCGAGCCTGTGTGGGGATCGAGCATCCAGCTGCGCAGGATTTTCCACTAGACCGAAAGACACGCCCACGGAATGTTGCGAGTGTCAGAAAAGTGGATCCGAAAGGAACGGGGGAGAGGGCATCTCAAACAAAAACGTGCGCTTCGATACTCACGCCCTGCCGTTCGGGGTGAAGCAGGGCAAAGCGGTTCAGCCGCCATGGCTCAGAGGCCGCGATGCTAGAAGGGGGTCGTTGACAAGCGTGGACAACAACGATCATCAGCTACCGCGACGAGAGGATAGCAGGAAGGACAGTCAGCCACGCTCGAGAACGACGAACCGAATATTCCAAACAACAGGTTTGGTGCCAGCAACAGCCGAGCGCGGCACCGGCCTTTGAAGAGAGAAAGGAGACGAGCATCGTGATTGTTGAAGCAATGGTAAATGGTTGGCCAAACAACGGCCAAAAAGCAACAAGTGGCAGCGAAAGGGATGTTTCACTTACTGGATGGCCGGGTTGTAAATGGGCGCGACAGATTCGACAATCACGTCATCCATAATTCTATCATGGAAGTCGCGAGCCAACTATACAGATGCGCGTGAGACGGCATGCTCACGTGCTGTCACAGGAAGGAGATGGTTCCATGGGTCAAGTGGCATACCAATGGAAGAGGCACAGGGGGGCGGTGCATCGGCTTGATGTCTTCAAGCTGTTCACGCAACAACACGGCACAAGAAAGCGAGCAGCAAGAGTGAGAAATCGTGCAACGCCAGTGAAAACTCGTGCAATGCCAGTGCCACACGGCCTCTCTAGCGCCGGGGGCGGGTCTTTAAAGTACAGGTTTCCCTGACTAACCTTGCCCGCAGCGCCACAGCCGTGACACACTTCACGATGCGCATAGTTGGGGCGGTGGCATCTGGAATTAAAAGAAAGAGGGATAAAAAGAAAGGGATGAGTTGTGTGTTGTAAGCAGGTACGAGCTGAAGAGAAGCTTGAGGCATCTTACCTCTCACAAGTCCAAGCAGGGTCATATTTGTTGTTTTCAAGACTTGCTTCGTAGGGCTGGGACGTTTGATTGTTGTTACGCTTCTGCTTTAGCAGCTTGTTCCACTCGGCTTGTTCTACGCGACGCAAAAGCAAAAGAAGCAAGGGATGAGGCTGCCTGAAGAAGTGGGCAGGTGGCTGCCTCCACCATGTGGTTGGAACAGACCTTGTGCGCCGTGCGCAAAGGTGCAACTCTTGCCACGGGGACAGTTTGGATAGTCGTGGCACATTTTGTACAAGCCATAGGCCGGAACCACCCGAGGTTTGGGTCGGCAGTGTCTATGAAGTTTTTGCCCAGAAAGGGTTAGATGGTGTTCGAATCTGATCAGAGAGGCAAAGCTTAAAGGCCGCACAGGGCCAAGAACGAAATGCAGCGCTTACTGAGCGGCACCAGGCGTGTTTGACAGCTGAATGGTCAAAACGCCGTTTTGTACGTCGCACATGACAACTTCCGGAACTTCACGCAACAAGTCGGCAAGCTTCTGAAAGTGAGAACCATAAAGACGAACGCTAAAGTTCTACGTGTCAAAGCGAGCAATGTGAGAAAAGCGAAGAGTGAATCAAGACAGCTGCAAAGTCCAAGAGATACAAGTGATTGCACACGGGCAAATCCACCTGGCCGATTTGGACTGACCTCATCAAATTTAAGCTTCCACAAGCGTGGAAAGTTGGCGCCTAGTGTTACAAGCACCGGGAGAAGTCAGGTCGAAGAAGAAAGGGAAAAAAAAAAAAAAAAAAAAATCCAAGAGGAAAACAGAGAAGAGCAAGAGAGGAAGAGACCAAGAGAGAGAGAGAGAAAACGAGCAGATAGCATTCATAATGTCGCATCAGCTGGAGTGGCGGCGCTGATTCTCAAATGCACTCAAGGTTTGGCGTAGATGGCAGCGCGCAAATGCATCAACGGGAGGGGGCGCTGGTTGAGCAGGACGCATCACACACCGTTGATTGTCTCATTGGGCTTGATGAGCCGACGCAGCTTATTGCTCAAGTCACTGAGCGGGCGGCAAGGAGCGTTGGCGGCCATGCCCCTGGTAAAAGTTGATTAATGCAGATACACGGGGGTGCATTTGACAATTACATCCACTGTGCGCCTGGGCCGGGCAACCAGGAAGATGTTATGAGGATGATAAAAAAAAAAAAAATCCCCCTCCCCCCCCCCCATTTTCAGGCCTCTTTCGTTGTCTGTGGCCGTGGCCATGACACAGCGGCGGCGGCGGCGGCAGCGGCTCTGGATGAGGCCGGGGGCAGGCGACGTACCGCAAGTCGATGCTTGACTTCTCACTCGCCACCTCACACTTTGCGATCCGATACAAGCAACTGAACATGCTCTTTAGGAAAAAGAGGGCAAGGTCGGACTAGTGCTCAGGGTGAGAGGATCGCATGAGTCGAGGAAACATCCGAGAGGAGATGAGTGAAGCCAGAGAGAGATCAACGTAGAGAAGCTGGGTGTTAAGAGATGGTAGCAGGGAACACACAAAGTTCAGAGATGCGTTGAAAGCAAGCACCCAACGTGAGAGGCATGTAGTAATCGGCATTTGATGGAGGGGAAAAAAAACCGACAAAATGTCAGATAACGCTTATCAACTTGGCAAAAACCTGAATAGCTTGTGAGGAGATTTTGAGGCTGAGCTGATACAGTTTTTCGCAGGGTGACACCTTTTTGACTGGGCAGGATGGCACTCGCGATGCTCCGCGCGACATTGGCAGCGACGACCCGACAGGCAGCGCCGGCTCTCTGGTCTGGTGCCGCTGGGTCCCTGGCGACGGTGCCACGATTGAGCGTGGGCAGCGCTGCTCCTGTGCTTCGCCCCATGCAAATGCAACAGGTACTTGATTCGAGCTCGTAGCTAGGTGTGCCGCTCTCGCCTCTTCAAGGTCCAGCTCGCTCATCTTGGGCCCCGTCGTGCGCCGGCACGTTTGCACAGTCGTTGGCGCTCGCGGCTACGCGTCAATACAAGGTCCGCTCAGCGGTCAAGCGTCTTTGTAGCGACTGTCAGGTGCGCTTTGAGCTTCGCGTCCTCCGGGGCCTTTCGAGAATCATGCACCATTGCCACGTGTCCACCCCGTCGCTGCGTCCCCCCGATGCTTTGAAAGTTGCCCGCCGCGTTGCTTCACCGATTGGGTTTGGGTTGCCTGCAGGTGGTCCGGCGCAAGGGCCGCTTGTACGTTGTGTGTAAGAAGCACCCACGTCACAAGCAACGCCAAGGCTAAGGCACATGCTTGGCCCCTGAGCTCTTCCGTTTTCTGTGGCGGGCCGTTGCCTGGCACCGCTGTCGCGGAGTTGACCTTTCAGACCCGTGGCCTGTGAGTCAGCACCCGGCCTGCAGTTTGGTCGCAACTTGAAGGTCCGAGCTTATTCCAGTTAGAGGAACGAGCACTGCCGTTGTCAGCCATGCGTGGCTTTGACCGATTAACCCCTGTTCCGTGAACATGGTGGTGCACGCCGTTCTTTCGCCAGGCCGGCCATTATTTTCCCGGTGTCCTTGTCATCCTTCTTCCGCTTGCCCCCGTATACCTTGTCCTTTGGTCCTTGTTTTTGATCATGTATTGTGATTGTCGACTCCCGCCCCCTTCAGATTGTTGTCGTCTCATCGAGTCAATGTTGCCCCTTTGTGGACGGGAAGCAAATGTTGCCACAAACCACTTCCTCTAAGCCAATTTTTTTTTTTCCAATTTTCACTCTTTGCATGCTCGTATAATGCCTTTGCGGTTGGTTCCAGCACGCTGCCGCATCAAGCACATGCTTTTGGCCCGAAGGGTCATGGCCAGGTCAGGCCACGGTGGGGTGGCGCGTTGGTGATCTACTCTACTACAGCCATATCGGAACATGGCCGCTGCTGCCTGGATTGAGCAAAGGGCCCGCCTCGCTACAGCTCCTTGCAGCACGTCGTAGCTGATGAACTACTTTCGGGCTGCTCGGGTAGAGCCATGGGTCTTGAGCGTCGCCAACTTTTGCACTTGCTCGGTTCCCAGCGAGCGGTGCACTGGAGGGAGGGCTCGGCCTGCTACAGATTCAAGCCAACAAGGATGGTGCAGTCAGAGAACCATGTTTCGCGGTGGGTGTCATAATGACGGACAGGGCCAGCTTGCGTGGCAGCGTGCATACCAGCCGGGCCGTGCACAAGGCCACTGTCAGATGAAGTCTTGCGCATGGGTTTGCGAGAGCCTAGCGAGAAGCAGCCAGGTGCAAGTCAAACCACCAGAGGCTTGAGTCGTCGAACCTTTGGGAAGGGGTGCACCAGCAATATGTCGAGGCTGTAGCATGAGGCATACCTTGGAAGCCGCTGCCATTCATGGAAACGAGTGTGTCGAGGATGCGGCGCTTTCGCTCCTGCAGCTCGTTGTCCGTCCGCGCGGGGCCTGGGCGGCGCCGACGCGTGGACTGGCTGCCATGAGGGCCTCGAGGGCCATTCATCTGCGTGTGGCTGGCCAGCGGCGGACCCATTTGACTTTGCATCTGACTCTGCATCTGGCTCTGCTGCTGGCGGAGGGCTTGGATATGCTCCAGGGCCACCGCGACTTGGTTGCGCGACTCGAAGAGCTGGGCCTCCATCTGTGCGTGGTCCCTGCGCAGATCATCATAATCAAGCTCCAGCAGCTGGGCTTCTTCCTGGGCAAAGTGCAGTTGCTTGGTCAACTGGGCATTCTCAGCTCGCAGCTCATCAACTATGCAAGCGGCCGAGTGGGATTGCCACGGCGTTGGCAGGGGCAAAAGGTCAGCAAAGCCCGGGGGCAATCATGTCTGGTTGAGGTGCACGAGGCCAAGTCATAAGAGTCACGCACTCATGCTCTGGACGCGTGCAGAAGGGCTGTTGGTGGTACTGGTGTGGGTGACGATGAGCTTGAATTTGAGGTCTGAGCACAACATCAGCCAGCAGCCAGCCGCATCAGCCAATCCCTAAACGTGCGGGCATGCGCACCCAACGCCACGGAAAGACCTCAGAACAGTTGGGGACGGGGCAGACAGGCACACCTTTGTTCTCCGCCTTGAGACGCTCTAATTCGGCCTGTAGAGCGCGGAGGCTTTTCTGAAATTCCTCTTGAAGGAAAGTGGTGGCCCCGCGATCGCGCGCAAGAACACGGGCCGCACCTCGGCTGCGAACATTTCGCATCGGCAGAGCTGCGCTTGCCATGACGACGCCACAATATTGCAGCAGCAGCTCAACAATTGCTTCGAAGTCTCAATGGAAGACAACCACCCACCGTGAACAGCCACAGCACCAACAACTACAAACACGACGATGCCACAAAGGCAAGGAGAAGCCGAGACCGGCACCAGACGGCAGCCGCAGCTGAGCTCGCCCAATTTCTTTCCAAACAACACCCAAACAACAGAAAAAACAAAAAGAGAGAGAGAGAAGAGAGAGAGAGAGAGAGAGCAAACACTTCGATTGACAACAGCGCCTTACAACACACGTTGGCAACAAGTCTCAAATTGTCATCATTTATGCTGACTATGGACGTGAAAGATCTTTTCAAAGAAGAAGAGAAGCTTGGTCCCGGCACACCGGGTGCCAGCCATTTGAAGTGATCAACCTCGGCCCGGGAGACAGTGCCAACCATCAGAAATGGCGGGGTCGTCGTCGTCTCCCTCCATCTCCACGCAGCTGGACGTCTTGGCTGCCCTTGTGGAGCAGGTACGGTTTGCAGGTAGACAGTCCAGATGTTGACTCACTTGCCTCAGCCCCTCACTTGCTTCAGCTGCCCCCCGTTCAGCTTTCACTCAAAGCCTTGTCATTTCGCCTTGCGCCCTTTCTCTCGCCGTCCAGTTTGACAGCATCAATCTGAAGACAAGGTCGTTACCCAAGTTTGTCATGGAGTGCAAGCGCCAGAACAGCACCGCCTTCACCATTAAGATCGACATTACGAAGAGCTTGGTGGCGTACCCCAACCCGATTAGCGAAGAGACAAGGATTCCACCCGCCATGGCTGTCGCAGAGCTGTTAGAAGCAGCTGACATGTTTGATTTCATCAGTGCTGATGAAACACCATTGAGTCTGACCCCACCCCAGCGTCAGCTGCGCGACATACTTCTGAAACATGCCTGGACCACCCTGTATTGCGGCTCAAGCAACGGTGGTGCAGGCCGCCTAGTGCAGGGTTGCAAAGGCGTGGCCAAGACGACCACGTTCATGATGGTGCAGGGCATCCTCAGCACCCTCTTACCCAATGAGAACCTCGTCTTTTTTGCCTCTTTACGCGCGCAGTCCAACGTCTTTGAAACCTTTGCCAAGGCCTATGCTCAGCGTCGACGATTGGATGAAGCCCCGCTTTGGCAGTCCTTTGAGGACATCAAGGCCGTTTGTGGTTCGAGGAACAAATTTCTTGCCTACGTCGACGAGTATCACGTGACGTATACTCGAGACGACCAGTGGCGCGAGACAGCATGTACAGTCGGACAGAGTGCTGCTTTTGGTGCCTTTGCGTTGACGGGGGATGTACCGTATCTCCGTGCGCTGGCCTTTGGCAAAGCTTCCGTGGAGGATGTGAAGGAGAACTTTCCTTTCTACACCACAACACCCAACCTCAATGACACGCGCTACACCGTGGTCGAGATGGAGCCCTGTACGACTCGCGAAACCGTGCAAGAATTGGCGACCATCCTCGGGGTATCATCGGCAGCTGAGCTCTGCGGATACAGTGGTGTTGGATGGCTCAACTTTCTCGCCATGATGACTGGAGGCTTGACTTGCCACATGGCACAAGTCGCGAAGGATGTCCGGCAGCACTGCAGTACGCTGCGATGTCGTTTCATGGACAGATTACGCGATGAAACGTTTCGGAGAGAGCTTGTGGAGGTGGCCGAGAAGGCTGGTGAGCTTGGCCCGGTTTTACAGCTCGCAAATAGCGGCAATTGGCTGGATCTACCTCTACAAGATCAAGTCAATCAACTCCGAGAAATGCCCTCTTCATTGACAGCAGCCCTCGACGCCGTGCCTGAACTTGACATTGACTTGGACACAAAATTATCGGATGTGGACAAGCATTTGGGAAACCCTGACTATGCGTCGTTGCTGCAAGACCTTGGGCACGAGCTGCTGAACAAGACTGGAGAAGGCGAGGTGAATGCGCTGGTGAAGGATCCCTTTGCGCTGATGACAAAGGTTGACGCTGCCAACTTACTCACGAAATACGGGGCGCGCATGCTCTACGGGGCCAGCGACTCGGGTGCGATCCGATATGACGGCACCAACATCAGCTTTGGCACGCCGTTGCTTGCTCAGCGCATGCTCGATCACGATGGTGCTCTTCCCCGGTGATTCTGACCGCTGATGCGTCGCTATCTCCGTTACCTGACACAGTCTGGGATCAAGGCCGAGGTGGTGGTGCGTGCATGTCTTGCTCAGAAGTTGAAGTATGATTGTGATGAGGAGGACAATCATTGCATCAATCACGACGCGCCCACAAAGGACGCTCACCGTACCTGGGTGATGAAGACACCGTGCAACGGTGTGCTGGCATGGAACGAGTTGAAAGCATTCCGCTTAATGGTCAGGGAGGCGCCTGATACACGCGGTTGTGATGCCGTGTGGTTCACCGTGAACGGCAGTGAGCTTACCGTTCATCGGTGCCAGGTCAAGCTGGGGTACAACAGTGGCAACCCAGTCGCGCCGTCAAAAGTACGCGAGTGGTCCAAATTATTGGTGGGACACACGGCCCGCAGAGGTGCCATTCCTTTTGACAATGAGGCTCGTCTGGCATTTGAAAAGACCTTGCGCAAGACGTCAAACAACGACGACATCAGCGTTAGGGTACACTGTTATCTCATCATGACAAGACCACTGGCCTCTCCTGCAAATTTGGCCCAGGAACTCAAAGAGGAGCTGAGTACAGCCCATCTGACCTTTGATCTGTGGCATCATGAGAAATGCTTGTCTGATCTCTGGCCCAGAGAAGTACAAGCCTGGGCCAAACAGAACGACTTGAAGGCTTACTATCGACCAGAATAACGCGTTTTGTGTGGGGGCTCTTGTGTTGAGTGGATGTTCATACTATGTTCATGCTCGAAGAATTGTTGATAGCCCAATTGATACATGCCACGTTTTCCTCTCGAAACACTTTCTCCTGGCATCAGCTTCAAGAGTCTTTTCGACAATGCAGAATGGAGCCCGCAAAATGCCACCGAACCTCACGGAATGAACCAGCTCTGATGACGACGATCTGATGCATCATTTATTGTTATGATTATTGATCATGCAAAGAATGTGTCAAGCTCCCGTGGACACCCGTCCACGACGTGTGGAGGCAGGTGGGGGTGCTCAATGCGTGGGAGAATGGATTCACAGAACGCAATTGAACGTACAACCGCAAGTTCGTCAGGCCCATAAACACTTTCTAAAACCCCGCCGAGTCAAGTATGCGTGAGGGGGCATTGTCCCAGATCAGAACAATGTTCTTGGTACCAACTATGCTTCTCTTCCAGAATATCTGTAGTGGCCACAAGCCACTCCTAGTATCAGTACCTCCTTCAGCCAACGCAACATCGTCGTGCGGTCTGCCCAGGCACGACGCTGGCTAAAGTACATCCTCGTGTTACCGTTATCACGTGGGTCATAGACCAAAACACCGTGGGTGCTGAGGCTTGCCGATGAGTGTGAGGGCCACCTTCAGAGCATCCGCGATCGTCCACAAATCTACAACAACGTATGGAAACTTGGTCACCGTCACAAGATGCCGCTTTCGCATTTTTCTCCTCCGAGGGTACATGCCCCCGGCCCCGCACCTGTGCCTCGCGAACTGCCTTCAAGAGCGGCAAGCTACAAAGCGCCGAGGCGTCGTAAGGTAAGCGCGCGACGAAAAATCAAGTGGCGCGCGGTGGTCACTTGGTAAGTGGCCCTTCCCTCAGCAACAATTGGGTTCGTGTACACACACACACACACACACACACACACACACACGCACACACACACACACACACACACACACACACACACACACACACACACACACACACACACACACACACACACACACACACACACACACACACAATGCTATGGGACTTCCCAAAACCCTTAGAAAGCTGCTTGTAACAAGCTTGGATCAGCAGCTTTGTACGAAGCACATGAGTGATGTAAAAAAGCAAAATGCCTGTTAACTTGATTTTGTCAGACTCAAGAAATAGCGGCTACTCGTCACACACCACAGTTTCTTGTATCTCGTGTTGAGCCGTTAGAGCGCTGTGGGCGGTGGGCGGCGACGGTGGCGGCGACGGTGGTGGTGGTGGTGGTGGTGGTAAAGAAGCAAGTCTTCTTCCTCGTGTGAATTGATCAGGGCGCGTGTGGAGGCACGTTTGTGCTGCACGCAAACACACGTGGGCGCTTCTTGTTTGGCTGAGATCGCCACAATGGTGGAGCAGCGCCTGGGCATTGCCATGCTGCTGTTGGGCACCCTAACGCTGAGCTCGGTATGGTATCTTCAGTACACGGTCTTGCAAACACGATCAGCCGATACTCGCGGCAGTGAATTTGATGCTGTTGGGGCTGCAACCGGGGCTGCAACCGGGGCTGATGACATACCACGCGCGCTGCGCCAACTTCGCGAGGAGCTACGCAGCGACTTGCAGGGCCTGAGGGCCGATGTTCAGAGCGTGAGGCGCAGCGCCGCCCCTCAACAGCCTTTGCACGCTGGCGCTGAAAATGGGGTCAAGACCGGGCTTGTGGTCAACCCGCCGCGCCTCGCTCGGGACTCGCCACGCCTTACCTCAGATGCCGGTCTGACGAACATCTTTGCGACAGAGGGTTCCCAGATCCGCTCCGTGTTTCGTGCCGTCGAAGATTGTGTCAAGTTGACCCCTGACGGCCGCGTGCTGCTGCTGGCCTGCGGTACCACCGTCAATGAGAATGCCTATTTGACAGCCAAGGGACAGATTCGCTTGGTTAAGCAGTCGGTTTGCCTCGAAGCCAACATCCAAGAACACCGCATCAGCACCAAGCCGTGCGAAGCCGATTCCAAAGCACAGCAATGGCGCCTGGAGGCCCCCGCCCCACATCGCGCAGGGCTGCTCCGTAGCCAGGCCAACCCCAGTCTTTGCTTGTCGCCGCACATGAATAATATCCGACTAACGCCCTGTGGTAACAACTGCCAAGACTTTTGGATGCCCGTCCCCGATGCAGACCCTCCCTCACAGGCGCCCATGGAGGAGCCAACTCAGAGCCTGCTGGCGCAGTACAACGCTGCGGTCCGTGCTGCTGGCGTTCGAGTCGCCTGCTTTGTCATCACGCACCCAGGCAATCACGACACCAAAGCTCGCATGATCAATGCCACTTGGGGCCAGCGCTGCAATGAGCTCGTCTTTGTTACTACTCAGCCGGCCCCCGGTCTCAATGCAGCCATCATGCACATTGACGAGCCGGATGATCGCAAGTTCTTGCGAACCAAGGGCAAATTTGCCTACATGCACATGTACGAACACTACTTGGACCGCGCCGACTGGTTTGTGCGCGCTGACGATGACACCTACATTGTCATGGAGAATCTGAAGGAGTATGTGGAGACCATGTCCCCGGACCACCTCGTCGCACTCGGTCGCCGCTTCTTTAACATGGGCGATCGCAACTCACCTTTCAACGCCGGTGGCCCCGGCGTTGTCGTGAGCCGAGCTGCACTCAAGCGCCTGGGCGACCGCACTCGCGAGGGGCTGGAATGGACGCCACCGGCTTTTGGTCAAGGTGATGATCTGCAAGCTGGACAAACCTTCACGGCCATCGGTGTCGAGGTCCTGGACACACGTGGACCAGATGGCAAGCATCGTTTCCACCCACTGCACGTTGCTATTGAACGTCAGGGCCGAGCCCCTAAACCCGGCTCCACGTACTGGTTTGACCAGTTTTCCAAGGACACGCAGCCCATGGAGCGCTGCTGCGTTGAGAACTGGGTGGGTAGCCACTACACCAAGCCTCACGAAATGCTGGCTTGGGACGCCATGGAGACGAGCGGCTGTACAAACAACCCCGCCTACGTGCCCCATCTTCGACTGCCGCACTCGCTAGCCAAGGCCGTGCGCAAGCACGCCTAGCTCCATCATGGCTGCCCGCACTCTTTAACGTGCCAGCAAAAGACGCGTTGAAGCAGCGGCCCTCAAAAGTTCATGACCTTTTCTTTTTTTTCTTTTTGTTTATTTGACTGGACCTTCACACACACTATTCGAGCTCAGCCTGTGCAAGCCGCCCTGCCTATTTATTGCGCCTTTGCTCTAGCCACCTGCATCGTCGAGCTTTCTGTGGTTATGCGACGTTCTCTGAATTTATGAGCCATCAACTACTACCACCAGCATATCCATTCACAGGTCCATTCAATTATTGAAGCTCTTGAGAAAGCTTTTGTTTTTCTTGTGGTGACCCACTGCTGTTCATTTTTGGGGTTCCTAACTTGCTTGAGCTCTAACCCTGTGCTGTTGGCTTTGTCGCCGTGCGCAGAACAGACGGTGAGCAGGCGATGAGCTATAACCATCTGGTCAAGGACGCAGAGATGCGGGCTGTCTAGACGCGGTCGTCATTGGTACGTGGGCTGGTTTCAACATGATCAATTTTCGAGTCAACTTAGAATGCTCCCTCTTGGGCATCGGGTCTGGACTCGTGAACAACTCGCGATTGACCCTTGCCAGAGATCCTTGGTGGAGCAGATTTTGCTATTCATAAACAGGCGGCGCATGTAGACAGTTCTGGTCACACGAGGGCGGAAAGTACAAAACGGTTAGCTTTTTACGGCGCCCGGCTGGGCAAGATCTTTTCGTCGATCACCTCGGGGTGGGGCGCGATTGAACCCAAGATGTCGGGGCGCTGTCCTTCTCGAACGACACTGCTGCGCTCGATACCAGGCAGAGAGTCGGCACGGTTGCCGGCCAGGGTCTCTGAAATGTCGCCGGGGATGTGAAAGTTGCTCTGGGCAAAGTATCTGTCGTACTGTCACAGACACACGCGATTGTGGTGGAAGTGTTAGAAGAGTCGTTCGGATGAAGGAAGCATCAGGGGCGGGAGAGGAAGAGAGAGGGAGAAAGAGGTAGGGATAGAGGGGGAGGGGGAGAGAGCAGGCAGCCGCGCCTTGAGCATGCGCCAACAGCAAATGTTGTCACTTACAACAAAATAGCCCACCAAGCCCATGGCACCAAGGGTGGCAAGGTTCGCCAGGGTGTTGCTGCGTGCAGTTTGCGTGCTCTTCGCGCGCATGCCCGCGGGGACGCGGCTACAGGCAACACGCATCGTCGAGGCACGCAACATGGTACTGGCGATGGCTGATGAGCTGATGCCAGATTGTTAATCAGATCAAGTTGAGGTCACTGGCGTCTTGAGGACGACAGTGCGGCGTTTTCGAAACTTGGAGCCCTTTGAAAACAAGCGCTGGCAAAGGTAAAAAATGACACATCAGTGAGCCATGCTCCACCCTATGCTCGAGTCTTCCCCCGCTTGGTCCCTTTGGCTTCCAAGGGCCGTGTAGCTCAAAGCAAGAAGTATCCTTACTCGGGGCCCGCGATGAAGGGAACATGGGTAATCACCATCACTTGGAAACGCCATGGCATTTTCTGCGTGCACCCTCACTTTGGCTTGACATGTGAATTCTTCCTGCAGCTGCTGATGTGTATCCCAAGGTCCCCCTGTTCAGTCCGCAAAGCTGAGTGTGCTATCTAAGAAGGGTGGGGGTGGGTGGTCGAGAAAGGCGATGCGAGCACGGGTTTCCATTGATTGTTCGAAGGAAAAACCAAAAAACCAAAAAAACAACCAAAAAACCAAAACAACCACTTGTGTTGCCCTACCAGCCCCATTAGTCTTCAAGTGCTAGGTCAGCACGTGATTCAACCGAAGCATTCAGGGATTGCAGTCGCGAGGTAGGCTCAAGACGTCCGCCGTAGGTGGGAATAACCAGCCCACCATCCTCAAACCCTCCCGGTCCAACTGCGGGGTGACCTACGTGCTGGCGATCATGCTCAGCCAGCGCATCTAGGTGGGGCACGACCAGCGTGCTATGGCGTCGCAACAGCTCCTCGTAGAGCATAAAACACGTATCGCAGGGCTCTACCCGTGCAGTGCCGTAGAACAAAGCGCCCCAGCTGCACAAACGATCATGGCATGGGCCGCCACGAATGAGGCACCTTGACCAAGAAAGAGGGTGGAGCTGAGAGAATGGGTGACTGATATGCATACCGCTCAGCAGCCGGCCAAAGAAAAGCACGCATAGCCGTGTCCACAGCCGCTAGAGGCTCAGCGCTAGACGTTTGCATCAGTGCCGCAAAATCGCTGCAGAGCAGTGCCGGGTAGACGATCCCGGTTGGTCACACACGAGGATGAGAAAGCAGCTAACGCAAACGAAAGCTATTGCTGCTGCCGACTGGAGGAAGGCGCTAAATAGGCAGGCGTGCCGGTTACCTACACGTGCAGCAAGAGTTCTTCTACCACGGCCACGGAACGCCACGACATGTGGTGGCTGCTGGCCAGCACATCACCCGTGATGTGGTCGCCAAAATAAACGACATCCAAGGCTAAGAGGCGAGGGATAGGCCCAGAGGAGGGGAGCAAAAAGGTGTCGGGTGCAAATGCATGATATACAATGCTTGACTCGACCGACTGGACGAGACCATGTTGCTCGCATTGGGCACCCCGACGTACCGCTGTGGTTGGTGATGTCGCGCCGGTGTCGCTGGAGAAGCTGCTCTAGCTCGCGGGCGTTCCCGCCGACATAATAGTGGGTCGAGCCGAGGCGAAGTGCCGCGGGCTCGCCAACCTTGCCATCAATCGAGACGTGACGAAACGGTTCCTGGTGGTGAAAAAAGGCAGGTTTGTTGCCGCTTGTCAGCACCAAGTCAAAAAGCTCGGGCCAGGCCGCCCCATAGGCATGGCTGAGAAGAAAGTGAACATAGTCGATGTGCGAGTTGGTGAGAAGAAATAGCTTGACTCCATCGCGGTGCCGCAAGTCATAAAGCCAGCGTCGCAGGTCACTAGAAAATTTGTGCAAGTAGCTACCGACCCAAGAAACATCATGCAAGTCAGAGTGATCAAGCGGGAGAGAAGGGCACAGGTCATCTGTCACGTCGACGTTGCAGCACACGCATGGGTACAACATGGGTTTTTTAAAAAAAAAAAATCGGAAGAAAAACTTGAAAAAAAGCAAGACAACATACCGAGCAGGGTCTTGGCGGAGCGCGGGAAAGAAGTAGCCCGAGTTGTTGGCAAAATGCTCAATGTCAAAGTTACCCGAGAGCGCCGCAAAGACGTCCTGCATCATCTCGGTATAGGTGATGGTAGCGAGACGGAGCTCGGCGTCGGGCTGCGCACGGTCAGTAGGTCCAGTGGTAGCGGCGGCGGCGGCAGTGAGGGATTCAATATTAGCAATATTAGCACGTGCTGTATCCATGGCTGTGATGAGCTCGGCAACAACGCAGGCTGCAGGCATGTCAAAAAAGGTTGAGAACCAGGTGAAGCGCCGATCACGTTCGCCGTTGGTGAGCACGCGCCGCACCACGTCCTGCAATTCGCCAGGCCGGTATAGGGCCTCGGCGGCTGCGGCTGCAAGCGGGGCCGTGCCGTGGGTGGCGGCAAAGACGGTGCCATCATTGCGGAGACGCAGGAAAACACCACGCTCGGTGTCAAAGAGCAGGCCTTTGATAAAAAACGACGGGTTCATGGGAATGTCAAGAAGCCGCGCCGGGTAGCCGCGGTTGTCCACAAGAAAGCGCAAAAAGGCCGAGTGAAGCAGCTCAGCTAGTGCAGGGACGTTATACCGCAGCAAGCAATGATCCAAGTCAAAGCCCAACCAGTCGCACGCGTGCAGGTGCAGGAGCTCGCCTGCAGCCCAGGCCCCAGGCGCAGTCGTATCGATCACCGGCGGCATGGCAACGCGTTCTTGCCAGCAAGGCGACCCCGGACTGTATCTTGATGCTCTCTTCAACAAGCACTATTCAAGGCACCCTCCAACGAACGAGGCGGGATCCACCACTCGGTCCTTGACCCCGTCCACAAGGGCCAATCCTCCCAACCGAGCAGCCTCAGCAAAACACCGATGAGCCGCCGCTGCCGCCGAACGCGAGAGACGAGAGAGAGAGAGAGAGAGAGAGAGAGAGAGAGAGAGAGAGAGAGAGAGAGAGAGAGAGAGAGAGAGAGAGAGAGAGAGAGAGAGAGAGTTTAAGAGAGAGAGAGAGAGAGAGAGAGAGAGAGAGAGAGAGAGAGAGAGTATAAGAGAGAGAGAGAGAGAGTATAAGAGAGAGAGAGAGAGAGAGTATAAGAGAGAGAGAGAGAGAGAGAGAGTATAAGAGAGAGAGAGAGAGAGTTTAAGAGAGAGGGAGAGAGGAGAGAGAGAGAGAGTTTAAGAGAGAGAGAGATCGATTCATGTCAATACTCGTCGAGGTCAACATCGGCCAACTCTGCGGGCATGTTGGCACACACACGAGCGAGAGGCCCCAACAGCGCGGAACACCCCACTTGAGCAACGACTAACTCCTGTGCCTTCAGAACTGTCGCGTCCCAGGACTCGGATGGGACGTCGTCGGGGTGGGCAATTGTGTTGCCAGCGACGCGCAGTTGCTTCGATGCATCCTTCCATGCTTTGATGGCCACGCCTTGCTGCTTCATGACAGTGTTCAGCTGGTCCCAGTTGTTGAGAAGGGCAACTCGTCCGTCCCCGGGAAGGCTGTTAAAAACAGTCACAAGAGACTTGGTCATGAAATTTGAAGTCTCAAACTCCTGGCCTTGAATGTCCGAGGTGGGAGGTTTACGCCGCGCCAAATCTCGCAGGAAATAGCACAGGCAGTCAAAGCCCACGGGGACCATGCGACCGCTCCTCAACGTCAACAAGGGGAGGTCAGGCCACAACCACGCACGCATCCTTGTTTCAACGTTGTAGACGACCTGGCGCGCTGCCATGGCGGCCTTGTCCTCGTTGAGCTCCTTCCGGAGCTGCTTGTTGTCGTCTCGAAGACTTTCGATCTTTGCGTTGGACTCCTTGAGCTCTTCCCTGACTTGCTTGTTATCGTCCTGGAGGCCCTTAATAGCCTTCCTCGCCGCCGTTAGTTCGCTTTGAAGAGCGTCAATGGTCTTCTCCGATGCGAGTAGTTTGCCACGAAGCTCAGTGACCCTCCCTTCGAGTCGGACAATCTCCTCCGATTTGGCAGCCAGCGTGCATTCGAGATCGCGAATACGATCTTGAGCCTCTTTCAGTTCATCCTGGGCTCGAGATAGCTGGCGTTTGGTTTCGCGATGCGACTCCTCCTCATGTTGCAGCCGGAGCATAAGAGCTTGGTCTGGAGCGTATCCTGCCATAGGCGTTCGGTTCAATCAGCAACCACTGTGAGCCACAGCTTAAAACACAACAATCGAGAGCAATTCAAGGGAGATAATGGCCAGATATCGCGATACATACCGGCCGGCCCCACCAACTGCACCGCGCCTGGTAGGAGAAGAAGTTCTTGGCCTTGTAGGGCATACACAGCGCGTGCATCACCGTAGGCACCAGACGGGTCGGTCTGGACACCGGTCGCCGATGACTTGTCGTTGGGGGCCGCCATTCTTGAGAGAAAGAAAGATACGGAAAAAAGAAAACCAAAAACTTGCGCCGACGCGGTCTTTACGGCAGTTTATAGACACAGGGAGGCATGGCTCCTCCAAAACCACAAGAAAACCGCAGAATGAGAAACGGCAGTGTGGTGAAATGAGACAACGACAGCACAACGAGTTGCTCCCCGAACGGCTCACAGACAACCGAAGCGGCCGAATTCCAACAAGGACCTCGCTCAGGCGTCACACAAAAGTCAAAAAAGGGTGCCCAAGCGCGAGGTGGTGGACTTCCTCCCTCGAACGCCAAACCGCGCGACGAGGAGGAGAAAGGAGCGGGTATTGGAAAATGCCTGCCGTCAAGGACTGCACCCCAGATGAGTTACGGAAACGGCTAAAAATAGTAAAATACATTTAGTAGCGCCCGAGCTTCCGGCGATGCGAATGAACTTTCTAAAAGGCCACCAGATATCCGATCAAGTAAGCTCAACCGTCGTTCCTTGGTCCCCGCCCTCCCCCCTTGCCTTTTCGCTTACGCTGCCATTTGATGTTTGGCCTGACCCCTTATCCACTTGCTTTCCTCCGCTTGCCTCCAACGACAGGCAATCTACTTGTACAGGAAGCATGGCGCTGTCAAGCCATTCTGCCGTCTCACAAACCTGCCCTCTATCCAAACCGGTCGCCATGTTTGTGACAGGCCTTCAACTTGCCCTCTTTCGATGTGCTCTCCTTTACTTCAGTGGATTGGGGTTGGCTGCCCCATACCGCAATGCCCGTTCTCATCGCGGCACGTGACCACTTTCTTGCGCGTTTTACCCGAGAATATCCCGTTGACGCTAGTGGCAGGATGTCCAAGCACTACCCAAGCGCCCTTCGGTATCATGATTGTGGCCACTGGTCTTCTAGCCTGCAGAATTACAACAAGCATCGTTTTAAGAAATTTTCAGATGCCTCTCTGCATCCTCCGAAAGTACGCTCATCACACCCAATGTTGCAAGAATGGCAAAGCTTTCACGAAGTGTATCAACCTTTTGCTCACCATGGACCATGCTTTTGTCGGTTTGTTGCTTACCCATCCTATGTACCTCTTTGCAGACTCGTATGTGCACGGTTTGCTCAACCACATTCGCCGCGCTGAAACGCAGAAACGCCTTCGTGTCCACAGCGTAAATGAAGAAGGTAGGGATGAAATACATGTAATATATTATTGGCGTCAGTGGCCGAGCCACATGCCGCGCTTCTTTTTCCTATCTGATACCCTCGCCTTCTCAATTGTTTCTCGTCCATAATTGTATTGTGACCTCGTCTTTGTAGTCAACGATGCGAGAAGTTTGTTGTCAGTGCCTGGCAGCAACCAGACCATTCACTTCGACTCGGGAGAATGTACTTGCATCTTTGAGACGCGTGAAGATTGGGTGAACATGCCCGGCTGGAGCAACGATTCAATATTCGCAACTGCACGACCTTGTTGAGCACAGATTTGAAGGCTTCCTCTCTTGGATTGACCAACTTTGACAACGAACAAGATGCCCGATGAGCCAGTTTGGCGAACGCTCCTAACTCTGTCAAACCCACACTGGCATCAAGGGCTCTGCCGATGCCACATGCAAACAGCTTAAAAATGAAAGAATCGAGGTTATAAAATCACTCTTTGTGCTCGAATGTCTGCTACGCATTTGGTCACAACGGCAGGTACAAGATGAGACAGAGGTTTTCGTTGATTGCCGATCCCTCTCCCTGTCCGAGGGCTGGGTTCTCGCTGGCCATAACCGTCAGATTGGCGCGGTCCTGACAATAGACCGCTGATAATATGACAATCTGACAATACTGAAGCCTTTTTCTGACAAATTTCATCGCGAATGCGTGTGTGGCTCCTCTCTTTCCTTTGGGCGCTGTGCTTGCACTCTACCCAGCAGCAGTTGGCGTTCCTGGGTCTCAGACGGTTGGTGGTGGTGGTGGTGGTGGTGGTGGTGGTGTTGTTGTGGTTGTGGTGGTGGTGTGGGGTATGGGTGGACGAATGGATGCACGGATGCACGGGTGCACGGCTGGCGGTGCAGCAAGGCTGGTTGGGCGAGACTGACGTGGGCTGGTTTGGATCTGACCTCAGGTTCTTTGCTTTGGTTGTGGTGCTGAAAAGTGTTGTTGGAGGTCAGAGGCGTCATAGGAGAGAGGCACGAGCCGACCACGGGCCATGATTCGCAGTCCGGCCGTGGCCTTGAGCCTGGTCCTGGCAGTGACCGTGGTTCACCTGAATTCCTTACGTTTCGCCGAGAAGATGCGCGATGCGGATATCATCGAGCCCACCATCCCAGAGCACCTCGTGGTTTGGGACCCAGTCGAGGTCAACTTTACCCGCCGGTCAGTTCCACAGCTCACCGCGTCTACCGGCATCGGTGTTTGTGCTTGCCAGCTCGGCCTACCTCGCCGTTGCGCCTATGTAGTGCATGCCTGACTGCGTTTGCTCTGGCCCTCACCGCCACAGAGTGCGCCTCGACGACAGCGGTCGCATTTACACCATGCGCACCATGGCCACCAATCCCCCCATCTTTGGTCCGGCCTGCAACACCTCGCTGGGTGGATCATGGCTTGAGCATCCGCTTCTCGGGCACAGGAAATTTCTTTCGGAACCAAGGCTGCCTCACACTTGTTCTATGCTGGTCCACAGAAATTGAGGATTTTCTTACCGGAGAGGAATGCGAAACCATCCTGTCGTACGTACCCCACCTTCCCTCCAGCGAGCAAAGGCTGTTGATTTGCTCGGCCAACGACTGGTGCTCACGCTGAGAACCAGAATGACTGGAGCAAGCTCGTTGGGATCACTCACTCTGGTCCTCGCATGTAGCCTGGCCGGCAAGCAAGGTCTCTTCAAATCTGACCACACCTACTTGGATGGCAGCAACTTAGCCGAGAAAGACAAGGTGGGCACCCTCGCCTCTGTTTCCCGTTCTCCCAGGCTCACAACTTCTTTTTTGACTGACGGGCCTGTACATCTGCTCATGCACTCTCCTCTCTCGGCTCGCTCAGGACACAACTCAGCTGTCTGAGGATGAGGCCAACAACTTGTTTCGCTTCAGTGATCAAACGTGCGCCCTGGCCTTCCGCGCGCCTACATGCTTTTGTGGCTGCAGCCTTGCGCGATGGCTCATAAGATCTGTTTCTCTGAAAAACCTTTTGCACAAATAGTTGGCTGGCCCATGATAGCCATCGTCATCTGCGCTCCATGTATCGTCGCCTCCAACGCTTGGCCCGGCTGCCCGATCATGTCATGCCCCAGGTGGAGCAAATGCAGGTGAGTCCCATTACGCCTCGCACGCGATGAAGCCAGTGTCAAGTTCACTGTCGCATGCGTGGGGCACAATGAAACACAGGTAGTTCGTTACAATCGCCACGGTCACTACGAGTCCCACTTTGACTCAGAAGCAGACGTAAGCTTGTTTGTTTTGCACTGCCTTGCCGTCCTCCTGCCTTTCGCATTGCAGCAGGCTTGTCACTTTGCTATTGGGTGGTTTATGGCAACAAATACATGTGGATCGTAGCACTTGGGTCCTTGCTGCATCGACCCGGTGGCCCGGGGGTTTGATACGGGTGTGCGTGCGCTGGAGCGCCCCCTCGAGAAGCGTTGCCGTCTCTGTCGCTACATGACTGTGCTGTACTACCTCGTCGACACGGAGCAAGGCGGTGGGGTTCTGCAACTCGTTGTCCCACGTTTGAGCTTTGATTTGAGGTTGATCTCGCACTGGGAATCTCAAACCTTCATGACGTGGTGCGGTGAATAGGCGGCACTGTTTTCCCCTTGGCTGATACCACGGACGCCGAATATACCAACTGGACCAAGCGCACCGATCCTCTCAAGTACAGGCAGACGCGTACGTGTGGACCCGGCAAGGTGGTTCTACCCAAGCGTGGCAAAGGTACGAGCCAACACCCTTGTTTTCACCCACTCAACTCTGACCGACTGTTCAGCAACTCAAACACGCCCACGCGACTGCTTAGCCATCATGTGGTATAATCACCACACTGACCGGGGCCACCTGGGCCAGCTTCATGAGCGTTCGTTGCATGGTGGGTGTAATGTCATCAAGGGCCAGAAGTGGATTGCCAATCACTGGATCAGCGAGCTGCCTCATCCCGACGTGCCTCGCACGCCTGCCACTGGTCATGTTTAATGGCACGAGCCCCTGGCAGTCCGCCTGGCCCAAATGACCCCATACATTCGCTTTTCAAGTTTTCAAAAAAAAAAAAAAACATAGCATCGAGCATGCGTTTCCAACCGCCCGGGTTCGCTACCGTGCATGGATTACCATCAATTGACGGGGCGTTGGATCACGATCATTGCCTGCCGGCGACGGTCTGCACAGTGTGCAGGCAAAGGCCAAAGCAACATGTCTTCTTCTCGTGCATGCTTACAAGAAAGTCTCTGTCAGGGCCGCAATGGGTGTGCCTGACACGGGCGTCGGCCACATCTGCGTGCTACACAGACCAAGATCCAGAGGGAGAGCATGAGGATGCTTGCACCGGCAAATGGGGAGCGGCAAGAGCTGTAGCAGCCACTTACGCGCCAGCAATGTCCATGTGCGTGTATGGAATTGGCTTGTCGGAACACAGGCCATGCTTGTCCATGCCACTGTCAAAGAGCAGTATGAGAGCGCGCGGCGCAGGGTGCAGCAGTCGTTCAAGAAAAACTGGACCACGAGTCCAGGAGAGGATACCACCCAAAAATAGCAAACAAGTCAAAAGCAAAAATACACAAGCGGTCGTCTCACCTGGTGGCAATCATAAAGGCGGCGGGGAACTGGTGGCCACGTGGGGTGCCCGATGAGGGCAAGTTGTTGCACTGAACAATGTCCTCAGTCACGTATTTGGAGCGGATGAACGCATAATCCTCACGACGGATCGTGCTAATCTCAGCTGGGTCACCGATGCTCAAACCTGTGACATGATGCATTGCCCACAATTAGACCAGAGTGTGGCCACACCAAGCCAGAAGGGACGTCAAACTCCACAAGGGTACGTCAAGCCAAAAACCAAACCAAAACAAAACAACAAAGCAAAGAACCACCCCAACACCGCATCACCAACCGGCAGTGGCCACAAGCGCTGAGACGTTGGCAGCCAGCGCAGGTCCATTGTCCATGGTCGCTGCAACCATGGGTCCGGAATGATCGTGAGTGTGCGCGCCATGCAAGTCGTGGGGCACAGGATTTGCGCCGAGGCCTACCAAAGTAGCCTGTGCCGTACGCTCGGACGGCATGGCCCGTCAGAGTTGCCACGGTGAACAAGAAGGGGTTCACAGCGCTCAGCGCCTCTTCCTGAGGATATATGCAATTGGGTGGACAGGCCATGGTATTTTGTGTTAGACCGCGCCCTGACCCTGACAAGGCTTCTGCAGCGCATCGAGTGTGTCGGGGAGCAGAGAAACTTGCCTTGGCTTTGCAAAGAACATCAGCCATGGCCATGCGGCCCTCTGCGTCCGTGTTACCCACGCGCGTACGCACACCTGCGCGCGAGTGGATGATTTCATCGGCCACGTAGGCATCGGCACCAATGCTGTTGCGCACCATGGACATTTTGCACACCACCCGCACGTTCTACCGGCGCCATAGAGTGAGCAATCGGCGGTCCGTGCGGTGCGTCCCGAAGCGAAGCAGTTGGCGCGGATACCAACCGCTGGGGCGAGGATGGAGACGGTGCGCATAAAGCCAGCGATGGCAGCGGCACCACCCTTGTCACGGTGCATACCGGCCATGATCCCACCGGCCTTGACCTACGTGCACAGGCACCAAGAAACGTGAGGTTGCTGTTCAGATTCGCAAAAGTCATCACAAGGCGAGAAGGGGCGCAATGGGGGCAGAAGCGTACATCAGCACCTCCAGTGTCGTACGTCACGCTTCAGGAGTCCACATATCGCACGCAAGTCTTATCGTGAGGAACAGTCCGCCTTGCGACTCAAGTGTAAAAGGCAGCGACTCTCAAGCGCCGCTACATACCCCTTGCCCACGAAGAAGAGCGTCTTCTCAGGGTTGGCTGGAGCGTACTCAAGGTTGATAACGCAGGGGGCGTGGCGAGGCACCTGTTCGGAGCAGCGGGCCACGGCTAACGAAGGAAAGAGCAGTCGCCATGTGAATGGCACACATGCCCGAATGGGGGTTGAAAGCCTGATACATACCAGCAAGGAGCGGATAGGCTTCAGTAAAGGGGCCCTTCTCCACGGCCACCGTAACATTGGTACCCTTGAAGAGCTCTTCCACGTATTCGGCCACACGCAGTGGAGCCATGCGTTCTGGATCACCGCTGTTTAAGGCAGTGCGACAAGATGACAAAATTGAGGGCCCAGCACGAGAGCGCGGCGTTTGTGACATGGGCAGGGTCATACACACCCGCAAATGTCACGTGAGACGGCGCGGCCGGCCTCAATGGCCACGACACGGCCAATGACATCAGCAATGTCTGGGCGCGCCGTGCAGATCAAGAGGCGGTCAAGGGTGGCACTGGCCGAGGGCGGAGCCCGAGGGTCCTCGCGCACCTCAACGGGCACATAAGTGGCGGACAGGGCGCCGAGAAGCTACAAGTCGCAAAGGCGGGCCGTGAGCATGCCAGTTGGCTTGGCGACCCACGGCCGAGGATGCCTTTTGAGTTGGTGAGCGAATGGCGTGCGGGTGTGTGTTTGTGTGTGTGGGCACAGTAACAAACCGCAGACTCGACGGCCTTGGCAAAGGTAGCAACTCGCTGCGCGGGAACGGCACCAGCAACGAGGAGAATGGGGGCCTTGGCGCCAGCAGCCTTGGCGCGCACCACACCAGCATGGGCGGCATCGGCAAAGGAGCGGACATCATCACCATCCGAGGTCAAGGGGCCCGTTGGGGCCAGAATCAGGCGGTTGCCGGCGTAGGCCTCGTTGAGGTACAGACCCCCCTTGGACTTGGCAGAAGCATCGATGGCCGCGATGGCATCAATGTGAGCAGCTGGGACGCCCTCTACGTCACCGGTGAAGGGGGCTACCACGATGACAGCATCGCCGTTGTCATCGTTCAGGTTGGTCGTCACATCCACCTATCGACACAGGAGTGCCCTCAACAGTAAGGCGGCGCGCACTTGCCCCCAGGCCCAAGATACCAAGAAGACGGAGCAAGAAGGCAGAGGCCACATACTGGGATGACGGTCGGAGGCACGCTTGGTGCAATCTTGGCAATCTTAGCAGCGGCGGCCATCGTGACGGGTGATGAGCTCATTCACCAGAACCTAGCCAGAGAAGACAGGCAAACAGAAGCCAAGTGTAAGTGCCAGGCTCTTCTGGCTCCCTCTCACCCCTAAGGCGGCGGCGACACACGCACGACGCACGACGCACGACGCACGACGAACGAGCCAGTGAACAAGACGGAGAACGCTCCACTGGCACTGAGAGAACCACCACCCTGCCCGTGTGAACAACAGGTGTTTAGTACACACCACTTTCACATCAAAAGAAACAAATGGATGAAGCAAAACAACAGACACAAAGCAAAAAGCCAACAAGATACAGCTAAGGTACCACAAGTAGTTATTTGTTTTTCTTACGCGAACAAGACAAGTGTGAGCGAGGAAGCGAGCAGAGGGCAATGGCGCGGGTGCTGGCTTCAGCAGGCATGGCGGCCGTGCGAGCAGCGGCGTGGCAGGGTATGAGTGCATCGCATCAAGCATGGCGGCAAAATGGGAGTCGCGTGAAGCTTTCCCTGTCCAGGTTCGTGGGGCAAATGGGTCGGCACGATGAGCCATCAGCAGGCCGCGATCAGGAGAGGCAGTCAGAAAAGCTTGGAGATGCGAATGCGGCCCCCTCATTGACAGGCGCACGCATCAGCTACGAGGACATGTGCAAGGTGGCGGCCGGCTGGGAGGAGTATGCCCAAACAGGGTCGCTGCCTGATTCAGCGGTTTTGGTCCTTGACGTGCGCGAGGAGGGCGAGTACAACGCCGGGTTTATACCGGGTGCCATCAACCTGCCCATCAGTGAGCTGACGCGCATGGACCCCGAGTCAGCGGCCGAGTACGTGGCAGAGGCGCTCGACGTTGATGCCGCCCGCCTGGACCTCCTTGAGAACCGCGAGCAGGACATTGTCGTGTACTGCAAGCTGGGAGTACGTTCGGGCCTTGCGCAGCTTTTGTTGGGCCAGTGGGGCTACCCGCGTGTCCACAACTACAAAGGCAGTTACGAAGAGTGGTCCCGCCTCAGTAAATAGACTCCTTGACCTTTCTGTGCTATCGTTGCCGGCTAAAAAACCCATGCTCTGGCTTGCGCGCGTTTGTGTTACACCTTCTCTTTGGACCAGCCAGGTGGGGTCACCTCAGGGCTTGAGGATTGGGCTCCGCGCTGTCTGTGTATCCCACTTGTGTTTGGTTTTTTACGGTGGCACTCAGAGCTGAGCTGTTGGTGCGCATCCATGTTACGACCCTGAAATGAGAATCGATGATATGATATCCACTTTTCTGGCATAGATTCTGCTGATGGTGACTCATGCGTCCTCAAACCCAAATGGGGTGTTGTGATCAGGGAAGAGCGCACGGTAGATGGTGGCTTCCTGCACCATATCCTCGGTGGTACGGCCGGGGCGTGTATCGGGTGCATCCATGTGCACACCCTTGGGTGCCTGTCCTGCCTTTTCAAGCTGGAGGAAAGACCGGGTGATGAAGATGGCACACATCACGCGCCCCGCATCAAGTCAATGAGCAAAGGTGTAAAAGCACAGCAGTCGAGTGCACAGGCGAACTCGAGGCGATAAGAATGAAACATACGTGATCATAGACGTCGTCGTTGCGCTCAAAGTCGGCGGGTCGGCGAGGTAGAATGTGAAGATGCACATGCTATGGCAAGCGGAAGGCACCTTTGAAATGAGTGGGCAGGTGGCTGTCACAACGTGTTGCAGAACAACAGATACACTCACCGGGACCGTTTGGCCGGCATCCGAGCCGTCCTGCGGCAGTTGATAGCAAGCAAAGTGCAAGCAAGCATAGACAAGGCGCCATCAGACCTGGCCTGGGTTTCAAGGCTGTTCAAGGGGTGGGCACGAGCGGCTGATATCCTGAACCTGGATGCTAAAGGTCGTGGCAGTCGTGCCAAGGTGGTCCTGAAGCGCCGCGCTCACGCGCTGAGCTGTCTGAAAGAAGTCGGCGCACTCTTCTGGTGTCAAATCCCGCACTCTCTAATGCCGATCCTGTGAGGAGGCAAAAACTCAAACCTACTCCTATGCATGGGAGCATAGTTACGGTCGTCAGGCCCGGGGGCACACTATGCAAGCATACTGACCTGGACGGGTCGGCGGGTGATCACTATGCTGTGACCCGGCACGATGGGCTTGTAATTGACTGACACATAGCACAAATCTGTAAAGTAGTAAAGCTACGGGTCAACAAAACGACATGAGGAAAACAAAAACCCGGGCTTGACTACTTGCTCACCTGCACGTTGCATAGCGAGTCCGCCTGCTCTTCCATACCTGACCCAAGGGCAACCGATGAGGCCCGAAGCGCGCCATTTTTGACGCGCGCGCTTTTCAACAACAACAACAAAAAAAAAAATGTTTTTCTTTCTCAGAAAATGAGTTTTCTGAGAAAGTTTTTTTTTTTTTTGGTGTGTGTGTGTGTGTGTGTGTGTGTGTGTGCGTAGGAAACGAGAGATGGGCCGTGAAGGTCGGAAATGCCATTGCATGAATTTGATTTCTATTGAATCGAAAGGTGGTCATCGACATTGCACATCGCGCCGGCTGCGCTTGGCTTGGGGTTCACCCGAAAAGTACGGGTCAAAAAAGCGCTCCACAATGCTTTGACGCTCCATTGGTGTCAGGAATCCATACTCCAGAGCGGCGCGACTCATCCGCGCCAGGTCATACACGCCCCATCCCAGCAAAGAGGCTGCAAGCTCGTACTCACGCGTCAAGGTGGTACGAAAGATACCTACCCAAGCACCAGGGTCAGGTTTCTACGATGGCAGGCGTGAGATGCGCATGCGAGATGTGTGCAACATCTCCGGTCAAACCTTTGTCGTCGGTGCAAATGACAAAGGGATGGCCCTCTCGAGCCAGATCCAGTACATGGTGCACTTCGAGGGCCGTGCACGACTTGGACATGATGTTGGAGCTCAAGCACACCTGGAGCACCACCAGACGAGTAAGCCTCCGGCCAGCCATCATGATAGAGCCATTTCGAGCACCAGGCAGCTAGCAAGCCATGTTTGTGCGTACCTCCACAGGAATCGTCCGATAGCAGGGCAAGAGTCTGCCAAAAGGAAGGCATGTCCCGTGGCCTAGTTTGGGTTGGCAAAAAGGACAAGCTGAGCAACCATATGGGACCGCCAACCCTCACAAACCAACGGAGCATTGCCGCTTACCTATCCGATCTGGCCGCAAGGCCATCAACAGGCCTGTGCCCTCGGCTGTCTCCGTTTCGGCGACGTGCAGGGCCAGCTGTACGGCAAAAGGAGACTTGTCAGAAGAAGTGGGTGGGGCACCCACGCACGCATTTTGCACAAAGTTTGTTAGCGAACCTTGAGCCCATGCTGCCGTGCAGAAGTCAAGACTGGCATAAATTCCCGAGTACTACCCTGCAAGTGGTTGCTGTTTCGTGAGAAGGATAGCACGGTCATGACGACCACAATCGTAGGCAACACACCTGCTCTGGGTCGTCGCACAAATCGATACCAACAACCCCAAAGCTCTTGTACTTGATGGCCAGGTGAAGCGACTCCCAGGCCTGAGATACAATTTGGGCAACAGCGTGTTCAGCATCATGTGCAAGGGTCATTGCTTCCTGTTGCCATTTCACCATCAACATGCCACATCATATGACACCCACACGGGGTGGCGCTGGAACAGTCGCACGTACATCCTGTAGGGAGCGAGAACGGTTGATGCTGACGATAAATTTGACACGAATGGGAAAGTCTCGCTGGCGATGGTGATTGGTCAGAGCGCATGGAAAGAAGGCTGTGAGATGGTGTAAAGCATCGGGCCGTATGCGTGCGCGAGTGACCTTGCTGCGCCGGCGACCGAGGAGTACACACCTGGGCGCGGTCCAATCCCGTTAGCACAGCTTGTAGGTACTGCGGTGGGTTGGCCAACGACGTTGGCAGCATGAGCTCATGGTGTGCCCAGGCTTGAACGCACCACACCCCAGCAACAGGACTGTTTCGGCGAAGATACTACGCGTTTTGCTGCGCCCCAACACCCCGTTTTCAACTTTGGTACACACCGTTTCTTTGTTCAGGTTGAACTCGGGCCGATCCTTGAGGGTTGAGCGAAGTTCCAAATAACAGGTGCCTGGATCAGGTTGATGCAAGAAGCGTGCTCAAAATGAGCTGGGCGCAGGTATACTGAGCAGATGGATCAAGGTGGGGCACGGTCATTGGAGCATGCAGGCATGTACCGTCGTTGGCAAAGTCTTCAACCACATCATAGGTGATCTAGAATTGACGGAGCAAAACAGGTTGGATCGCGCATGAGATGACAGGTCCTGTCAACCCGTGACAAAGCTAGAAACAACGCGACCATGGCGGGATAAAACTCGACGCGTACCAGCTCTACGTCGGCTGCGGTGCGCACAAGCTGATGCACAACGCCAAAAAGGCGGAAGCAGCTGAAAGCGACCAGACCAGGCGGGTAGCATGGGTTGTGGCATGGGTGAGTGCAGCATAATGGTGCTCAGACACGACAGGGGCTGGTCTGCTCCGAATACGGATCGGCACGAGGCATGCTTGCTAGCACAGACCTGGTAAAGTCGAGGTCGCTGCGGTCAATCTCATGAAGGGCGCCTTGCACCTGCTCCAGCGTGAGGTCCGGGCGTCGAGAGAGCAGCTTACGCAGCGTCCTCGGTGCCAAAGATCCATTGAGATGCGCGTGCAGTTCCTGCCAAGACCACACATAACGCAGCCCCCCACGTGCATGAGGTGGCGCGCTTCCACGAGTACGGCCAACAACGACCACATGTGCCCATGCGCTTGTCGAGCGAAACAAGGCCAACTGCACGTGTATCCAGCGCACCACTTTTGGAATACGTAGCAACGCCGACAGATTGGCTGGCTGCGCCCCAGAGCTGGGCATCATGATATCCTGGTCCGCATCCTGCCAGTCCATGACGACGACGCGACGAACGACCTTCAACTGTACGCTGCCCCCCTTTCAAGAACACAACAAATTGTCTTCACAAAATAACACACACACCCAAAAAAAAAAAAAAAAAAAAAAAAAAAAATTGAAAAAACGACTGATTTGGTTTCTTTGGTGTGATGATGACTGCCCAAGTTGAAAGGGGGAGGGGGTGTGTATGGGAATGACGATAGGATTGCGGCGTGTCAGATTCGTTGTTTAAACTCAACTCGATGAAACAAGCCGCAGAGGCCACACTACTCCAGGACGAACACGGCACTCGGCACGTGGTGCTATGCGTTGGTGGGCACACTATACTGCAGAGGCATCTGCTGTTCCCAACCTTTTGAGTCAATGCCAAAGGCCTCACATGCGAGCTTGAAGACAGGAGGATTTTTGCTTTCATCATCGCCGAGCCATTGACTGCTGGCCAGCATCTTGCCCGCGGAAACCGCTCGGCTTTTCAAATCATGCCGCTTCTGAAACACCCACAGCGGGCGGGGTCGCCTTGCACCTCCCACCGAGTTGAGTACACCACGGTAATGTGCGCCAGGCAAAAGCCATAGAACGAGAAGGCACATTTTTTCGCACACTTTGTCCTTGTACACGTCCGTAATGTGGATCACAACGTGGCCATTCTCCTCCAACGCCGCCCACGCCTTGTGAATGCACACGAACAAAAAGTGTACAATCCATTTGTTGAGACTCGGGAACTTGCTCACGCTCTGGCCTGGCAGCTTGGTGTAAATTTCAAAGTCAAAAAAGGGCGGCGACGTAAAGACGAGGTCAAAGGTGCCCTCAACTTTTGCAGTTTCAAAGCCCTGGTAGGAGATGTCGAAGCGCCCGTCGATTTCAGGCCCATCAAAGGCCCGAAAAATGGCCCGGTGGCCCGGGCGCAGGTCGGTGTTGGGGTCGTAGCCCTGGTAGCGCTCCACGTTAGCCGCCAGCGCCCCCGCCAGTCTATCGCCCCAGCCCGCACTGAAATCCAACATGCGCCTCGCTTGGAAAAAGTCAATCACGTTCTTGACCAGCGACGGCTTGAATTGGGTGCACTCTTTGTGCTTCTCATAAATGATGTCGCGCAGCAGCTGTGCAGAGAAAAGGATTGGCTCATTGCCGTACCTCTTGAAGCACTCCTCCACGCTCTCCCGAATAAAACTCTCATTGTTCCACTCTTCCAGCGTGGACGTTTCTTGATCTTTGCGTTTGGCCTTTAGACGCTCCTGCTCCTGAAACAGGTCCACGAGCACATCCATTCTCTCATAGTCACTATCATCGTGCAGGAAGCCCATGGCCTCAAAGTGACCAGGGTCTTCGACAGTCTTTTCAAACTTGAGGGGAAGCAAGCCTTGGGCTATCATTTTGACGTTGTGCGGCTTCAGATCGCCCGGAATGGGCGGGCAATTGTGTTGCTTGAGATTTGCAATCAGTTGGGCAGCCTTGAAACGAGAATCAAGTCGCTTCCAGGGGAACGGCAGCCACCCTTCTTTGAAACACTTGACCAACGCTTGTATCACAGCGGGGCGGTTGCTGGGATTGGCTAGACTGGTACCTTGCGCTATCTCGAGGAACGGCTCCGACATTTTCTTCTCATCTTGTAGCCACAGAGCGCGCTCAGCAAGGACCAGGCACCAATGGAGGTTGTCCTGATCAGGAACGCCTCTGCCCACACAGCCTTGGACCATTGGGAGCAGGACTCTGATACAGTCTCGCAGGTTTTGGAAATCGGAGAGCGGCTTGGTCTCACTCGAGGGCCTGTATGTCCTTTGGAGCAGGATAGCATGCTGGTTCATCATGCGAACTAGTAGAGTTGGTGTCACCTTAGTCAGCCGGAGCTGGCTCAGGTGTGGCTGGTCCACCTGGCTCAAAAACTGGGTGACCTCGGGTAAAAGCCCAGAGAGCATGTTCGTGACACTCGATGCGATGCTGAAGTGCACATGGTTGCCCGCTGATGTAGGATCTTCCAGGGGGAGCAGCGTGAGGATCGCACGGTCCGGTTCGAGCTTTGCGCGTTGCGCCGCCGGTGCGCCATTGTCCTCGCTTGCCCGTCGCGCCGCCATTTGGCCCAGGAGCGGAAAATAAGGAAAATGAACCTGCTGGTTCCAAGTTCACCTCTGATCCAGGCCGGCGTCGCAGCCCACCACCCCGCAACAACAACACGCACACACGCACGCACACACCTCTCTGCCAAATTTCAACAACAATGGAATGAAGTGAGAGAGAGAGAGAGAGAGAGACAGAGAGACAGAGAGAGACAGAGAGACAGAGAGAGAGACAGAGAGAGAGTGTGTGTGTGTGTGAAGGGGGATGGATGATGCTTGATCAAGATTCACCCCAAGAAAAGTGCAAAAAGAGAGAGATCAAAATAAAATTGCAACTCGGATTGGTACGAGTTTAGCCAAGGCAGCTCTCATGATGAGAGAGCAGCGTAGGCCATATGGGTCTGGAAGCCGGCGTACACTTGTGCAGACAAAGGCACGCCAATTGCTGGAAGAAACGAGAAAAACCAAAAAACGTTGACAAGTTCAAAGACAGAAAAACCAAAAGGGGGTACTTCAGGCCATGCGAGGCAGCGTGCCCCGGCCCAATTACGCAGTGCTGTAGCGAGAGCCCAAGAGAGGCGCATCCTCATCGTTGCGCGCGCGGTTGCGCGTACGAATGAATGCCAGCAGGAAAATCAAGCTGATGCCCAGGCAGACTGAGCCGGTGATGATGCCAGCCTCGTGTGCGTCATCGCGTACCTCCAATGCCAAGCCAACCTGGAATGGGCATCCAACAAGGCAAGGTCATGAGGAGAACGCACAGATGCTGACATGAGCGTGGTTCAACACAGAGTTTCAACTTTCGGCACACACCTGATCTTGCCATTGGCTGACCAGGTCATCGGTCACAATGGCATGTTCGTCCACTTTGGTGACAGGCAAATAAAAGCCAGCCGCCGTGAGATTGCCATAGTCGGCCAAGCCAGGAACCCGCGTCATCTTCACGTTGATCTAGCAAACAAAAATGGCACATCAAATAAGACAATGAAACCTCCACCTGTCGATGGTCTGTTTCTTGACGAGCAAGAGGGTTGGCTCAAGCAAGGAGATGTGCTCGCATGGTAGGAACGAGCAAACAAACAAATGGTATTGTTGATTTGGGACCGAGCATGTGTAGCGCACAGCGACGACGTCCTGCCTACCTGGAGACGCTGGTGAGCTTCAAAGGTCGAGCCCGTATGGGGCTCCACGTCCACGGTCACATCGTGCAGCAATCGCTCCGGTGGCGGGATGCCATCCACCAATTCCAAGTAAATGGGATCGGCATCGAGAAAGTGGTGCTTGCTTGCATATACGGGGCCACCCACGTACTCCTCCATGTTCAGCGTCCCAGTAGGCTGATAGGCATTGAAAGCACACATTTGCTCATTCTCACTCGCGTTGGCCAAGGCCACTAAGATGCGGCAAGGACCAGTCAAGGGAACAGAGTGTGAGCCGTGCAGCTTGTGTTCAAAGAACAATTCTTGTTTGCGGCTGAGCACCACGGTGGCAGGCGGCAGCATACATGGGTCGATGACAAAGCGGAAAGTTCGAATGCCCTTGGTCTTGAGCGTGTTATTGTACACCAAGCGAGAAGAGCTATCTCGAGTGTTTGCGCAAGAAAAGCAAGCGTGTCAGCACGGTATCGTGTGTGGTGGCAAATCAAGTCTCTCGGGCCAAGGAGTGGGCACAGAGGAGCGCACCGTCGGATGTCGTCCGAGAAGACATTGATAACGTCGCCTTCCTTCAGGTTTGGGCGAAAGCTCAAAGCTTCAGTGCCGTTGATCGCGTTGGCCTGTTGGTGACGGGGTTGAGTCAACAACAGCAGATTGAGTCGTCATAACGATGCAAGTGGCATGTGGCACAAGGTGCGAGTTGAGTTGCTTTCATACAGCGCACAACGCACCCATTTGATGTAGTCTCGACCGAGGGTCGTGTTGGGGCAATTGGTGCCCTTCCAGAGGCCGATACTGCCCTCGTGACCAGCCCAGGCTGTGTAAGTATACACCTTGTTGATATCATCCTGAAGGCGGCAAGCGACGGAACCAGTGCTTGAGGGCGCTCCGAATGCAAAATGTAATAATCTGGGGTTGAACCCAGATCCGGTCAAGTGTCGTACCGTGCCCGTGTAAATCTCTGAGCGCTGAGTCTTGGTATATGACGGGTCGTTCTCTTGGATTTGGATCACTGATGGGAGAGGGGTAATGAAATTCTGGTGTAGCACCGCAAATGCGACGGGTGAGAAAGACAGACAGAGGCCCCGGGCATGTGTCAGTAAAAAGAAAAAAAAAAGGGGGGTTGGGTTGTGATACGCACAGTTTTATTCTGCTTGCGCAAGTAGTCATTTACTTCTTCGATCAAAGCATCAAATTCATTTGCCAAGATGGGGTCGGTATATCCCCAAATGATCTCCTTGACAGGGCGTTGAATGATGAGGGTCTCTGCACGCGAGTCAAACAAAGGGTGTACCGCTATCAGCATCTAGAACGAGCAGTTGAGCAGTGAGAGAAGCGGCATTGGTTGTGGCCAAACCTTCGGAATATTTACTCCGCCAGAACTCGATGAAATTTTGGAGAATGCCTTTGATGAATTTGTTGTCAAAACTGGCGTAGAGGGAGGCGATCTGCATGAGGGGGATGTTGACGGTGGTCATGATCATGTCATCATCGAGGCTACAAGTGATGTTGGGGTAGAGAACGCCGGATGGGCATTTGGTGTCGATGATGGTGAAGGCGCGTTTGTATGTGTAGGAGACGCGGGTGGAGTCGCTGGACCAGGTGATGTTGTCCTTGATGCGCACTTCGAGGTAATTGAATGGGCCAATTAGGTTCACCCTGGGCTTGCCACCCTGAAGAACATCCTCGGGGTTGGTGAGATTGTACATGTAAAAGGTCATGTAGGTAGGGACTTTGGTGGTGTTGGACCAGATCGGGTAGAGCTGGGAGTTTTCAGACTTGAGTTCCACATTTTCTTTGATGGTTTTGACCATGAGCGAATCGATGACCGGGTTCACCACGAGACCAATGACCAGACAAAGAACGCCAAGGACACCGAAAAGGATGAAATGCGTGCGCAGGGAAGCACAGCAGCGGCAGCAGCCCCGGGGTGGATCATCTGAATATCCAGTGTTGAGCACCATGGAGGCATCCTCATGGGATTCACGACGTCCCGGCATCTTGACCAATGCAACAGTGACACCAATGGGATGTTTCGATGGGCGTCAGAGGACGGGCAACAAAGCTCAGAAGTGACGTTGCCGTGCGGTGTCGATGTAAAAGAGATTCGGCCGCTCGAGCTGACTCTAGCAACCTGTGCAGTTCTCTGTTGTCACAGAGGAGTGTGTACTTCTCTTGAGGCAGATGTCGAGCTTGAGATGCGAGCTCACCGATCGCATGAGCCGCAGATTGACGAGGCAAGGTTGGACTGCACGGGCACCACACACACACACACACACACACACAGGCCACACGAGTAGGAGACTGTTTGATATCTGATACAGACACCTGTTGTCCCCAACCCAAGGAGATGAGGGGATGCCAGGAGAAGGAGCGTGAGCGGCGGGCTTGCGCTTGAGACGACGACTGGAGGCGATCTGGTCGTCGCGCAGCTCAAAAATACAGAAAAATCCAATGTGAGCGACGAGAGAGAGATTTCAGAGATTGGAGAGATCTGGAGGATGCATCAGAGAAAGAGAGAATCTATAAGAGATTTGAGAGATTAGAGGGATTTCAGGAGAGGACGAGAGGAGAGATTTGAGGTAGATGAGAGAGTGAAAGATTTGAGCGAGAGCTTTTAGAGGGATGCGAAACTTGAGAGATTGAAAAGAGAGAGAGGGAGAGAGAGAGATGGAGGGGCGTCAAAGCGACATGGGTTGGCATCAGCGTCAACCACACACACACACACACACACACACACACACACACACACACACACACACACACACACACACACACACACACACACACACACACACACACACACACACACACAAAACATCAACAAGGGTAAGGGGGGATCCCTCCAGATTGTGGTACGCGTGTGGTTAGTGTGTGGGACATACTTGGTGTAGGCTTGGAACATACGTGGATCACACGTGGTAACAGCTTGGTCAATGGCTGGCTGGCATTTTTTTTTTTCGACTCTGTGTGCGTTGAGTTTGTGAGCGGGGCACTGTGCTGCTGCTGGCGGGGTTGAGTAGGGGTGAGTGGGTGGTGTGTGGCAAGGATGGCAGCTTCGCGCCAGGTGGGGCGGGATGGCCGTCGAGTGTTGGGTGGAGATGGCGCGCGGCCGGGGCCGCTCGATGATTTGGTACGTTGCGCTCGCATGATGCCCTGGCTGCGTCGTGTGAGGGTGGCTCATCAGGACGCAATCCGTTCTTGTTGATGGCAGGAGAACTTGCTGAAGAGCACCGAACCTTTGGGTGCTGTCCAATCCGCCATGCTCCGCCAGGTTTGCGCCCCTGCACTTGCGCGCCTGGGAACAAGCGCTGGGAACAAGCGTGCCCACAACTCATCTCGGACCTGTTCGGCTGTAGACGCTCGGCCCGTTGGCTCAAGCTACGCAGCACACCCTCGACGACATTGGCAAAAACTGTCCACAACACCTTGCAAAGCTAGTGCGTTCTTGACGATTGCGGATGCGGGCTTCTTTTTTTCTTTTCGCTTTGATCTCACTCGTGCTCTTGCGACTGCCGTTTTGGCCTTTCTACCGATTTTTTCGATCACGCCACCCCGAAGCTACCACCCACCCCCAGAGCCGATTCAGCCCATGTTATCGGTGCGTCAGCTAACATCTGCGTGTCAGATCTGACACACGCAAACTTAACGGGCTGCCTGACCTCGGTGCCAAAGTTTTGATAACATTCCCGCGCTCATTTGGGTTCATTCGCTTTCGGCCGACTGCTGTCCTGCTTAGATTGGCTTCGAGTACACGAAGGCCTCATGCTTCAGGAGGTTAACCAGCAAATGGCCGCCGATGGCAAGGGGCTCGCCGACGAGGATGAGGCCAGCATCACAGCCGCACACCATGAACTGGCCGCCAATTTGGCCGAACTGATGCAGCACGCCTGTGGTCCAACATTTACACTGGCTCGCGGTGGTGTCGACGTCTCCTCAACCGAGGAAATCAACCAGCTTGACGCCGCCATCAACGGCTGGCGCTCTGGCAGAGTGCCCGACCGCCAACGCCGTGCATTTCCCCCCTCGGCTCACACCCCTAACCTCTGACCAAAGAAGCTCGAGTATATTTGTCTGACAATACCATAACGGAAACACACACAGAAATTGACAAGCGAAAAGGACAGAGCGACAGAGACAGAGAGAGAGAAATTTAGAGACAGAGAGAGAGAGAGAGGAACAGAAATGAATTGGTTTGGTCGGTTTGAGTAAAGAGCAAAGACACAAAGGAAAAGTACAACTACCACATGTAACAACAACAGGGAACAAAAGGAACAAACACCACTGAAAATTTGAGTTGTGTTTCTCTCTCTCTCTCTCTGTGTTTCGTTATGTGTGTGTGTGTGAGTGTGTGTGTGTGTTCGAGTGTGTGTGTGCATTTAAATCCAGTGGCACTTGACGAACACACTGCACGACGACGACGACGCCGTGAGACGCGGACCGCACCAGACTTGAGTTAGCCCCGCTGCTCTGAAGCACTTGTTCAATTGCACGCTTTGGCACAAGCTTGTATTCTGCCCAGTGTGTCCCGACCTTCTACTTGACGACGCGCAGGTCGACCGCCATCATGACAACCCACAAAGGTGAGTCTCTGCTGGAGGCCTGAATGTGTTGGCATCGGCACATAAACGCCCTCGGTCACCCCCCTCCCCCCCCCCCCCCCCCGATGACTGACCGCTCGGGACCCTGCTTGCGTTCATCTCAATAAAAATGCAGTCAACGTCAAGTGGGGCAAGCAAAAGTTTTCCGATGTTGAGCTCGATGCCAACGAGGTGCGCCATCGTTTTTGCTCGTTTTTTTTTTTCCCTTTCCCTCTTGTCTTGTCAGCCGCCAACTTTGCTCACTGCTTAACCCCGCCTGGCGCGACAGAGCCCCGAAGTCTTCAAAGCACAGCTTTTTGCACTCTCGGGTGTGGACGTGGCCCGCCAAAAGCTCATGCTCAAGGGCCGCGTCATCAAAGTGCGCAACCCTTTCAACTTGTCCTGCTTTGCAACGTCACCTTGCGCACATACCCTGAATGCGTCCCTCTCCCGCACCCACCCTAATTTGCCGTGTTTTCCTTTTCTTTGTGTGTTTTCCTTTTCTTTTTTCTCGGGCAGGACTCTTGGGATGGCATCAAACTCAAGGATGGCATGTCCTTCCTCCTCATGGTCAGGCCCAGTCCCGTCCTGACACTCTTGTACCTTCAGTGCAAATGAGCTGCCGCGCTCACAAGACTGGAGTCCTCACCTTTGTTTCATGCATCGTCACCAATCCCAGGGTACGCAAGAGGACGCCGTACCGGATGGTCCTGCCGAGAAGATGGTTTTTGTCGAGGACCTCACCGAAGACCAGCTTGTTTCCGTGGTGTGTCATCAAATTAACAGCAGCAGACCTAGAAGTTGAGCTCAACTTTTGGGCTCGACGCAGTATGACGGCATTCCCACGCCAATCTCATGCTCCTGTCTGTCTGTCTGTCTGTCTTTCTGTCTCCCCCCCTCTTCTCCTCTCCCCCTCTCCCTCCTCTTTATTTCCTCGTACGTGCGTACGTAGAGCAAGCTTCCTGCCGGTCTCGTCAACCTCGGCAACACTTGCTACATGAATGCAACCTTGCAGTGCTTGCTCAGTGCCCCCGCTCTCCGCAAAGCCATTGACAGGTGTGTGTGTGTGTGTGTGTGTGTGTGTGTGTGGTGTGTGTGTGTGTGTGTGTGTGTGTGTGTGTGTGTGTGTGTGTGTGTGTGTGTGTGTGTGTGTGTGTGTGTGTGTGTGTGTGTGTGTGTGTGTGTGTGTGTGTGTGTGTGTGTGTGTGTGTGTGTGTCTGAGTCGCTTCTTCACAACCCCGCAACGCGTGCCCATGGCGTCGAGTGCCCCTCTCTAAATTGTTTTTGTTCAGCTGATCTTCTTGCTCACCTTTCCGTCCCTCATGACAATGCCCGCCAGCTTCTCACCGGATCAAGCTGGTGCTGCGAGCAACGGTCAACTTATCGTCAATATGCGTACGGCCTACATCTACTTGACTTGTTTGCGTGCCCCCGGCGTTTGCACACACTCTCTTCAGCAGCCCTGCAGACTCACATTTGTCATGATGGTTTCCATCTTCTACGCCACTCCGTCCTTTCCTCGAACACAGGCCAGCTGAGTAAGGCCTTGAGCGACAAGAGCAACAACAGTGCCCTTCAGGTTGCCGTTATGCTGTTTCTTCAGGTGCGGACCGCTCGGCGCGGTCGTTTTGGTCGAGCATGGAACAGCCAAGTCTCCGAACCCCTC